TTAAAGAAGTAGCACTTTATTATAATTAAAATGAACTATGGACTATTTAAAATGGAATAAAAAAATAATGCAATAATAAAATAACGAAATACTACAATTATAAAATATTAAAAGATGCTCTGACACGCGTTGATGCTCTGTAGTGGTCATTACTTGACTGCTCGAGCATTGTGACAAACAACCCAGCGTTTCCGCCGAGTCGTGGGATTCGCTGATCAAGCAAATGCCGATGGCTCGCTGGTTACGTAGGCCACTTTATTACAAGAAAAAAAATATACATTGATACTACCGGGTGTCGTATAAACGACATGTAGTCTACAGGGTACAACGGTAGATATATCTACATTTTACTAATATATTTAGTAATCTATAACAAGTATAGATCTTGATAAATTAAAACTGGAACTTCAACATTTTTTCAAAAGTCAACCCAAATATCAACCCATATCTAATCCAATAGAGAAAAGAACAAAATTAACATACTCAGAGTCCGAAATCGAAGAAAAAAGTAACATGGAAATCGAATTAGAAAACAAAGAAATTGATGGGATCTATAAAAATATGTTTCCTTGTAAGATTGATAGATTAAATATTAATTTTATTTACAATGTTTATTTAATCATGATCAATAATATGAATATTGTTGTTTATGGTTTCAGGTAATGCATTTTACAGTAATCACGACAAGAAAAGTTGCTTGTATTGTATCTAAGTTTGATATATAATTTAAATTTACATGTGTCTGCTTATACTACACTATGCGAAGCGTATGCATTTTTTTAACATTATTGGTTACAAAAGTTATCTATGAACGTACATTTAGTAAACTGAAACTCATTATAACTAGATTAAGATCCAATTTAAATCAGGAAAATTTAGAATCTCTGCTTTTAATGTCAGTAAAAAAAGAGCTGTTGTATGAAATAGATGTGTCGGAAGTCGTTAACTATTTAAAAGAATTATCCACCATTATGCATGAAATGTTGAATTTATAAATTTTAATTTAAATAATAAGCATTTGCTATTTCATTCATTCATTCATTACCTATTATATTCGTATTATTATTATGTACTAATTATGTGAAAATAAGGAATTCACTATTTTGTGGTAATAATGTATTCGATGAATTTTTGTGCTGCAATCATATTTGACGTAAATAAAAACTAAATATAGCCATCTAGGGTCGCTATAAATGTACGTAGAGGCTGTAAAATTTGCCAATCACAAACCTTGATTAAGGTGGGGGGGCAGAGGGGGCCATGATCCCGAGCCCACAACGAATATCAAACAATAGTAGACCCCTGGTGGATAGTAGGTTTTTTTTTTGTTTTTTAACTCTTTATATATATAATGTATATAATGTATCGTATATTTATGTGTGGATTATTAATATTTTGATTATGATTATAGGCCCCTAAAATTGTTTAGCCCTGGGCCCCAAATTATCATAATCCAGGCTTGGCCAATCATAAGCGACATAGACAGAAATCTACTTTGTACTCTGGGTGTGCTCAAGTCCCTTCAAAATTAACTTATCAGTAACCCGTGGGGGGGGCTTTGACACTCACACTTAGTGGCGTAACTGGGAAAAAATCTAGGGGGGGGGGCAATATAATATATTTATTATTAGGTACCAAAATCCTAACACCCCCCCCCCCTTACCAGTTAAAACATATTTTTATTGTATGTATTTTATACACTATATCTAATTGTTTGATTTTACATAAGTCTTTTAACTCATTTTATGGTTTAGATAAACATAAATTGTAGGTAGTAGGTACCAATATTGTTAAATAATACCCTTAAGAGTTCATTAATAAAAGGTGCTATTTGTACTGTTGGATTATCTAGGGGAGGGCAAAATTATATCTTTATCTCTCAAAAAATTGTCAGAAGGGGCACTTTCCCCCTCTCTTGCCCCCCACAATTACGCCACTGCTCACTTTCTTCATAAATATCAAATACTCTGTCAAATCTTTAAGAAACAATTATTAAAACAAACAGAAACAAATTCATGAAAATAAAAATTATGATAAGTATTATTTATTTCTAGAATATATTGGCGGCGCTAAACACCCTTTTAGGAGATTTTAGTCAATGATGAACAAGCATAGCGAGCTGCAAATTTTTTGATCATACAAAAAAAAATGTGAGCTGCTCAAATCTTCTCCACCCGGGCCGAAGTACTCTCAATCCGCCCCTGAGGTAATCTACAGGTTATTTTAAGTTTTGGCAGGAGGGCTGTAGCCTCCCCAGATTTTTTAACCTAGTTGCGCCTATGGTGACAACTCCGGTTTTCCGGGACGTATGGTAACCCTACTATAGACATAAGCGTACACACGAGGTAGTTAGGGTAGTCTCTTGACTACTCTGTGAACCTTCCCTCCCTAACTAAAATATTCAATATTAATACAATAATAAATAACCGAGTCGCCGACGTTCGTCCCCGTCAAAAAAAACGAGTTCACGGACTTTTCGTCCCCGTCTATTATTAAGATGGGCGATGCCCGTTTCCACCAAAAGTAAAACTTTCCCTTTTCCACCAAAAGTATATCATTCCTTTTTCCACCAATATCTGTTTCCACCAAATGAGATATCGACCACGTTTTTACCAAAAAAATTGAATACTATGCTTAAATTAAAAGCTATAGTACAAAAATAACTTTATTTAACATATACTATTAATTCAATAAATGTAAAGTCATTGTATAATATATACAATATAGGTTGGAAAATGTTATTTTTAAAAATGGTTAGATATAAAAAGATGAAAAATATGACATATTATGGTATACGTTACCTTATTTATGTAAATTGTAACTATATATATATAATTAGTTGATATTTGTTAACTAATCCAATAAAACATTTAAAGTTGTTTAGTACTAGTGTTTTATTTCCACGTTTACTTTTGATAACTTTAGCCATCATAGAATTATAAATTTTAAAATTTACGTTTTATTTTAACACACACGAAGTTGTAATGCACTATTTAAACTGTGCCATCTTTTCACTTGTTCATAAAGTATTTGATTATTTAGATATTATAATTGTTAATGGACATAAAAGTACATGCCTAAGTACGATAACGGTTTAACATACAATTAAGTATAATAAATGTACAATATACATTGATTATATTGTGTATATATTTATATATATTTAAATTATATAATATTAAAACTCATGAAAAGTATAGGTATTCTATCTCATTTGGTGGAAACAGATATTGGAGAAAAAGGGAAAGATACACTTTTGGTGGAAACGGGTATTGGTAGAAAGATCTACTTTTGGTGGAAACGTGTTACGCCCGTTCAATCACTTTGAAATGTCCGTAAACGATAAATACATGATATGACTATTGGAAAAATATAATTATTAATTTAAATGAAGTTACTCAGGGGTGGATAAGCCCATAGAGAAAAAGGAATTTTCCCAGTGGGCCTCCTCGATACCATTAATTTTATCATGGAAATTTATTATTTTCGGTGTATACTAGTTGCGGTCAAAATCAAAAATTACGTACTAGTTGCGGTCACCCAACAAAAAGGTTACATACTAGTTGCGATCATTCAAAATATAAATCAAGTATATATGGTATATACGATGCTATTTTATTTACAAAAAAGTTTCAACATTTTCCTTTCCATTTTATAAACAGACTTAGGGCTCTCTACACTATTTTTATTGTGTAGGTTTGAAATCACAGAAGTAATTGTGAAAAGTCACGCGGCAACTTCGGGTGAACATTCATTCTTGCAGTGTGTATATTTTTTCTAATCAATGTAACGCCATTTGACCCCAGTACACTGAGTACTGTATTTGACATCTTAGAATAAAAAATTTTGGAGGGACGCTCGATCAACTGCTCCACTGCTTTACGTTTAACACTGTAACTAACCTTTTGCCGTACCATTGATTGGTGATCATCTAGTTCGTGATTATACTACTATTGCAGGGGCGTATATAAGGGGCGATGTGGGAGTTAGATCCCCCCCATAGATCTTTTAAAAATTGTATAAATTAGTAATCTTAATGTAAGAAAATTATAAGGAAACAAAACAAATATTTCAAGGATTTATTGTTAATTATTATTTTGACATATTCAATATATATTATAATTTATTATTTTGAATGTGCAAGTCCTTTGATTTAGGAATATTTCTTCTATAATAATTTGTTTGCAATTGATCCCCCCCCCATACAAAAGTAATATGTACCCCACAATTTTATTTATTTTATTTATAAACTTTAAAGATAAGTAATAGGTTTATGACCGCAACTGTTATATGTCCTTATCTCAAAAATCGTCTTTCACCGCAACTCGGATTCAGCCATTATATTTTTATAGTTAAATTATTTAAATTAAATTAGGCTGAGTAAATATAATACATTTTTTAAAAGCAAATTTTTTTTTTAATTTTGGTGGCCTCATTAAAATATTTCCCTGTAACAAAAAAACTACCTATCCACCTCTGAGTTACCCCATTCGAATTTATTGTCAATAATAAATGTTAATGTGTTATGAATGACTACTCTACAAGTAATGTCTGCAAACATTTATGGCTATCTATAATATTTACCTATAGCCGTGGCCTGGAGTCATAATATATTTGTAAAGAACAACCGGTTTTTTATTAAAAATATATCATTGGGTGTATACAAAGTCAATAAATTGAGGCTTAAAAAAGTTTTAAAAAAATCCTAATTTTTATTTATTCTGTAATATTTATAGATATATGAAAATGATAATGCAATCTTATCTATATCCATTGTATTTATATATAATTTTTATTTATTTTTATCAATACAGATCACGACTACTGATATATAAATTTAAACGTATTGTTCTAAATAGCTGTGCTTATCATAAAATAATATATATATGTCATGTATGAATAACTCAGTACTTTTCTTATATAGAATTTAAATTTTCTCTTCCAAGCTGATATATCGCTTATGTGAACATAACCTCAATGTCGCATTCGCTTGGTTGGCAACGTTTCATTCGCCGCCTAGAGTTCATTTTACGGCGTCATTCTATGGCGTCTGTCACAAACACATTCGCTCTCGTGTTCGAAAGACTTTCTGTACAGACTTTTTCGTCTTTGGTAAGTATTTATAATTTTTTTTAGGTTTAGAAGTTTTTATTTTATATACATTAACTTTCCATTAAATTTGCTCTTTAACAATTTCTTTAGACTTGATACTCGCACGTTAACTTTATTTGGATTTCATCAACCACATGAACCACGTTTATTGCCCCATTCTGTATTTTTCATAACTTCATACACGTTTGACTTACTATAAGCTTTTTCTTTTACAGATTCTTTAGTCCAAATATGAGGGCTAAGTGGCGTAAGAAGCGTATGCGCAGGTTGAAGCGCAAGAGGAGGAAGATGCGTGCAAGATCCAAGTAAACATTATTGCCCAAACGCATGTCATTTTTTGGTAAAATAATTATGATACTGTCGCTTTTTATTGATTTATCATTAAACGCTAAATATTCTACATAAAAACTTGTATTTTTTCAACTATCATTAAATATTATTCCTGTCCTATCGACAAACATAATCCCATTCAGATTTTTAGGTTAAAACGTGGTCTGCTAATTTTGTTGTCAATTTAACTTGCAACTCTTTAAATAATGATAAAAGATACATTGTTTTAAGGTATTATAGTTTATTTTCTAAATTTTTATAATATTATATTGTAATAATTTTAGTTATTTTCATTATTTGATTTCTAATGTAGAGTATGGTTAAATATTCTATTAAGTTATAAATTTAAAGTAATGATTCCTGAACAACTGGTATAAGTGCTTGGCATTTTTTTTTTTTTTTTTTTGAGTTTATGAAGATATTAATGTGCTTTGTTAAATTATAAATACTTAAAATTTTTGTTAAAGTACTTACATACTCATATTTTTAAAACATGTAACACTTAAGTGTTAAAGATCAGTTGGTGTATTTGTAATTATGAGTTCTAACTGTCTAGATTATTTGTTATTTATGATAAACTACAAAAATTCAATTATATGTAGGTTCTTTCATCTCCAGGTACAATGTTAAGTATTATAAATAATACATATTAATAATACTCAAATTACATAAGAACATCTGGACATTATTATTCTTTTAATTAGTTGAACAACTCAAGGTAAATATTGAAATTATCTTATTTAATTTAATTTCTCAATATATTTTCTAAAGCCTTGATTATTTCTCTGTATTCATATTTAAAACCATACTGCAAAGTTCTCATAGGTATTACTTGTCTCCCTTTTAATATTAATTTTGATCTTTCTTTTCCATAAATTGCTATTAATATTCTTTGAGGTAAATTCAACTTGACCGATCTGTTTAACATTTGCCCATATATTTTTGTTAATTGATGGTTAGTTATAATCTAAATGAAATTAATATATAATCACTCAAAAAATTTATAACATAATTAATAATTTTATTTTTTACTTCAGGTGATACTCCATTTAATATGCCATTTATTTGTTTGTTTTCTATTGAAAATAGTATGAGGTAAATTAAATCACATATGTGTATCCAAGGTTGATATTGATATCCGTTCCCTATATTAGTCCCTAAACCTACTAGAGTAGGGTAATACAACCATTTCATGAATCCTCCATTATGATCCAGAACAGTTCCTTATAATAAATAATGTTGTAAAAAATAATTATTACATTATGGCACTCATAATTATAAATGCTATACAATTCATTACATAGCTAGTTATTTTTAGAACCAGTTTAACTCTTACCTGTTCTAATTGATACATGACGTACTCTAGTTGATAAGTTATATGTAGCATTTTCAACACCTGATGCTAATTGCGTAAAGAAATTACAGTTAATTTTATTATTGGGGATATAATCTTCTGTGTGAAATCCATCAGATGGATAAATGTCTGAAAATATTGTAATTATTATTTTAATTTAATGTATTTATACTCAGAAGAAAATATACCAGTACTAGTGATGGTAATGAATGCATCTGGTTTGCATTTTGTATTATTAATGATGTCTGTAAGTAACATTGTTGAACCAACTCTGCTGATCCAAATGCGTTGCATATAATCACTTCCAAAATATTTGAAAGGAACCATGATGGATTCACCTGTCAAGTTTACTACAGCAGTGATCCCTTTGGGGATACCGTTTCTTATTAATTCTTCCTTTAATTAAAATGCAATATAAAATTACTTATTCTAGTTATAATTTGTATATCAAATTTGTTAATTAAATCTTATTCAATGTACTTATTGTAAACCATTGTAAACAAAATGTTTTTAATTAAAAAATTTTTTTTTATATAATTAATTAAATGGGAATTATATAATTACCCAAGATATAATGTGATTTTCTCCTGTCTTAACTCTTGAAATCACGGTAACTTTATAATTCTCTTTTATCAGAATATCTCTTAACTTACTTCCAACGAATCCCGTTCCTCCTCCTGTAAAGTGTTAAAAATAATTTTTTTTGTATACATTTTTTTGACTTAATAAACGTACCAATTAATATGTGGCCTAAAGTACAATACATAGGCTTGCATAAAAGTCGTTTAAAAAAAGAGATTGCTTTGAAAGACTTTATCATTTTCTAAAACACAAATTAGTATTTTTAAAAGTAAATTGTTACCAAAAAGTAAACTATTGTTTATGAAGAAGTTATATTTTTAATTTAATACAATTTTGGTATGAACATTATTGAAACATATTAATATTTTATTAATTTGAAAATAAATGTATAAAAAAAATATGAATACATTTTTACAAACTAGGAATTTGATAATGGAAACATGCCATAGAAGATAACATTTTTATGATGAAAAATCTATCTCTTGATCTATATACATGTTAAGAAAAATGCAAAAAAATAAATACACGAAAATTATATATTATTGATGATTTAAATAGAGATTAAAATTTTGATAGGAGATAAGCGTACAGGACGGGTTATTTTAAAATGATTTAGCAATAATGAATTCAACATTTTTAAAAAATAATTATAGTATGATTAAGTAATTAAAATATAATAATTTTGTTACAAACCTTTCATATTTCTGTACAATTCTTTTCCCAATTGTTAACAAAATTTATTTTATTTTCTCATATATAAAATATTATAAATAAATATTCTTAACTGAATAAAATTTCATCACCTATAATTTATATATTTTCTGAATTATAAAAAGTCACCAAAAAGTATTATTTTTAAGATGATTAAATTTGAAAATCGTCAGTCTATACAACAATAATATATAAGCTGTTAAAATAGTATTTCTACTGTTACGTGGTATTTATAAATTAATCAGTTTTTTTTTAATTTTAAAACTAGATATTTTAGGTAAAAAGTAGGTTTAATGAAATATACTTAATATAATGTAACAATTTATTTATTTTTAATAATTCTAATTTCATAATAATCACAACCAGTTCAATTTTATTTCAAAATATATTCAAGTTACGTTCACAAATAACTATGATTGCATCTTAAGTTTAATGCATATGTGTACACACATGTTTAAAAAAAAAAAAATAATAATAATAATAATAATACAAAACACAAACAATACAACAATAAACATTAAAAAAATAATTGCAACTGAAAAAAAAATACAATGTTCATAGATTAACTAAAAAAAAATACATTTCATTATGATACAAATAAAATAATGATTTTCTTTTAATCTGTGATGGTATAATAAGTTTATAACAATATAGATCGTCAAGATTTTTCAAAAACAACAAACTAGAGATCCACACATAATAGCAAAACAGAAAATGTAATAACCTTCGATTGTCAACTTTAATTTACTCCTGATAAGTAAAGTATTGCATGATTATATTTTGTTTTTAATATATTATTGATATATAGAATTATTTCATTAATATATATAAAGTAATTTATTATGGCAACTTTTTTCTAATATTTATGCCCTTAGAACATTTTTATAAACATAAATTCATAATGTATATACCCAAAGAATATTAAAAAAGCAATAAATTATTGCTTTATTTTTTACAGTTACTATTATTATACACACTATGTTTATCACATTATATTAACCAAGGGTAGATTATATAATTAAGTTACAAAAATATCAGTTTTCTGATATAGTAAAATTATAAATGGAGGAAAATAATGAAATTTTTATTCATAATTGCTCTAACTATATTAGTGTTAATAGAATAATTATAACATCCATATATATTATACATTAATAAATATCTATTTTACTTGTACTTGTAACATAGTACTAATCTATCAAATATAAGCTAAAATGAAATAATAATAAAATAAAAATATTGATTTCTATGTGACTTTTAATGGAAATTGACTAGTCTCATCTTATAAATGAAGAGGTAAATTATTTTTTTAAAACCATTGCAATTAATATTCAATTATATTACCAATATAATTAAATTAGATATTGACTAAGAAACTTAAAACTAAAAACAAATAATTTTATGTCTGTAAATACAGTACATTTAATTGAGTCTTATATAAAAAATATATGTGTAAAAATTAACTTTGGTTAAATTGAATTTTCTTCAAAGAAATAAAAATTATTTTACAATCATAAGTAAGATATTTAGTCTATAAGATACTTTCCATTAGAGATAGATAAAATATTGTAACTAAATATTAATGGTATAATAATATATTAAAGGGAACTATAGAGATACTATAAAATTGGACGTTAAGATTTTTCTTTTTTTTTTTGAAATAGTTAAAAAAAAGTTAATACATTAAAGTATTGTTTGACTTATTACATTTAAATTAAATAATACATTTTAGTGCATATGCAAAGTCATTAACTATCTACACTCACTTCTCTAATACCTATTTTAGAGTTTGCCATTTCCGAACAAGATTTTGCTTTATATAAACGATTATCATTGTTCTTTTTGCTAAATAGAATTTGTGTACAAAGTTTTTTTTGTAAATTTAAGTACCTACTAAACAATGAGATACGTTTAGATGCTTGATGTTTATTATGCTGTGATACAGTTGATGTCGTTGAAAGATTTTTTTCATTAATCACATTGTTTGAAGATACCTAAAATAATTAAGACATAAAAACAAAAATATTTAATCTTTCTAAATTAAAGATGAAATAATTGTTACTTGAATGTTTCTGTTAAATTCAAAATTATTGGAACTAACAGTTGAACTTGGAGTATGTACTTCTGATTCTTGGACCTCAGTAATACGATTCAAACTTTGGCTTTCCCTCAATCTGGTTTCAGCTGATCGACCTCTTCGACTTCTAGCATTAGAACTTATGCATCGTCTTCTTCCAGCAGCACTTTCATTAGGCCTTTCAGCTTTATTTCCACCATTTTCATCTTTTTCTCGTTCACTAGTGTCATGTTCTTGAGTGGGTTCTGATCCTCGACCACCAGAACTGCCCATTCCATCATTATCGGGATCTTTATCATTACCTTTAAATGATGGTAATGATCTACTACTGCCTCGTTTTTTACGGCCTTCTGTATCATCATCACTAGTTTCTGAGCTGCTACAGGATGCTGTACGGTTTTTATGCATTTTGCTTCGTCTCTGTTCATATGTTATACAGTTACTGCTATTTCTATTTTGTTTATCATCGAGAAGTAGCTGAGGTGAACTTTGAGTAGATACAAAAAGAGGTGGCGTCTTGTTGACAGCAATGGAAATAGGAACAGTATTTAATTCATGAAGTTCAGCGATAGAAAGTTTTTTTTTTCGTAATTCAGAAGCTACAGTATTCAATTTTCCTTCAGATCGAGAGCCTCTTCTATTTAAAGAACTATTATCCTCTTCCTCAATTTCTTTTTCATCTTCTTCTTCGACTACAACACTACACTTGCGAGTTCTCTGTATTAATATCAATAAATATGTTATAAATAATTTTGAAAATATACAAGTTCATGATTTTATTACTTTTGGACGATCAGAATGCAAAGACCCTAATATGGCAGATTTTGGTGCTACACTAACCACCTCAGAAGCATTATTTTGAACACAATTATCTACTTTCAACTGAGGAACATTCATATTACTGAAAAGACAAATATGTAATATATATAAATTTAATTAAATTTTTTAAAAAAATTGATGAAATACCTTTTACAAATTTGAGGTTTTTTTGGTATTGCTGATTTCAGTTTTCTTTCTGCGAGCAAGTAGTAAGTAGCTGTTATATGATTATATTCATTTTTGTCTAAAGCCCTAATATATATAATGATTTGTTAATATTAATTCTACATTAAGATTTTGACAACTATTATACATTTTATACTCACTCTATAATTTGTTCTTTAGTAGCAATTTTTCCACTAATCATTCTTTGCACAATTAATGCATGGTCATCTTCATTAATTAATTGTTTAGACACTAATGGACTTTCATCATCATTTACTACTTTTGCATCTTTTAACCAAACATCTGCTGCAATTTCATCAAGAGTAGATCGTTTCTCAGGGTTTCGTACAAGCATACGGCCTATGAGGTTTTTACATTCTTCCGATACATGATTGGATACTTTATACTTGCAGTCCATAATCATAGTTACAGTTTCACTGTCATTAGCAGAATGAAATGGTGCTTCACCACATACCAACATGTACAGGATAACACCCAATGACCAAATATCTAAAAATAAAACATGTAACAAATTTATAAACTAGTATAATACTGACTTTTTATGATACAATAAATACACTGATAAATAATAACGTATATATTATTAATTAAATTAATAAATAAGTTTTTAAATTACTAATAATTTTGAATAAAGTTGATATATTTTAAATTTAAACACTTATTTAGTTTTAATTTAAAGATATTTAAATAGAGATTTGTTCAACCGGATTTTGAATTAGTTTATATAAACACATTTTTTATTTATTAAAGTGATACTTTTTATGAGTAAAAAAAAAAAAAGTAAATAATTATTATTGGCAGACCAATTATCAAAATAAAAAAAACTATTTTCCTTAATGCAAATGTTTTTTTTCAAAATATCTAAGTTTAGTAACTAAATTTAATTTATTTAATACAAAATTGTAACTTTTTTTTTACCATAATGTAATTATGTAAAATTTAGCCAATTTAGAGTTACAAATCCATTAGTTTAAATTTTTTTCTACTAGTTACTGTTAAGTTTATGTATTATGAATGCTGCTAGTCCAAGTAAATCAAAAAAATAATAATTTACAATACCAAAAAACAAAAAAATTATTATGATACATTTAAATTCTAAATAATTATTATCATATTTTAATCTTCATCAATTTATTATTTTAAACAAATTACATTTTATTATAAAGACTTTATTTTTATTGTAAAAATTGACACCTTCACTTTCAAAAAGATTATTAGAATTATGTATGAAATCAATTTTAACTAAAACTAGTTTTAGACTTTTTCTTACCAACAGCTGTAGCATTATATGAATTTCCAATTAAAATTTCAGGAGCTGAATAAGCTAATGAACCACAGAATGTTTCTAATTTTTGACCAGGGCAAAATGTATTGCTAAAGCTATAATAAAAATATTATAAACAAAATCTTAAAACTATATAAATAACTTACCCAAAATCTGTAAGTTTGACAACACCTTGTTTTTCAAAAAATACTACATTTTCAGGTTTTAAATCTCTATGAACAACATGTAATTTGTGACAGTATGATATTGCTCTTACAATTTGAGCAAAATATTCACAAGCCAATTTTTCTGACAATCCACTCTCATGTCGCATGATGTAATCATATAAATCTCCACCATCTGCTAGTTCAAGTATGAGATACAATTTACTGTGCGTATCAATCACCTCATATAATCTCACAACATTTGGATGTTGTACTAATTTCATACATCGGACCTGTTTAAAAGATATATAAATAAACATAATGTCATAAAATTAATTCTTTAAAAAATAAATATATTTAGTTATTTAGTTATAACTTATTGATTAATATTTTCTATTATTAACTAGAAATTAACTGTATAAAATATTTTATTTAATAAATAAATAACTATAACATATAACACAAATACATTTAACCTCTACATAAAAACAATTAATATTTATAAAATTTGTAAATTTATGGATATTATTATTTATTTATATAAAATGTAATTACCAATCTTAATTATGCCTATAATTGCTATATTAACAAGGAATATAATATAATGCATATAATTATTATACTAATTACACATAATTCATTTTGAATAATGTATTAGTTAAGTCGAACATCAAATAATATTAATTTTTCAAAGAATATTATGTATAGAAAGCAGAATATTATTTGAAATTCATAATTATAAATAATATTAAATTACTTTGAATACTATCAAAACAATCAATAATTTTTCTTTTATTTATTAAATACTACTACTACTAAGGTCTTAATCTTTTTCTAATCAAATTTAATAAAAAATACAACGTAATAAATTTATAAAAATTTATTGATTAATATGTTTATTTGAAATAGTATTAAAATTATTTAAATTGTTCATAAGAATTAAATATTAAATTAATTTTTAAATGTTTAACTATAAAACAAAACTTTAAATTAGTTATTGAAAGAACTGATGGAATAAATCTTTACTGTAAAAAGATTAATAATATAATAAATAAATAATTATTTTTCTATTACATTTTCAAAATAACTTTTATTTATAAATAACAAACTATAAATTCAAAAGCATAAATGTTGTATTAATAATAATTATTATTCATAAGCAATGCATTTTATTAACTTAATATTATACCTTACTATTGCAAAATAATAGGGGTATATTATAGGATAAATGTAGTTGTTTAAAAAAAAAAAACCTATTGAACAAAGAAAATAAATGAGTTAGTACAATTACAGTCATAATAAAATTAAACATTATGATGGTTAACTATAATAATAAATAACAATAATTAGGTTATTTATATTATTTATTAATAAATAATGTTAAAATAATTATTCTCATTAGATAAATAAGAACAACAAAATTATTTAAGGGCATGGTTATATCTAATAAATTATTTATCATATTTTAAATAGTAAGTGTCCAACATATGCAATAGCAATATTAATAAAAACGTTAAAATTAAGCTGTTTTAACAGTTATAGGTAACAAAAGTAGTATAAATGGCACAAATATTTAAGTATATAAATAAATAAACAAATACTTAACCTGGAGTATTGTTATATTTGTAATACACGATCAGTTTTTAACAAAAAATCCATTGTCAGTATATACAAAATTAATAAAAATGCAATTCAAAAAATAAAGTTGCTACTTTATTAATTTTGTATATAACTAACAATTCATTTTTAATTTGAAATTGGCCGTGCATTACAAATATAATAATACTTTTAGATAAAGTTTTTTTTTATTTGTTTATTTATTTCTATATATTTGTATTTGTTTATTTAAATATTAATCTATAAGTATTTAATAATAATTTATTTTAATTTTATTTTTTAATATTTTAATAAATATTTAAAGCCAAAATAGAAAATTGAAAAAATTAAAAATTTTTTATAACCTATAGATAAAAACTATAAATGGGACATATTCCTACTCTCTGATGATTTATTACAACTATTAATTCATTTATAAATCTATTAAATGTCTATTTAGATTTAATTGTGAAATTTGGTTCAGTGGTTTTGGGAAATGTTTACATTCCAACCATTACATTTGGTGGTTGATGAATAAGTTTATACAAAGTTGCAATATATACCTCTTGGTATAGATGATTCCTAGAAACTTCCTCCAACTTGTTCTTGTCGATTACTTTGACGGCTACCTGTTCACCCGTAAAAACATGACTGGCCAATTTGACCACTGCAAAATGTCCTTTACCAATTGTTTGTTCCAGGTCGTACATGCCAGCAATGTTGCCGCCATTGTGTTTGGCTGGTTTAATTGTATCCGGTTTGCCGATCACGCCACTACTGTGTTGCATTATTGTATTCAACACGACTGGTTAACACCCCGATCCTACTACTCACTGGGTTGAGATTTAAGACTTCAGACGGAAAGTGGTATAGTGCATTTCGTCGTCAAGTGAGCGCACTTGTCCGCCGAATAGCAGTGTAACAGGAAATTATTATTCAAGAGAATGAAAACGCCACTCAAGACTTCTCAAACTTTTTACCAATGATGCCCCGCTTCATTCATATCAACTGCGCGAATTACATGATCATCTTAACACTAAAGTTATGTGCGACCTACGATATCGCCTATCGAGTATTTACTAGTTTTATTTTTATTTGTTATACTCATCAACAAGATGAATCGATAAAAACACCTGCCAAAGTTTCAAGGTCGATAATATTTGATACGCTTTGATAAGATTACCAGTCTGCTATTGTTATCACATACATACTATCATCACAGATTATATTAAACTATTTCATATAATCTGTGCTATCAATCCAAGATCTATGAAAAAGGAATCTATAAAAGAAGAGTCTTCTTTATAGATCTTGCTATCTATCATCATATGTTCCATAGACCTATTAACTCACGAGTTAATAGGTCTTAGATATGTTCTATGCATAGACATAATATATAATAAAATAATATTATAATAAAATATTGTATATATTATACATCATTATAATAAATTATGTCTGTGGTTCTATAATTGTATCGTACCAATTTATTAAAAGCTTACGTTCCGGGCTTTACTTATTGGATAAGCCGTTTCACGATAATATGTCTGTGCCAGCCAAAACCTAAACGTCACTATTTTATCGTCCTTTTAAATACGTGTAGTTAACACATAAACTAATATAGAACATGATAAACTATGTAAATAGTCATATAATTATCCTATGACTTAGTACCCGGTTTCTTTCATTATCTCTATTTTCCCGTGATCATAGGTTTATTATATGATTGTAATTTATTACCTATAGTATCTATAAAGTTCTTTAAAAACTGATATAGCCTTAGTATCACTTCATGCAAAATATATTGATAAGGTTTGAAAACATACCACAGAATAAATAATGATAATTCATTTTCTAATTTCAATAGGTTCTAATCAATGGTTATATGTTATGTTCTAGTAGTTCAAGATGAGTTATTTCCTTTACATGTTTGATTGAAAAAAATTTGTAACTGAACATTTTTAATTAATTTTAACACAACTATATTACTTAGTTATTCTGCACTTATAAATCATGTCCAAATTAGCAATCCCTTGGATTCCAGCAACTTTCACATTATCACCTATGATTGGTGGTTTCATTGGAGGAATTTTCGTTCGTAAAAATATAAAAGGATGGTACGAGGTAATTTAATTATGTTATATTTTTAATCAATGTTATTTTGTTTTTTTTTAAGTTAATAACTATTAAGTTGGATTAACAATAGTTTTTGTAAATTGTTTTGTTAAGTTGTTTCCTAGATTCTAGTGTTTTTCTTTTGACAGCTGTTAGAGGCGGTAAGCAGATTATTGATGTATCTAAAAATACAAATAACAGCATTGTCTAAATTCATGTGTATTATAAAATATTCGATCTGGGTTAAGTTTTCTATCAAAATATACCTATATTCTGCCAATTGTACTGACCTGCCTAATGATCGGATAAGACTCATAAAAACATATTTGAATTCGTCATGAAGTTGACTTGAAAATGACTTTTTTACATTTTTGAATCATTATTTCTATACCCTTAAAAAATTGATTTTAAAATCTTAAATAATAATAAATTTACAAATGTAAATAATATGAAATTGATAAAATAATTTGAAAATGTAAAAAAGTCGATTTCAAGTTAACATCATGACTAATTCAAATATGTTTTTAGAAGTTTTATCCATGACCAAGGAAACCAGTATGATTGGCAAAAAATTGATTCTTTTCGAAAAAAATAGAACCAAATCGTATTCTTGGCAACAGTGTAGTTTGACTTGAGCATGCGCGTGTGGAAGTAATCTTCTTCCGCTAATCGTTGCCGCTAATTATAGTGCCCGCATTGTTATCAATCTGTTTATTTTATATTATATTATACCTAAATGGAACTGGGCTAAATGTTGTCATAATTCAAAAGTCTATAAATAAACTCTCAAAGATAAAGCATAGATAATTTTTTAAATGAAAATGAAAATTTTAGAAATCGGCAATAGTACTTCATTCGTGTTTGGTTTATGGTCTAGCTAAAGTACAAAGAAGTTACTATTTTATTATATTTTTAATATATTATAAAATAAGCAATTCTGTGATATCTATTATTGGAAAACTGGTTTTGCCATCGCGCCGGTGCATTGGTGATTAGCAGCACGAGATTAATATGGCCCGGAATGGCATATTGGTAAAGGGGGTTTAGAGCGGGGTAATTACACACACACTAGTGATCATTTAAGCATGATTCACACTAGTCAGACACGTACCGTTCCGGAAAATATTTTAATATTTGTTTAAATACAGTAATTCACATTTAAACGTTCTGTTCTTATACATAGCGAACCGACGGAGTCCGTTCGGCATTCCGTGCGAGAATGTTTTGTCGGAACGGCACGTGTCTGAACAGGTCTGTACAAAGTGTGAATGAACAACATACATAATATTATAATATCCGTCTGCTGTTATTCACTGGAAAATTATTCGCAGTCACATACAAACTTCTCATTTTTTTTACACGTGATGAATTTAGAGTTATTAATTGAATTCGTTAAAGACCAAGAATGTCTTTATGCATTATCACAAACATTTTTAAACATATTTCAAACTTAAAATATAAAAAAAGGGGAAAAGAGGGAAACTTGTGTAGTCACTTTACGATGTATCGAAAATGTAGGTATGGGAACAATAATAAGTATAATATGTTTGAACGGTACGGTACGGTGTCTGACTAGTGTGAATCATACTATATTTCGTGCATACTCTCTTGGTGTTCACGCACGCGTGTGACAAATTGCCTATATTCAATCCCTTAAAAACTACCCGGATTGAATTAACTTTTATATTTAATTATTCCTACAAATTTAATCGTATACTAAAAAAGTATTATGTATTTATTATTATTATTTATTTATTCAATCTAATGTCCAGTCTTAGAATAAGAAGGTTAAAGACTGTGCACGCTTATATTAATAATACATATTTGAATTAAATGATGGGTCTGTTACAGACATTGAATCGACCATCTTGGAGACCTCCAAACTATGTGTTTGCTCCGATTTGGACAACATTATATTTAGGAATGGGTTATGCTTCTTATTTGGTATACCATAATGGAGGTGGATTTTCAGGTAATATAAATAATAGCTTAAGAATTAATATTATGTTTTTTTTTAATTTTGAATTGTAACTATTAATTATTTTATTATAGGTACAGCGAAAATTCCATTGCTTTTATATGCATCACAATTAGTTTTAAATTGGGCGTGGTCACCATTATTCTTTGAATTTCATCAATTAAAATGGGTATCTATTCGAATTAGTTATAACTGATAATTTCTAGTAATTTAAATAATAATGTAACATTTTTTTTTTCAACAGAGTTTAATTGAAATTTGTGTTTTATGGGTCAATGTAGCTGGTTGCATTACAGGATTTTATAGAATAAACAAAATAGCTGGTTATATTATGATTCCATATTTAGGATGGTTATCATTAGCAACATCATTAACATATAGTATTTACAAGAATAATCCCGATATTTCTGACAAAACAATTAAAGATAACAAATAAATTTTATTGGTTGTTCCAGTTTGTTATTCACATCGATTTTACATTGAATAAAAATATGTAAATTATTTTTATATCCAATTTTATATCTTATATTATAATCATATTATGTACATTAACTATTTCACTTGTATATTTATGTACTGTTGATAATTTTATGTCATTGTTTAAATGTGGTTAATTGTTATTATAAAATTAATTATATGTATATTAAATTTTTTAAAATGAACAACAAGGCCTAACTAACTGACCTTGAAATTTAAATTTAATTTAATTTTTTTCATTAAAGTTAAGAAAAAAAATTAAGGAAGTTAAAAATCATCTTTAAAACATTATTTAGATCCAATTTTTGATAGGACATGATACCTAATCAGATTATTAATCATATATTATACACTGGTATCAATACAATAATTTTTCATTACTTACTAACATTAATTTTGATTAAAATAATAAACAAGTAGTATTAAAAATATATTTTTAATTGTTTTAACATTATCTTTGGTATTCTACAATGAAAAAAAGTAATAAATATTATCACACTTAAATAGTATTTTCAATTTTACTTAATTCACACAAATCCATTAAACTTAAGGTATAAAAATACTATAAATTATATTTTTAAATATTTAAAAAAACTAGGTAAATGGAGATATAAATAATATTAAATAATCTTACAAAACAAATGAAATATATTTTAAGTAAAAGACATTTGTTCAAAGTAAACTCAAACTAGTATTGTTTATAATTATTTGTTGAATTCATAATATGTTATGTAAGAACAAATTTTAGCCATTTTCTAATGTTATGTTTAAAAAAAAAATGTAATGAGTAAATCAGAGGTATAATAAAAATGACCATTTGTAATATAAGATTTTACCAAAATGTTTACTAAGGCAATATAAAGTAATAAAATATTAATTGTATTCTGTAAATAATGTATTAATATTCATAATCTAATAAAATGTATAAACAAATAAATTATAAAATACAAATTATGTATTTAATTACATATATACATACATATAAATTATGTACATAATTATTTGTATGATAGTAAAATAATGGACATACTGTAAACTAAAATTATATATTACACATATTTTCATTACTTTTTTTTTTTTTTTTTTTATGAAATTGAGCCCATTATCACAGGGCACTTTATGATTATTAATTTATAATATTCATGAATTTGAATTGACTAAGATAAAATATTGAAATATAAAAAAGCAATACAAAGATAAAAATTGTCAAATACAAATTATAATAATATAAAATGAAATAATATAATATGACTTAATTTAATTAAGATTAATAAAACTTCGTAAATATTCTTATAGTACATTAAATACAATATTATTTGAATACAAAGTATAGTATTATGGAAACATTATCTAGTTTCCCATACTTTAATTATTTTTCAAGATGCCCATCTAGATTTTTGTAAGTCAATTTGGCCTTCTAATGTTTTTGCTAAATTGATAATAAGTAGCTAAACAAAATATTTACACAATATTATATTAATTACAATAACTTTATTTTCATTAGTACTAACCTGAGATAATGCCACACCTAAAGCAACTCCCGCAATTGTATATAAATTTCTTTCAGCCCATATACGAATAACTTCAATACAGCCACTAGTCCATACTCTTTTACTAGCTTCAGCAACCTAAGGTAAATTAAATATGAATTTTTTAAACTTGATAGTAAAAACATTATTTATTTGCTATATACATACAGAACTATCTTGAGCACCATAACCACACATAACATTGACAAGTCCTTTCTAAAAAATTAATTACGTACATGTAAATTGTATTAAATAATTTAAAACACAAATAAAATAGAAATTATACAGACCGAAATATCTGTTGCATTGATACAACATGAATAGGGCACCCCACATTTTTCAACACTTGGGGACGTGCAATTAAAATATTCATTTTTTGACCAATCGATATATCCTTCTGAACTAAGACCACAGCATTGAAACTAGAATAAACATAAACATAGTAATATAAATGTTGATATATTAATTAAGACCTATTACTTCTTTTTGAGCAAAATCTATAAGATTTTGTAAATCTGGGTCATCACGGTAAGTGTGAATAATTTTGTCAGTGAACGACTCTTCCAAAGTGGCTTGCATATTATGTGGAAATACGAAACCAAGAATAGCGATTCCCATTTCAAGCAAAAAAAATATTAAAAGACATAAGGAATACTGAAAAAAAAAATTATATTATTTTCAGCTCATCTTGTGATTTCAAAATATTGTTTTTATTATATTGATGACTATACGAGTGTCAATTATAATACTTTTTTTTAATTAATTAAATACTATGTTTAATATTTAAGTATATGCACAACTCATATTTAAGTTACAAGTAGAATCCAGATATTATTAATTTGATTTGGGATTTGTACATATATGATCTACATACATACACATATAAATACTGATACATAATAGGTAAAAATTAATAGATTTCAGTACCTCGTACAGTAAAATAAAAATTTAAATAATTAGAAATCTTGAGATATTTTAATGGCAACAGACTTAATCTATGAACTTCATAATGTAGGTACATAAAGTACATAGAACATACAAAACTATTTTTGACAAATATATTGTGTTTTTAATGTTGTTATGGTACAATATTGTTCAAACCTCTTTGATTATTATATATATTTTAACTCCAGAAGTTTAATAAAAATTATATAGTTTAATATTTCTCTGTTTAAAAATCCTTACTTTTTTAATCAATTATTAAATTTGGGTAATAAGAAGTGGACATTTTAGCATGAGGATATTGGACCTTGAATTGGTATTACTGGTATATTGATACTAATTAAAAATTAAGACTTCCCTTAGAGATAAATTTATGTTGTCCAGATAGTTCTGATAACTTTTGATTGTACTAGGAATATGTCAATTACTTCAATGACACCATTGGTTACATAACATTTTTCTATTACAGTTAAATTATTTATACATTATATTTTAAATGAAAGGATAGAATAGATTCTATTTTTTTTTAAAGACAAACAGTTTTATAATTCAATAATCACTCAAAGAAAAATTATATTAAAATATTTACAAATCCTATGATAATACATTTTTAAGTATTGTATTACCAAGCAAATTATTATTGTTTTGACCAAGTCAAAATCAAAGAAATTAGTCTTTAACAAAAGGATTCCAACAATTTTTATTTTTTATTTATAATAATTTAACTGGCTTGAACCTTTGGTGATTATATATTTATAAAATATTTTATACTGTCAGTTAAACATTTACTTAATTATTTATTATAATAATTTAATAATCAAAAGCAATACAAATTTATTAATAAACTCAAAGGTATTTAATAAATATTTAAAATAATTTAGATGATTTCCAATTCAATTTTATTTCATATTTCACATGAATACTATATTATTATACTTCAACAGAATTCTAATTAACACACAACATCCAACTTTTAAGTAAGATAAGTCAGAAACTCACAAATATTGTTGATAAAAAAAGTTATAGACTATATACTTAGTATATTGGAAACAAATGTTAGCTATTTCAATTAATAATCATACTAGACTTCAAAATAATATCCAATAATTTAAGCTATAACTTTAGTTTTTAAATATTCCTATAAATAACAAAAATAAACTTATATATTGAATATGAAAAATAAGATAAAATATTATCTAAAAAATACCAAATAATCTACACTTAAAATTAAAGATTCGCAGAACAGTGATGTCCAATTAAATTTTTACTGTTCAATTGGAGAATCATAATAAGTTAAAAATATATACAATTAATTTATATGTTGATTTATAATGAGTTTTTTTTTACAAGTTAAGTTATAAAAATAAATAAATATAATAATAATATAATAAAATATATTTTATTGATAAAATAGTATACATATTAAAATTTAAATGGGTTTATTCGTTAAAAATTTAAAATTATGAATTGACTTTTGTTAATTCGGGTAAGTAGTAGTTAAAATAAAAATGTTCCATTTTCTTGACTAGTTTTTCAAGAAATATATTGTCTCTTTTAACAGAAATAGTTATGCAGTCTTGTTTAGTACAAATAAATAAATCACATTCATCTAATCCAGTACAATACATTTGAATTTGACATTGTGAAAAATAATTATGATTTTTTTTTAAAAGAATAATAGTTTTCTTATCATTATATTGCAAGTATGGAACTCTTAAATGTCCATCATCTTCTTTAATCAACAAAGTATCTTTACAAGTATATGGGCACTTTATTTCTAATAACTTTTTTATTTTATTTTTACTGACAACTAAGCCATCTGGGCTTGCACATATCCAAGGTTGTTTTTGATGTATAACCAAGCCACATTTTATAACATGAACATTATATATATCTGAATACTTTTTAATAGCAAAATCTTCCATTCTCATTCCATATTCTACATATTTTAATCCATTTCCTATAATTTTTTTATCTTTAACAAATCGTTCAGCTAATTCTTCATTTCGATTACGTCTTGTATTTATCTGATGAGCTTTAGAACTGGCTGAGAGTCTAGTTTGTCTATGCAACCTCCAAGCACTATTATTTGCCTGTTCTATTGTGCTATACATTAAGTTTAGTATTTGGTCTCTATTAACAAAAACAAATTGTTTATAAAATTGAAATTGATTATCATTTATTGGATTTATATCATTAGTGAATAATGAAGTCTTGGTTTGTAAATTAAGTAAATAATCATAACAACCAAGTTGTTTAAAAATAATCTCATCTTTAATGGAACAGGATGACTTTTTTGAACTACAGTTTAATTTTGGTAATAATTTTTGATCAATGCCATAAATATTTGCAATCTGAGCAGCAATATTTTTGAAAGACAACTGAAATAAAGGGAAAGCATTAAAACTACAATGTTCTTTCTCTAATCTCATATTAAAATAAGAATATAATAACTGTAACAAAAATAAAAACACAACTCACTCCTATATGAAAAAGTTTCATTCTGTTAAACATTCTATCATATGGTATAAAATTGTTTTTAACACAAATAATATAGTTAAAATAATATAATTAAATCTGCAATCAATATTTATCATACATAATATTATGATTATTAGTGTTATTAACAATTGTTAAATATTAAAAATACCAAGGAAACGATTCTCAACAATTAAAAGTTAAGTATTTATTTTTACATGGTAAAATTAAAATTAATATGAAGAACTTGATTTATGTAACACATTTAAAATATAACATCAACTTTATAAGGAATAATTAGTAATAAACTATAATTTAAGACAATTTATGATAAAAATGTCTTTAGTGACAAAATTAATGAAGGCTTCAATTTTTATCAAAATGGTAACTCCAAATCCAAATTTAAGCTTTAATCACATTAAAAACTTAAATTAAACCATAGAAAAATTTAATTTAAAACCCATTTTAAATGATATATCATTCAAAACACTATTATCAACAAAATATACTTAATGGTCACTACTGCATGGTTCACACTATAGAAAATAAAAAACGTTCTCGAAGAAATAAATTTAAATTTATATTGAAGAAATATAAATAATTATCATCTTTGTGTAGTTGTCATTGAATAAAAAATGCACCCTCAACTACAGAAACAAATAATTTTGGTAAGAGTTATATGGTTATTTTTTCTAAATCAGTTTAAGGTTGTTGGTAAACCAAATAGGACTCAGAACATGAAAAATTAGCATATTTTTTCTTATGTTTATATTCAGGGATTGTCTTTATACAAATTTGATTCATTTCATACATTATACATTTTACTTTGCATTTACCCATATAGACATATATATCCCAGATATATTTATAATTATATTTTTTTATAGTTTGATCTATTAATTTAGAATTGAATAGAATGTATAAAAATGTCCAATGGAATTATTACATACTTCCATCTTTAACATTAAATGTTTTGCTTTCTTGGTATTAACAATTAAATTTTAGTTTTAAAATGCTATAAAATTAATAAAACGTTATCTTTTATTTTATTTTTTAATGTTATTGATTGAATCATTTTACCACTTTTTTTGTAAAGAGTTTTGATTTATTAAGTTCCAAGTCATGTAATAAAAATTAAAAAAAAACTATGGAAGCAAAATGTTTCTAGACTAATTAATAGACTGACTAGTTGTTGATTAACTTTACAAAAAAAAAAAAAAAAAAAAACTATAATCATATAAAAATTTAAAAATTACTTCATTGCAATACTTATGAACTTTTAAAACTAAAAATCTATGACACATCTAACTTTAAAAACAAAAACTTTCACTTTAAAACAAAACAACAGGTACCTATTTTTTTTATACAATGACCAAAATCAAATGACATTGAAAAATATTTTTATATCTAAGAGTTAATTTTAGTGTTTATATTTATAATAAAAAATGTCTATTATTTGGTATTTTATCGTACTGAAAATGAACTTTGAAGGGAAAAGAGGAAGAACAAGACCAAAAGAGATATGGTTGGATACAATTGAGAATGATATGAGGTCTGTTGGTGTATGCATAGGGGATGCAGAAAATCGAAATGAGTGGAGGTTTAGGACAAGGATGGCCGACCCCAAATAGTTGGGTGAAAAACGAGGGGGGAAAATAATTGATATTTAATCGTGCTTATTCATGCTAAGGTTAATTATTGATTAACTAAACTTGACTTATAAATCTAAAACTGTCAAAAAAAAAAAAAAACAAATTATAATTTAAAATATAAAATAATTACAGAAATATATCTTTTTTACGAACAATAAAAATCAATATCTATTTGATTGATATGTTCCCTATGGTAAACTAAAAACAATTTAAATTAAAAACAATATGGGTAAAAACTTAATTTACCTAATTCATTATTTAATATATTTGTCTTAAATTTCAAAGTATAAAGATTTATAGTCAGTAATATAGCATGAGCATGATAATCAATTGAGTATGATTTTGATTAATCAAATATCTTGAAGCCTTATTAAATAACACTTATTAAATAACTTATTAAATAAATAAATCATGAAATTGGAATTTCAAGAAAATATAATGTATATTTTAATTGATGCAACAGTAACATCTCTAATACAAACAAAAAAAATTGTTATTTAGGGTTAAATAATACTGAATTATCTGAGGAATAATCCTAATTCACCTTTAACCTTGTGAGTATGTTACAAAATTAATGAAAATATATAGGTGAAGCAATAAAATGCCAGTTATCACCGTAGAGAATTAGTTCATTAACTATACTATATAAGATATAATATTATATAGGTAAATTAGACTTCATTTCATTCACCTCCTTCAATTGCATATTTTCTAATCAAATTGAAATTTCAATATATTGTCATAAACTCCCTAGGTTTATAATATTTGTAATCTACTTATGTAGCTAACATATACTATAATCTATTTTGCAAGCAAGAGCAAGCTTAAATTAATAAATGTTAAGTAAAATACATTATAAAAATAAAGTAGATTTTTATAATTGTAAATAAAATAATTATAATTAATTAAAATTAAATATTAATGTTATAAAGATACTTACAAATTTAAGTAATGTAGTATTTTCGCGTAGGGCACCTATACATCCAGCAAAGCTAACAATGAATATAATTTGTCCAGCTATGATCAAGACCAATGAAATATTTAGTATAACATCTGAGAATGTGTTCAACTTGATGGAACCCATGGTGTTCCATTTTTCATAAAACGCAAAAGTACCAGCAGCCACCAATAAACCACCAAATAACTAAATTTCGATAAATTATTAATTTTGATCGTATTTGATGTAACTATAAATTAGTACATACCCAGAATAAAAAGTTTAGTAGAAAAATCATATATTTCACACAGGGACTGACATAAGTAAAATTACTAACACGTCTTCGATTCATTGCCACAGGCATTTTAGTCACAACAAATGTACACGATAAATATTTGATTTATTTAACAAAAGTAAATTTGTTAAAAAATAATTATCGTATCAAAATAAAATTTCTCAAACAAGCAATTTCAAATAAATCATTATTTTACTTATAGAGTATTTTTATAGTTTTTGTTGTTGTTATATTTAGTTCTTAGATTCCATACAAATCGAAAATATTCAAGACGCTATGAAAAGATGTAGCCTAAATTTGAAATACATAAAAATGTACATAACACATCAACCTAATAAAATTATGCTTTTTCATCACTTACGAATATTTTATGATTATAAAAAAAACTTATCTCTATTCTATGGACAATAACACAAACAATAATATAACAATAGTCATATATTATTATATTAATAGAACAAAGAAATAAGAATGGAAAATTTTAAGTTATTGATGTTAGATTCGTGATCATTAAAAATCTGTGACGAAGTGATAATAAACAAAGAGGTTAAGAACTATTTAATTCGTAGCTAAATAAAGTTATTAAGCCATGAATCCATGATTTATACTATATGATATATAGGTACATAAATATTTGATAAAAATATTTTAGAGTTTATAGAATAAGTTACAAAAACTTATCCTGATTTTACAGATTAAATATTTATTGTAGATTTATTTACCTAATTTTTATTGAATTGAAAACGATTTATTTTAACTTACGAAATAGTTATTTATTTAACTTGAAATTTGTGAACTCTATTTTATTACTAAATATTTATACATTTTTATTATACAACAAAATGTCGAAAAATCGTTTTGTGAGCGATTCATCACGGGGCATATTCGATGATGTAGATGATGTGGATGACAATGAATTCTTATCTCGTGTCCGACCTAATTTAGGTTATAGAAATGATTTAATGGGTAACAATTATGGAAATCAAGAATTTGAAAATGCAAATCGACAAAAACAACAAGTTATTGAAACTACAAGGGATGTAGAACAAAGAACTTTAAATTCAACTGAAAGGACGCTACGTTTACTTAGAGAGTCAGAAAATATTGGTGCAGCTACAGCCGAAGTAAATAATTACTTTGAAAATATTATAATTTATTATAAATCATTTATATATTTTATTTTAACTATTAAAGGAATTAGTAAGACAAAGAGAACAATTGCAAAATACCGACAGACGACTTGATGAAATTAATTCAAACCTTCGTGTTAGTCAAAAACATATACAAGGCATTAAAGTAAGTAACTGATAACTAATAATAAAATAATTGTTAATAATATAAAAATGTATAATTAAATAAACAAATAGTTTATGTATAATAAAAAATAAACAAATAAATAAAAACAATCTAGAGTGTTATTATATTCGTAAAATACAGTCATAATTTCATTTTTTCATATTCAATCACAATTTTATTGACTTAGTATATATCTGACGATGAATTTTTAATTTGAAAATCTGGTCATATTTTACAAATATAATAATACTCTAGACTAAGTTTCTATGTATAAACTATTTAATTTATTAATAGATAATCATAGTAATAGTGTGTTGTTAAAAACTTGCTATTAATAAAATAAATATGAGTTGTAGATATTTTCTATTTTATACAAGATTCATTTTTTGTTAGATACTGTCTTTAAATATTTTTTAAAATTAGTTTAAAAAAAAACTTAAAACAATTTTAATTCAATACTTAAATTTAGTTTTTAAATTACTAACTTCTGGACTAAATGTACAGAAATATATTACTTATTAAATAAATTGATGTGGTATAACTTCTTAAAATTAAATTTACTTACGAGTTTTATTTTATTTTTTTTTTGTAAGGAATAGTTAATTTATAAATTTGTTTTACGCTATTATATCCTATCCTCTTATTATAGAGATGTAAAATTTGATTTAATTGAGCTAAGAGTAAACTGAGTGTATATCTATATCAATAATTTAATGTGCTAAATCACAAATAATATCTTCTGTCACTATTTATAAAATTATTAAACATATTATTATAACATAAATTATATTACAATTTTAACTTACCATAAAATCAATATTATCATATTTAAGGATGTACGTATTGACTTTATTATTTTATAATAAATTGTAATTTATAGAGCATTTTTGGAAGTTTTAAGAATATGCTTAGTGGTAAATCCAATTTACCTCCATCAAATACCCCAACTGAAATAGAGTCAAGTAGATCACCATTAACAAATGAAGTGCGTAGAAGTACGTTAAGTGAAACCTTAACTCAAGCAAATTCTAACATAAAATCCATGGAACAACATCCTGGTAGTTATTTATTTTTAAATTATTTTATTTACTTTTCAATTGATATAATTTTGAAATATTTTTAGGTTTAAAAATAAGAGGTTTGGTAGACGATGAATTAACTACTCCAACCAATGTACAATCTACATTAGATAATAATTTGGATCAAATTCTTGGATCAGTAACTAGATTAAAAGGTAAAATATTGAAATTACATATGACCTATATTTCATTTATTCTATAGATTGCTCATAACACTTTTAACCTTGTATCTTATTCATATTAATTTTTGAAAATAGTAAAATTAATTTATTTGATTTAATTATATAATATTTTGTTGTATTTCATATTTATAATTAGGTTTAGCATTGGGACTCGGCGAAGAAATTGATTCTCAAAATGATCTAGTTGAAAACATTCTTGGTAAAGCAGACAAAGCTGATATAAATATGGAACGGCAAAACAAAGAATTAAATCGTATTTTAAAAAAATGAGCAACATTCCCATTAAGTTAAATTTCTTTTTTTAGATTTTATCCTCTATTGAAGTTATTTAAAATACTGTACCTACCATATTTGTATTTAATCTTTTTTTTTATGTTACCAATCATTTATTTAAGCTATGATAGTTTATATTTGTAGTCATTCCTCATTTTAATTGTTGTAATCTCTTAAATATCTAATGTCAATTGCATTTTTTTTCCTGTATATGCAATTTATATCTATTAAATCTGTTATATTTACTACTAGACTTTTGTATACAAATAAATAATATGTTCGATTTTGCACAATGAAGTTTAACTAATACTAAGTTAATACTAAGTAAAAATAGCTATAAATTATACTAAAGTTCATTTTACCTACTATTATTGACCCTAAAAGTTTATTTATTCATGAATTATTATTTATTTCAGTCATTATCAAAAAATTAAAATCCAAAACAATAATTTGTCACAATAGAGTTATGTGAGATGTCAAAGAATGGGTTATATTTATTTTCTGATACTACTGAATGAATATACAGTATGTTAATTAATTGGAAAGTTAGTAGTTATTACTCCTAATATAATGCAGATATTGAAGTTCAGTTTTTTCGGCCATAATATTTAACTTATAGCCCATATTTTACCAAGGTTAAAAAAAAAAAATCCGAAATTTTAAAAAACTTCGAAAATAACCTCTTTGTAGAATTACAACTTACTCAGAGAAAAAAAAATTTGAAATTGGTTGAATTTTGAATGAATGACAATCAGTAAAAAACAAAAATATTACAAAAAATAAAATGAGTTGTGTGTACTTCATAACCTAATATCATATTATTAGTTTTATATTATCTATTTAAAAATTTAGAAACCATACAATTTTACAATTTACTGTGTTTTTTTGAAAATATAAAATGCTCTCATTCATTCAAAATTTAACCGATATCAAAATTTTTTTCTTTGAGTAACTTATAAGTAATTCTACAAAGTAGCTATTTTCGTAATTTTTGTCGGTTTTGAATTTTGATTTTTTTTAACAGTGGTAAAAGATGAGCTATAAGTCACATATTGTGTTAAAAAAAACGTAACTAAATTTGCATTATATTAGGAGTAATAACTATTGATTTTCCAATTAATTTACATACTGTATATGCCAATATAATACTAAATAAATGATATTTCAGAGAAAAATATTTTTAATATATTTGACTAATTTGATTGTAAATATAATACATCATAGAATAAATTAGAATCATGAAACTATAATCAAAATCTATTGATTTTTATTTGTTTAAGGACTATGATATAGACCATAAATATCCTATTAAAGAAAAAGTAAGTATTTAAATTACAGATGTATTTATCAATTTATCTATTAATGAGTATAACTGTAAAATGTTATATTCAATTAATAAACAAAAGTTATTAGATGTATGATTATTTTATGTTTATCAAGTATTATGCTTCTATTAAAATGTATCATACATAAATAAAACCAGACATCTATAAGTAAGTATGTTTAATTTTCAATTTGTGTTTATTAATTAAAATATAATATTTAAGATAAATACAATGTAATGGAAAGTGACAATTGTTTTAAGAAATTGAACATAATTCAATTTATTTTAATTTTTCTTTACACTTAGATAAAAAATAACAATTTTTTTTTAATTTCATTTCCTTTATAGCAACCAGTTATATAGAGGGTATCTAAAATATTTGATCTTGATATTTTTGTCAATGATGTTTTAACACGAGTACTCAAAGTATAAAAAAATTATAAATAAGAAAATATTTGTTTCTCCTTTCTCCTTTAAGACTTGTTAAGAAAACTATTTTATTATACACAAACAAAAATATTAGTATTTTAATTAATAAGCCATTTTACTGCATTGCCTTATAATAATATATTCACTTTATTTTAGTAAAACCATTTTTTTGTTTTAAAAACAAAACACATTTTACAAAACTTAATATGATACTGAACTATAACATTAATAATATTGAAACTATTATATTACAATAAATTGTTTTTCAAATTAAGGTTTAAAAAATTTGAGTATTTTTATTTTAAAATTGTATTTTATAATAAATTATAATTCAATATTCAAACCGTTTGCTGTATCATAAATTATTAACTAAGAACTAATACACCTAATTTATTACTTAAAACACGTATACTCCATCAGTAGTATCATAGCAAGATAAATTAAGTTTATAAATGAGGTGGTAACAATAAGATTAGTGATTCCATTAACATTACAATAATTATACTTTGTTCTATTTACATAATTCAAATTTATAAATGTATTATAATAAAAAATAATAAATATAACATTGTTGATGTTCTTCATGTGATAGATATAAATTAAAAGTGTCTGTTTATGAATGGATTTCCTGGCATGGGCATATTAATGGGTACATTAGGATATGGCATTGAAGTTGGTTGAAAATAAAACGATTGAGGATAACCAGGCTGAGAAAACCCTGCTGTTACATGTTGAATATTGTCATTTAATGGTCTGTAGGAGCTATTGCGTCTACTAAGAAGTTCAGCCATTTTATCTGCCTTAGCTTTACGCAAATGCATATCTTTACGATGCTTCAGGAATTCGTCTACAAAACCTTCTAGATCTTTAGTATCACCACTTAAAAATTGCTCAGCTGATTTCTAAAATATCAAAAAATTCAATTAAAATATTTCCATTTTTGTCTAGCATTTTTTGAACTTACATCTGATTCTTCTTCAGTTTCAGAAGCTGCAGTTTGTAACAATGCTAAAATAGTTTCTGGATTCATATTCCCTTTATGTTGTTCTAGAAAATGTTTTTAGACATTTATAACATCTATATTTTATTTTTAAAATATGTAAATAGTAGATAAGGGAAATAAATTTATATTATTTGGAGCGAAAGAGTTTAAGGTTAAATGTTATACAATATTTGAAATTATAAATTACTATATTTTTTCTTGACAACCTAAATGGAAAAAAAATTAATAATACTATCTACTCAAGTACTGTTACTTATGTACAGTGGAATCTCTATAACTTAAATTGGTCGGGGGAACAAATAATTGAGCTATTAAAAATTTGTTTTACAGAAATTTTCAATAATTCGAATTGGTTAAGGTCAAAAAAAAAAATTTGAGTTATTGAAAATATGTTATTATTTGTACAACACAAAAATTTCATTTTATAATTTTATTTATTTACTTATATTTTATATAATATATATGTATATATGAATAGTATATATGAATTACAATTTTCAAAAAAGTATTGTACATTGAAATAAATAAATAAATATATATATATATATAATGATTTTGGAAGAAATTCCATAATTTTAATTATTTTTATTGTATATGGATTACACAATAAATGTATAAGGATTATTTATTGTATATCTGTAAAGTTTTCAACTATGTTGTGAGTGGAAAAAAATTTGCCTCGAATTTCTAGTTGTTCACAAATACAATTTTGTAAATAAATAAATACCTTTAAACCAACTAATGCCTGAGAAAGAGTAGTTAAAAACAAAGGTGATTCCACATCGTCATCAATATTCAAATCTTTCTCATCACTCAATCATTTAGCTCGTTAGGGATTTCTTTATTATTTATTATTGTTATATATGAACATACACTATTTATACATGCACTAAGTTTATTATTTCAGTAATTTTTGGTAATATATGTTGAAAAATATAAGTAATAGTCCAAAATTTAACTCAAATGACTTTGACTTATTGAGAAATTTGAGTTGGCAAAATTCGAATTATCAAGAAAATGTAAATGTAAATCTTATTGCATATCTGAATGGGTAAGGCATTTCTTTGAATTAACAAAAATTCAACTTGAAAGTTTTGAGTTATTCAAGTTCCACTGTATTTATTATCTTAAAAACTTTAAATTAAAACTATTTGTCTTTAGTTGAAAATAAAATAAAAAATGTATTATTAAATGAAGTATATGGTATAATTCTTCATGGACATTCCTTTTATTATACCTTCAATGCATATGAACTGCAATTTTAAACTTACCACTACATGAAGACGCTAATTTCAATTAATATATTATTATCATTAAATAATTAAAAACAAAACAGAATTGCACAAGAAAAAGGAAATATATAGTTGAATTTAGTAAAGAAAGATAATAATTTTATAAATCATTGTAAATTTAAAAATTTTTAATATTGTGTTACAAAATTCATGGGCCAGTTTAAAGAATAAAAATAATAAACAAATTTGGAGTATAACTGTAATTATTTTTATTTTGTATCACTACTTATCTAGGATTTCTTTTGAGATACCTATGTGTTTAACTATTAAAAATAAATAAATAAATATTTAATCAATAAAATAAAATTTATATTTTAAATTTGTTTTATTCATAATAATTGTCTATCCTATATATCTGATGATGCATTTTTAATTTGCAACCAATCATACTTCACAAATATAATAATATTCCAAGCTAAGCTTTTATTTATTTATTTCTATATAAAAACTATTTGTTTATTTATTTATGAGTATTAACCATTTAATAATATAAAAATTAATTATTTTTTAAAAGTTACAGTTTTAGGGTACTTATGGAAGTCATTATAAACTATAAAAGAATAATTTATAAAGCATATTTCATGAATACTAATCTAACATTAAAAATTAAAAAACCAAAATCAGAGATATCTATTACTTTAGTTTTTAAATTTATACTAAAATATATTTAATACAATTAATTTTGTAAAACAACTCAATAAAATATTAATACTTACTTATAGTATTTACTTTTTCAGTTACGCTCTTATAGAGTTTTTCTGCTTCATCATACATTTCACATAATCTTTCTTTAGCACTGATTAATTCAGGTTCTTTATTGAGATTAAATTCGGCCAATGATTGATTACTTGCAATTAGCATCTCCTTTTCTGTATCTATTTCTTTATTCTAAACATTAATACTTGGTAAATACTTATTAATCGAAGTCATAATTTAATAACCAATTGGATATTACAACCATAGAAATTATAGTTCTTATTAAAATTAATTGTAATATTTTGGATATAAATTAATTTCTTATACATTACATTTGAAATTATTAGCACTGATTTAATATAATTCATAAATATATATTATATGTACTCAGTTATTTTGGGGTTAATGTTAATAAAAAAAATTAAAAATACTTACTGGTTTCAGTTCATTAGCATACTGTTCAAATTTACTATCGTCATTTAATATTTCTTTTAAATCAGAAGCAGTTAGATGAGACATAAGACCCATTACTGTATTAATGGCAGTTGAACTATTATACATAATTTAGTTATTTATATAATCATTCGAAATGAAACTTATATGAATTCAGTTTTATAATTTGTTAGATATAAGACACGGAAAAATAATCTTTATTCAATTTTTAAAAATGAAATGAAAAGATGACGCTAATACATAAAAAGTTCTTTATGTGTCTAATCATTTAAAGAATATGATAATTATTGATTTGATAACGAAAAAAATAATATTCAGTTCTGACCATTGTACAACCATAGATAACATTAATTAACGTTTCGTGTAATCTGTAGTACAGTCCGTGATTAAAGATACACTTTATTTATCCTTTACAGATTTAGATATATTTTTAATCGTGGTATGAGCATAGAATAAAGTGGATATATCCACCTTGACATAGTATTATAGACTAGAAAATAAATTTTTTATGTTTATAGGTACGAACCCATAGATAATCTTTATCTTAGTGTAAGTGATATCAGATAAGAACACTGACAAATATAATTTATACATTTATAATCATAGACTGTACAGCTCATTTTTTAATTTTAAAGTAAATACTATTAAAATTTTTTCATCAGACTTTTAGAGAATTTACGTACAATGAAAATGAATTTTAAATTGAGTGTTATACTTTCTAATTCAAGTCAAAGAATAATTTTGAGATCTAAATCAAGTTTTGTACCAAAACACGCACCTGTTCAATTATCAGATGCAAAAACTCTTGAACGTTTTATTCAAGAACACAAAAAAATCCTTGTATTAACTGGTATAGGAAATCATAAATTTATGATTTATTTGTTATAAGTTGGTCTGTATAATTTAGGTGCAGGTATATCAACTGAAAGTGGAATACCTGATTATCGATCTGCTGATGTTGGATTATATGCAAGAAGTAAAAATCGTCCAGTAATATACCAACAATTTATTAGTAAACCCGAAATTCGTTTGCGTTATTGGGCTAGAAACTATATAGGATGGCCAAGATTTTCATCAATGTTACCTAATTATGCACATACATTTTTGAAAAAATTAGAAGATAAAAATAAACTTGTTCACATTATTACTCAGAATGTTGACAACTTGCATACTAAAGCTGGAAGTAAAAATGTTCTTGAATTACATGGAACTGCTTATATTGTACACTGTTTAGAATGTGATTATTCAACTCATAGACATCAATTTCAATATATTTTATCCAACTTAAATCCTCAAGTGACTATCTCAAAATTGTTTAGTGTTCGACCCGATGGTGATGTTGAATTAACTCCAGTAAGAATAAATATCTTTACATTAAATATTTGCAATTGAGATGAGTGAAGTTAATTAACAAAAACTGAATTAAAATATATTGATGCACCTATGCTTAATTAACTTTAATTAACCCAACATTAGTCATGCTATAGTCACATTTTTTAGATGTTTATTAAAATATTTATATTTTATATTTCAAACATTTACACTTGGTATACCTTTTAATAATGTTATTGATTATATTTTATTAACTCATATGAGTATCAATAGTTGAAATATAAAATGTAAATTTTTTATTAAAGATGTAAAGAAAGTGAGGTAATTTTGATTATGGCGAGACTAACAACATATTAAAAAAAAAAAAAACTAAAATAATTAGTTTGAATTTTAATTTTTTACAAATTAGTTAAAATTTTGCTTTAGATTTAGAAAATAAAAATTAAGTAAAAAACTTGATGTATACAAAATAAAAATAAATAGATAGAAATATTGTCATATGTATATAAGTTTACTATAATCATCCTCTATTTTTATTTGATTTAACAGGAACAAATTGGTGGATTCAATATACCTAAATGTCCAAAGTGTAAAGGAAACTTATTAATACCTTATATTGTATTTTTTGGAGATAACATTCCAAAAAACCGTGTCCAGAAGGTAAATAGTTTTGTGGAAGATTGTGATTCACTTCTAGTTATGGGGTCTTCTTTATTTGTATACTCAGGTTATAGAATAGTATTAGAAACCAAATCTTTAAATAAACCTGTAGCTATAGTAAATATAGGACCAACCAGAGCTGATGATTGCGTAGATATAAAAATTGAAGCAAAATTTGGTGACATTTTACCATTAATACATTTTTAATTTAATGTTGAATTATTATAAAATATTATATTTTTATCTAGTATTAAAAATTTTTTAATAAAAATGTTTTTTTATTTACCTATTTTATTTTTTTAAACTTATTTATCAGATATTTATAGTATAGATACTTAATAAATGGAAGAAAAATAAATCATATTCATTTTACATGAAAAGTTAGAATTTTGTATTACAATAAAAATAATTAATACAAAATGGTAATTTTAAACTAATCATTTGTTTTTAACAAGTATAACATAAACAGAGTACAATTATTCTTATTCCTTTAAATTATACTTAATTTAATTCAATTTTTAATATTATGAGTAGGAGTGTCCCTGTATTAGCTTTTGAACATTTCATTACATGAGAAATAATTAATTTACTATACATTTTTTACATAAACTATTTATTAAAGCTTTGTTTTTCATTTTTTAACATAATAAATAATTAATATATTAGAAAAAAAAATATTATCTATACTTATATAACACAAAAATTGTTTCTATCTATACCCTCCAAACTACTTAATTGATTTTGTTGATAGGTCCAAAAAACTAGCAATTGTTGTTTTGTTGTTACCATAACTGACAAAATAGAAAGTAACCTAGTTATCACATATCTCAATGTGCACCAAGAAAATGGTGAACATGCCTAAACGAAAATAATTTCCAAGAGCAACTAACTTTTTCTTCAAAAACGATACTCACCACTTTTTCTGATTGTATGGTTATATTTAATATTTACCTATTACAATGCATTACAAATTATTATTAAATTGTTATTTTGAATGATTTACACTTAAAAAGCATAGCTTCTACAGTGAGTAACACCCCTAAGGAATATAATACTCACAATTTTCTTATTGGATGATGACAGATAATTCAGCTATAAATAAATAAAATTTATTTAAACAAAAGTGCAAATACCACTCACTCATTGATCATTGCTAAATTTAAAAGCGAAAAAATATATGAACTTAAAATTTGACATAGTGGTATCTTCAATATTCCTGATCAGGGGTTGGCAACTGGCGAACCTAGGAAGGCAATACTCTAACCCTGTAAACTTTTATTTCCATACTCCTAATATTGTAATTTTTAATATAAATTAATTGTAATTACCAAATAATTATTTTTATGCTGTTATTTTTAAAATATAAAAATTTGAAAAAGATATTTTTCACTGGACCTCATTGATTTATTATTTTAATCTTTAGGATTCCAATGTATATTACTTGCTGACCCCTGCTCTAGATGTACAATAAAATGAGATTTTAAAAAATATTAGTATCAACAAAAACAATTCTATGAAGGAAAATCAGGTAATTCTGTGTACAACCAAAACTACCACACCAATTATTTGAAATTTCGTTTTAATTGTTTTATAAACAACAGTTAAAACAAACCAAGCTTTAAATAGTGTATTATTCAAAATTCTATTCTGTACAAAACCGGATGATTCAGATAGTCCAGATGTATGTACTATATATTACTGTAAAACTTAAAATGTATTACATTTTTTACTTAAAAATATTAAACAAAAAATACTTCAAATGTAGGTACATGTCTTTTTTTTCAGAAATACATAAAATAACTAAGAAAATTCAACATTACATATTATAAAAATTACTTTACATAAATCTATAAATAAAAACAAATTCATAAATTAGAAAATATAGTAATAATAACTAGTTTGGAATTGTCTAATGAAATATACCAACTATCTTTGCATAGTTTGAACATGTTCTTTAACTTCTTCTATCAAATATATTGATCTTCGTAATTCATTGTATTGTTGGTTAAAATTTGTAGAAACATTTCTTAATTGATTTAAATTATGTTCTGTACGATCAATATTAGATTCAAGTAATGAGTAATTTTTGATTGTTTGATTTAATTTTTCATGACTTTTGGAACTTTTATGAATTTGTTTGATAACTGATGACATATTGTTAATGTTTAACTTCACTCGTTCACTCAACAAATTTTTAGAATCACCAAAAAGTGATCGAGCACTTGTACTCGAAGCAGATGTCATTCTGAAATTATTATTTAATAGAATGTAACAAAAATTTAACAATGACTTAATACTTTATTAGTCATCAAATAATAAACTGTAGCAATTTATTCCTAAATTCAATAAGAACATACTTAGATTTCCTTATGCAAAACTAGTTTTTAATAAAAACTGAACAAGATGTTTTTTAAACTTCAGAAACAAGATTTTTTTTATACTTCAGAACCTGAACAACATAATAATGACAATTTAATAAATGTTTAAAATATTATAATCACAAAATAATGATTTATAAGAACTAAGATAATAACACAGAACAACTGTGATAATAATATTATCATAGTCCATTTCAGATATAGACAATAAATGATAGATAATGAATATTATTAATGGTTCAGACACAGAATAGATTAAATATATTATCTATATTTTATCTATTCCGTGGTTCAGATTTCATAGCATTTCCTAATTGTTATAGAATTATTGCATGGACGTTTTTTAGGGGGGGGGGGGGGGCAAACGGGCGATCACCCCCTCCCCCACGGATCCGTATTAAGGAATTGATTATATGTGAAATACACATTTCAAATTTTTTTAGTGTAGATCATTTTATAACAAAATCAAATTATGCGTGGCTGTGAATACTGAATTGGACTTTTTTTCGGGTCCATACTAATTAGTGAAAAGTCAAATAAAACACAAGTGTAACATTTAAAACACGGACAGATGTTAAAAAAATCTACACAAAAATCAGTTCTAAGAGTGGATCCGGCAATAGATTAAAAATAAAAACCACATATATTAAGGATTCACCTGATTATATATGGTGAGTGGTCACACTCCCCCTATTGAATTTTTTGTGATGTGTGAGTGAGTGTGTGTGTGTGTGTGTGTGTGTGTGTTTATAATACGTTTATAGTGTTTATACAAACTATTAATATGATTTCCAAATCAAAATTCTAAAATATAAAAATGTTAAAGAAAAAACCGTATTTCATGTAAAAGTTAATTTACCATCTCAGGTTCATGGGGAAGTCTGACCCCCCCCCCCATGGATATGCCACTGAGAAATTTGGACAGTTTCAGAAACTAACATATATTCTAACTTAGTTTTTTTATTAAAGTAACTTAACTTCAACTAGTTGAAAAAAAGGCTGCATCCGAGTTGCGGTCAGAGATGATTTTTGAGATAAGAATCTAACAGTTGTGGTTCTATTACCTATCTGTTACTTATCTGTAAAGTTTGTAAATAAGATAAATAAAATTGTACAGTGGTGTACATAAAACTTTTGTATGGGGGGGGGGATCAATTGCAAACAAATTACTATGGAAGAAAAATTCCTAAACCAAAGGATTTTCACATTTAAATAATAAATGATATAATATATATATATATATATTGAATGTGTCAAAATAATAATTAACAATAAATCCTTGAAATATTTGTTTTGTTTCCTTATAATTTTCTTACATTAAGAATACTAATTTATACAATTTTTAAAAGATCTATGAGTGGGGGGATCTAACTCCCACATCGCCCCTTGTATACGCCCCTGCAATAGTAGTATAATCACGAACTAGATGATCACCAATCAATGGTACGGCAAAAGGTTAGTTACAGTGTTAAACGTAAAGCAGTGGAGCAGTTGAGCGAGGGTCCCTCTAAAATTTTTTTTTCTGAGATGTCAAGTATAGTACTCAGTGTACTGGGGTCAAATGGCGTTACATTGATTAGAAAAAATATACACACTGCAAGAATGAATGTTCACCCGAAGTTGCCGCGTGACTTTTCACAATTACTTCTGTGATTTCAAACCTACACGATAAAAATAGTGTAGAGAGTCCTAAGTCTGTTTATAAAATGGAAAGAAAAATGTTGAAACGTTTTTGTAAATAAAATAGCATCGTATATACCATATATACTTGATTTATATTTTGAATGATCGCAACTAGTATGTAACCTTTTTGTTGGGTGACCGCAACTAGTACGTAATTTTTGATTTTGACCGCAACTAATATACACCGGAAAAAAATGACTAACTTGCCCAGCTTTGTTATAAATCATATTTGTTGTATAACAACAATAAAATACACAAACACTTAAATATGTATTTATTGTAAATGTATAACTTATGTATGATGTATTACTACTAATGTTTCATCGGTGTTCACCGAAAATATTTTTGATGAGGCCATATGGGTTCCGCCCCGACAATATCCAACGAATTTTCAGAAAGCATATTTATAAATTATAATTGGTAATGCTTAATTATATATTATTAATTGATAAATGTATTTCTGTTTTAATCATCCTTTTTATATATATTTTATTTAGATTACTTAGTAATTAATCAATTTTACAAAAATAACTATTGTAGTAAACCGACCTGCAGTGACGGTGCTAGAGTTTGCGAGGCCCTGAGCAATATAAATGTTGGGTTTTATAATTTATATTAATAAAATATTTTAAGTTCAGTTATATCAGAATCGCGGGGCCTTAATTATAATTTAAGGCGCGGGACTCTGGGCAGCTGCCCCTATTACCCACCCCCTCGCACCGTCTCTGACGACCTGTTATAATAGTAATTTACACATGTTCAAATAGACATGACCTATTCCAAGGTGTCCTTTTTGGCATCCCGTATCCAAGTCTCGCATGCATGTATAAAAAGAGTAAAATAGCGTTCGCTGTTTCATATATATACGACTACTGTTAATCTAATAGTTTTAGAAAGAATAAGTTATCTGAACTCAGCCTCGAACACTATCTGGTTGTGTAGACCGCGCGTTTCACATCGCCGCCAGCTCTAGTGCTCAGATACTTATCTTCTTGGGCTGACTTTTATGTTCTATCCTCAAATTTGTTTAACCATTATTTGTACTTATGTTTATATTTCATGTGTTATTATAAATATTACTTTTAAACAAACTTATAATTGACTTTGTAACTTCAACATATGTTGAATATCTTCGGTCCAAGCAAAGTTGTCAAGAGCCGTCAATATTTTTGTATTAGTGTACAGCGGTTGAGAACTTGATCTCTGTTCTGCTCACTACACTATGTTCCAAATCTATTTTACTGATAGTTATAAATATTTTTCCATGACAATTTCTTTTGGGTTTCAATCATAGACCTATTAACTAAAGTTTAGTTAATAGGTCATGGTTGAATCGTTAATCGTTTTCTGTTATCGATTTCAACCGTTTTTTGAATAGTTTAAGGTTATACATATAACGTTATAAAATCGTTTTGGTGCCCTGGTATGGACACTAAGTATCGTTATAAACTAAGCTACATTAAAAAAATTTGAAATGTTAATCACATATGATCAATTCCTTAAATACGGAATCAGGGGGGGGCAATCGCCCACTTCACCCTCTAAAAAACGCCCTTGATATGTATATACATATATTTTATCATCATATTATGATGTTAACGTATAGAATATAAGACGAATTGATTATAATATAATATTTTCTACGGTTTACAGACGAAATTCGAGAAATTATTCTAAAGCAGCCGTACCAAGCTAAACGCTAAACCTCGAGATTACTCGTGGTAAATTAAAATTTATACGTGTAAAGTAAAATCTAGAATAGTTAAGTGCTATTAGTAATATTATTTTTATTATTTGATCTGTATCTTAGTAGTAACAAAGAATATATGACATTTTATATAGGTATTCTGTGGTGGTAAGTACTATAAATTATTTAAAGACGATTTTTTTTATCAGACAAGGGAAAATTCTCCTCTCTCTCCAGTGGCACTTTGGTAAAGATTACAAAATACGGTATTAGAAAATCTGAGAGCGTGAGTCATAAGCGGAAATTTGGTAAAATTAATGGGGGGGGGTGGGCTGATAATTGTTTGCTTATTACACTTATAGGTACCCCAAGGCCGTATCCAAGGGCGTATTTATGGGGGGGAGCAGAGGGGGCCCGGGCCCCTTCCGAAATGAAAAACACCATTGTTAAAGATTGTTATTTTTAACATGGATATGTCTTAATGCTGGGGGTTTCCGAAAATTTGTCGTGACACTGAGAATCTTGCTTATGCGATAATTTAAAATTTTATATTTATAAAATATGTTTATTCTTCTAAGAAAATATGTGGTGAATTTTGAATGACTCTAATAAAAAAATTGTTTATTACAATGTAGTTTTTATACTTTTAAAAAATAATAAATCATTAAAAAAATTGAATTTTTTATTTTTCTGATGGTGTAAAAACTGTCGAGAAGTCTTATAGTGTTAAAGTAATTTTTTTCGTAATATTGTGCTTCCTCCTTCCTTTCCACCCAAAAATCAAATACGTAATCGGCCCCCTCCGAAATGAAAACCTATATATGCCACTGGTCGTATCTAAAAAATTTTTTCAAGAGGGGTCCAAAACATGTATATTGTAATTTTATTGATTTATGATTTTAACTTTTGATATTTGGTTAAAAATAAAATAGAACAAGATTTAATCTTCTTTTATTAAAATTAATATCATATTTTCATATTTTCATATGATATAAAATTTAAAGCAGTCAATGATTAATTTGAGCTTTAGTCATTTTTGACTGAAAATATTAATGTTGGTATTAAAAATAAATAAGTATTTTAAACATTCGTAAAATATTGAAGAAATTTCGGGGGAGGTCCAGACATCTGGACCCCCCCCCCCTAGATACACCCATGGGTACCCCTGTATGCAATTATTTATTTCAACAAGGATATTTACAAAGTTTGACAATTTGACATACTCAACAATTTAACCAAAAAACAATTACATAGGTGCTTTATCTTAAACATTTTTGGAGTGGGTATTCCAAACAGAAATTATTAATTAATTAAATTAAATAACCAATGCGGGTATTATTACATATTATTAATTTTACATTAATTACGATCGTTCCAAGTCATGATAAAAAGTTTGAAAAATCTTATGAATTTGATTTAATTTTATCACAGAATATTTTTTTTTTAATTCAGTTATTAAAAATGTATTTTACAATTATAATAATTATTGTATTTTTAGTCACTTAACAATTTTTAGGGTTAGGGGGGCTAAGACCTGTACTAAGTCCCCTCAAGCCTCCTCACCACCACGATTGACGCCTATGGCGTAAGTATAAAGATTCCTAAAGTCTAAATTCAAAAAGGCTCGTCCATTTGTTTACAAATAATTCCCTCTATATGGTCATACTGTGAATTCACTAGATCCTTCGCATTTGGCATTCATATCATCGGTTTGGTTGGCCCCAGCACGGACTAACAAATAACCCTCTTTATAACTCGTGTTTTGTATGTTTCTAGTGGTTTACAATTTGATCACAAGGTTTCATTTTCGGCTTCCTATTCATACTGATCGTGTTGAATCTATGCGTGGAAGTCACGTTATTAACAATATTATTTTAATATTTTATTATTGATTATTTGTATTTTTTTTTTAATTTATAGTTCTAACCGACAAAATGTGGAGTAAGTGTTTACTTTATTTTTTATTAATATAATATAACATAATTAATTATTAACATTTTTTTCCATTGTATTAAATTATAATATTTCGAACGATTCTAGTTTAGCAACCCATCGGTTTTTTTAATTTTTTTTTCCAAAATGTGTGTTTTAAGGTGTTTTATAAGTATGTAAAAAAAAAAGAACTCCTGACAAACTTCGTTTTGAAGTTATTGATGACTTCAAAAACTGAAGTGATGTTCTTTGTGATATTTTCCCCTTCCGAATTTTGATTCGTTAATTTCAACAATTTACCCCGGTTCACCTACATACGAAGTATTTATGAAGAATAATTCATTAAAAATTGTCTAATAGTGTGAAAATTAAATAAAATTTTTTTGCAAAAGATGCGTGTGGTATCGGCAATGGCCAATGAAACTATTATACGAGTGTTCCGGCATTACGCTCCTCGGCGCCGTCGTTTCGCTCTGCAAATCGAAAATATCCCTCGACTTGCTATGTAAAACCACTTAAAGTAGGTAATAGGGACAATAAAAATGTAAATATTTGAAAATTAAAATTAAATATTCAATTTTAAGTAATTATTTTTGAAAAAAAAATGTGCGTTATGAAATAAATGAAGTTTTTGAAGTTTTTCATCAATAACTTCAAAACGAAGTTTGTCTGGAGTCCTTTTTTTTTTACATACTTATAAAACACCTTAAAACACATTTTGGAAAAAAAAATTAAAAAAACCGATGGGTTGCTAAACTAGAATTATGCCTAATATTTAAGCATATTGATTGGTGATTGTTAGGGTTCGGGATTAGTTGCATTTGCATATTGTTCAATAATAACTGCAGAATAGTTAGGTATAAATTTGTTTTAAGTCATAACTTATTGAAATACAAAAATATTAATTAAATATTTTCACATATTTGACAAATTTTCGTTAGATGTAAACTAAATTTATTTTAAAGATTAATGCTAACATTATTTTTTTTTACTTTCATGCATCGGTCAATAAGCCTAATAATAGAACGAGTCAGGACAGGGCAACAAAGGAAATGCCTAATTGTTCCTGCATATACTATCGGTTATTATAAATCGTTTAGAGTATGCAAAAAGAAAATATATATTGAGTTCGTTTTTTTTATCATTGTAGAAGATGAAAAGAAAGAAATCAAACATACACAGTAATATAATTTTTATAGTTTTATTGTTGTCAAAAATTCTAATTAAAAAAAATTTAAATGAATTTTTAATAAAAAAAAAATTTAAATGAACAAATTACATTTTGTATTTGTCATTAAAAAGACAGATGCATATTCGGTTAATTGAGTGTATATTTCCTACAATTTGTATGCATTAGGTTCTGAACCCAAGTGGTTATTCTTATGTTAATGATTGGTTAATTGTATTATTAAATAAACATTTTTTAACATGCTAAGTTTTACAATATATTTATATTGTATCAATGTTTACAGGCATAATAATGGAACCTGGTAAAACTTATAGCACAGTAGTAGAAAAAACATTCCATCTTTCTATGGCTACACTTGATATAGCTAGTGTTAAAAAAGGTATGTATTAATCCCTTTTGAAGTAGTCTTAGTGATAAAAAATTTGTATATGTATGAAGTTACATTAAACTTTCATTTAGTCCTATTTATTGAATAGTAATTATGTTGTAGAATTGTATTATTAGTAGATATATATATGTCTATGTATAAATAGCATATTAAGTGATACAAAAATATTTGCATCAGTATTAATATGATTGTACAAGTGAATAATATTATGGTTTCATAACCATAAATATATTTCATACGTTTCTATTAAATGTATAGTTTGAGATGTATTTTTTGAATGTTCATATTTTTTATGGTGAAATTAATGTACTTAACAAGATGGTAAATTATTTTTGAAAAACCTATTGCTAATTTATATCCTTATTGACTATAGAATAGTATAATAAAGTTGAATATTCACAATTGCCTGGATCATATTAATAGTGTAATGCTGTTTTACAACTGGAGGTTTCAACAATACTTTTTTTTTATTATTATTATAAATATCTTAAACAATCACAATAGTATTATAAATTATGTACCATCTTTGGTTTTATTAATCCATCTTGACTCATATACAATCTTAATTCTACTACTTGCACAGAGAGCTATTGTTCAGCTATATTTGATCATAAAAGTAATAATTTAGGGACAAATAAATGTATAATAATATATAGTTAATAAGCTAATATTGAATAAAAACTATATTTTTTTAAATTCATATAAATTATAATTATAATAATTTATATGTTACATATTATAAAATGTAATGTAATTTTATTTTTGTCAAAATTGTTATTCTAAGAAATTTTAATTTTTGGAACTTAATTTGTTGAAACCAATTAGATAAACTTATTAAAATCAAAAATGCAATTAAAACATTGATAAAAAATTGTCAAAAAATTGATACCCAGTAAATTAAATCTGATCAAATATGTATACGCATCAGATTAATTACAGTCTTCCTATTTAATTTAATAATGCAATTTTTGGCAATTTTCAACAATTTTGCAATTTTTTGCAAATTTTTGTATAATTCACGTGATAAAATATACAAATTATTATTTCCAAAGTGATTTTACAAAAAAAATATAATTACGATGTAAATTTTTACAAATAGTTAAATGTAGTTTATGGATTTTTAAAATTATATTTATTTGGGTTATCCACAAAACTCACAAGTTTAGAAGAATAAAATAGTTACTTAATAGTTCAAAAATATTTAGTATAAATATTTCTATAAATATTTTTTCCGGTCCTAATGGAAAATAGTTAAAGATAAATTAAAATATGTCTTAGAAAGAAATGAATGATATAAAACTATTAAAACTTACTCTGAGGTTATGGCAAGAAATCAAAATGTTAATTTAGATATAACATCCAATTTTTAAACAATTTTAAATTTGTATCGATAACAAGTGTTGATTTTGAAAGTACTTTTTTATTATATAAACATATTTTAAGTGACAGACAATTTAATTTTCAAGAACACAATTTATAGATGTATATAATTATAAATTTTAATTAAAAAAAATTATTTATTTTGTAAATATAATATAAATGTCCATAATATTATCTTAGTAAGTAATTAATGATTATATATTTGATATGATATATAATATATATTTGATTTTACTATGTAATTTTAATGTATTTCATTGCAATTTTAACATATTTATACTGCAATTTTGATACATCTTTATTGCAATTTTGGCATCGTTTTAGTGCAATTTTAAGATAATTTGAATGCAATTATATCTGGTCTTAAGTTATGATTATATTAAAAATATCGCAATATTTTTAATGTATATTGATATAAAGATTTAAATATTATTGAAAATTCTTAATTAATTATTACAAAATAAAATATTTTTATTTATTTATAATTTAACTGGTTTATTTTATTTAGCCGATGACATCCATACAGTATATATAGAAACTAATGATGGTCCACGAGTAATCCTTTGTCACTTATCAAAATCATCAAATATGTTTCAATGTGCATTAGATCATGTTATCACAACAGGAACAGATTTAAAATTTGTTACATCAGCTACTGCAAATATACATATGACTGGTATTTAGTTATTTCTGAAATAATATATATTAATAAATAATATTTTATTGTATTTTTATAGGATATGTAGATGATTTAGATGAAGAAGATGATGAGGATCAGATATTCTCTGATTTAGAAAGTCAAGAAGAAGAAGAAGAAGAAGAAACACAAATTTCAAAGAAACAATCAGCAGTAAAGGGTTAGTCTTTAACTAAATATTTCATTGACTATTTTTAAATTTTTCATTTAATATTGTATAAACTATTTCCATTAAGGGGTTGTAAGCTATTATTATTTTCTTTTTCTTTCTATCACAAGCAATATAGGGATTTAGACGTTTTCAATTTCTAATGTACCAATTGATCCAATGATATGATAAGGATTTTGAAAACTGATTTAAATTTGTTAGAGGCTCTTTTTGATCAACTTTCCCACTTCTGATTTTATCTTCCTAAATTTCACAAAATAAGATTAAACAAATTGGAAACAAAAATTAATTTTTGGGTATGTTAAATACAGAATTTGAGAAAGTCAATTCTAAAAATACTTCATGAATTTACAATTCAAATTAGTTTTCAAAATCCTTATTGTCTTAATAGATTGATCGGTATAAGGATTTGCATTTCATTTAATTATGTTTAGTACAGTGTTTAAAAAATGTGTTTTACATCATATGTTTAAAAATGTTTTTTAATAAATTCTTTTAATATTTAAAAAAAAAACTATGTATTATTATTCAAATTTTATTTGTTTTCGGTCTTTTATATAAGTAATAACAAATTATATTAATTGATATTGATGGTAAATTATAATTTTGATAGGATAAATATTTATGATAGTATTCAAGTAAGTAAAGTGATATTATGATGATTTTATTCTATATAATTGCTTCATAATTATTACTTTTCTTTGGTTTTAATTGTCATGATCACTTATTAGAGTGTGATGAAACTATAAACACTTTACAGGATGTAAAGTACAGGATGTACTTTACAGTACTTTACATTTTAAACTGACAATGATTTATGATCACCACAACTATTAGCTTATAGTAGTGATGAACGATTAGATTAGAGTCTATTACAGCAATTTAAAAATTTTAAAATTAATTTATGTACAGAAAACTACAATCGAGTATATCAAATGATAATTTTATATAACATCATCATTGTAAATTTTCAATGCTAAAATTACATATTATGTTCTTAATGTAAATGAGTATGTTAGTTTAATTATTTCTTATTAAATTTATTTGAACTTTTATTAAATAAATAAATTAGAATTGTAGAAATTCTGGCTAAATATTTAAATTCTATTGTTTTCTGTTATTTCATACTTAATTATTTTCAATTTATTAAGAGGACTGAAATATCTATCTTATAAGAATTTAAAAGATTTTTAAAGTGTTAAATGATTATTTAATTGATTTATAAATTTTTTTTTTGTTTTTTGATTTTTCAAGAGTATTGTATTTATTGCTATTGCATTAATATTTATATAACTTTGATGTAGGAGGTAAACGCAAAGCTGAAAATAGTTTTTCCAAAAAACCTAAATCTATTAAATTAGATGAAATTAAGTCTACTAATAGCGATGATGATGATGAAGATGAAGATGAAAGTGACGAGACCTTGGATTTTGAAGATGATAGTGATAATGGCCTTACAGGTAGTTATTTAATTAAATCTTCTGAGTAAGGTATTTTATATAATTTATATTTTCTTATAGAAATGTTTTCAAGTTAAATTTCTATTTGAATATTGGTTGTATTTTTTTTTTTATATATATACATCAATCTGGAACATTGATGATGTTTTTTCAAACTTTTTCAACTATGAGTAAAAACTTCAAAATAAATAATATCTATTAAAATTTAATCGATTTTGAAATAGTTGATTTTTCTTTGTCTATAGTTACATCATTTGTAAAAATATACTACTTAATATTTATATTTTTTGTTATGAAAAATTATTATTTACAATCTGTATGTAAAAAATATGAAGGTCCGCTACGCTGCAGCGGTAGCGGTATCATTGGCGATTTTATAGCTCGCACAAATGTCGATAGTGATGACTTGTGGATTTTTAATTAAACTTTTTAAATTCCCGAGAAATAATAAACTGTCATAAATTCACATTGCATTGTGACGATTTTCCAATATTATATGATTTATAATAACATAAATAAATGGTTTTGTAGTACAGTATTTTATTATAGTATAATGTTAAGGAATAAAATAAAACTAATTGCTTATACCTGTAATTACAGTTATGAGTAATAATTACTTACTGACTAGTAACTATTGTATAATACATATGTACGTTAACTCATATTATTTAATATATACATAGATAGGATCACAGGGGACTGTGACCCACCTAATTCATTTTTGTTTTTAAATTTGAATTTAATACAAATATAATTGGGTATTTGTTTATTATTATTTCCTTTTTTGAAATAAATGAGTACTAAAGCATAGTTATGAAAAAAGTATATTTATAGCTATCATCCTTAATTTCATTATGTTAATTTGGAGGCTAAATAGTTAACAATTTAAGATTACGGATTTTCCTCTTGTTGTAAATGTATTTATCTACACACACATATATTTCTTAGCACATTAGTTTGCAGTCAACACAGTTCTGCACATTTGTCATTTACTACATTTTGTACATAAATTTTGTTATGACAAACTATTGACAATCTATGCAGTGATTCACCTCATAATTATTATAATTATAATATATAATAATAAAATATGTTAATGAATGCTAAATATAAATTTCACTTAACTATAGATACATAGCTTTTCATTCTCTTGTATATGGTAATAACTAATAAGTAATAAAATGCTATTTGAAATATTGGCATTGAATTTAATGACGGCGAATTTCAAGTGAAATTTCAAAAACTGCTGGGTGGTAGCGGTTAAATTCGAGCATGCAGCAGTATCTATAAAAACCATGCTGCAATATTGTACCACACCCGATTTATAGCTGCAGTGTGTGCGAACCTTAATTTGTGATTTTTATATAAAAAAATTATTTACCAAGGTTTTTATTTATATAAGTTTAATATAAAATCATAAGTTTGGGCATAAGTTGTGGATTTTAAGCCATCAAAATCATTAAAAACAGATTTAACTAAATGGCTTTATAATCATTATTCTATTCTTTATTTTGTTATTATAAATATGTTTAAATACTACGCTCAAGCAGTATAGGCCTATGACTTCTAATTCATTTATCTTCATTTGTGCTGGTCCATTAATATGGTCAAATAGCTAATTAATTTTTACCTCTTTTTTTTTTTTTAAAAAATTCTATTTTTCTTTGATAATATTTAATATTTTGTTTTAATAAGTTATTATTTTAATTATAATAGTATTTTTGAAACATATTAAGTATTTTTATAACTATACATCTGTATTTCATTTTAAAGTTTATATATATTTCCTTGCATGTTTTCAATTTAAATTGTAACTTTGTTGGGCATTATTTATGAAATAAAATACAAAAATATTTTATGTATATTGATTTAATTTTATTTGTTAGTAAGTGATATGTTTGACGATGAAGCTGAATCAGATGATGAAGTAGAAGATTATGATGAAGATGATGATGAAGATAATGAAGAAGAATCAGATGAAAGTGATGATGAAGTTCAACCACAATCCACTAAGAAAGCTAAGATTAATGGGAATGAACAAAAAACTCCCAAAAAAGAACAGAAAACCCCACTTAAAAGCCAGGAAAAAACGCCAAAAACTCAAGAAAAGACACCAAAAGCTCAAGATAAGACATCCAAGGGTCAAAAAACACCTGATGCAAATAAGTCATTGATTAATGTAAATTTTTATTTTTAGTCTTGTATAATTTAGATTGATTTATATAATGTAATGATATGTTATATTAGGGTACAACTGAAAGTAATAAGAAAAAGAAAAATAAGGAACCTAAAACTCCTTTGGACGGATTAAAAACCAAGCCAGATACTCCCTTGCCCAAAGACAAATTAAATCAACAGCAAAAGTTGAATGGTGGAGTTATAATTAGTGACATTAAAGTTGGAGATGGTGCTGTTGCCAAACCAGGAAAAAATGTAGAGTCCCGATTTATTGTATATATTAATTTATACTATCATCTATAATATTTGTATTTAACATGTTAAAGTATACTATGTTGGTCGCTTGAAATCTACTGGTAAAGTTTTTGATTCAATGCAGAAAGGTCCTGGATTTAGTTTTGGACTACAGCGTGGTGAAGTTATTAAGGGCTGGGATATTGGTATCGCTGGTATGAGAGTTGGAGGAAAAAGAAAAGTTATATGCCCTCCTAATATGGCGTAAGTATTTTAATTTGATGTGCTGAATTATTATTATTCTTAATGTTTTTAAATTAGTTTTAATATACATATTAATAAAAAAAAAATTTCAGGTATGGCGCTAAAGGAAGTCCACCTGAAATTCCTCCAAATAGCACATTAGTTTTTGATGTGGAACTTAAACATATAAATTAAGTTAATTCATAATGTCATTGATTCCGACTGATATTCCTATTATTATTTGCTAATTTTCATTATTTTTTATAAGAATCACAAATTTAAATAGTACTTCCCTTTGAATACAAAAAATTCATATTTTAAACCATTGTATTACCATAGTTAATAAGTTTAGCTGATATCTATCTGCATTTTTTATTTCACCATATTAACATAATGCAGCCTTTAAGACCTGATAAGATTATAACGTATTATTATGTAATGTTAAAGAAATATAGAATTATCTAATCAAAATGTTGTAATTTTAATTTTGTGAAACAATAATTGACTATATTTTTACTATTTAAAATTAATTTGTTAATAAAGAATATTGTGAATGGCAATTTGTGTGTACTTTTATTAAATATTTATTTATATCTTATTTGTATAATAAAATATATATCTAATAAAATAAAAATGTATACATTACAGGCCTATAAAGAAAATACATTTATTATAAACTAAAAGTAGAAACAGTGCATCGTTTTAATTTGCAACATAATTTATAGAATTTAGTTGTGCACAATGAGACTTAATTTAATTTATTGCGTAAGGGCAGTTAAATTTATTTATTTTTATGAATAGATGAGGTCTGTAATTTGTAGGTAACAAACGAACTGTAATCAGATAACTTTGTAAAAAAAGTAACACTTGTAGTAAAATATGATCTTGCTTTAAATCATTTATGCCGAGATTGTTTCTCTCAAACATGGTAATGAGGTTTATATGGGTTTGTTCGCTATCAACAAAATTTGTTAAGGCCCGAGTCAAAATTATAAATGCTTAATATTTACAATTCTGACTCGGACCTTAGGTAATATATAGATCTACTAGTATCCATCTTCATGGTTCTATGATGTGTTCTAAATGTTTTGTAAAAGTCAGTCGGCTGACATCTTAAAGACACTAAATAGGAGTATCCATTCACCGGTGTTATCGATATGCACCAGATAATATGGCTTACACGATGTCCGACTGATGACTGATATAAACAGTATCAGGAGCTAAGTGCCCACAGAGCACTGAAGGTCTTATTCAAGCCAATATACTTGACCAGCTTTCCGGTATGACAGAACAAGTCTTACCAACAGCATAATAAATTGGGATAAATTTAAAGAAATTTTAGACCAAAATATAAACTTAAACAGTAAAAACCTCAATTAACATCAAAAACGCTGTTTAATACCTTACAGAGTTCATTCAATCAGGAGTATTGAAAACATTAAATCCTCTAATACTTGCCCTTAATTTTAACATCATCTAGGTATTCCCCCGAGAAGGATAAAGAGAAACTGGTGCCGAGATAATAAAGATAAAAAAGTAAAATATAAAAAAAATCAAGCCTATCAAGCCAAAAGTGTTACAACTGGGTAACTTCTTCTAATTAAGCCACTCATGTCATCAAAAAATAAATATATAAAACATGCTTATAGTAAAAAAAACTTACAGATTGTATATATTCTAATAAATAACAAAAAAAAAAACAATTTATAAACCACAAACTATGATACTAATATAATGGGAACAAGAGTTTATCATTAGATATAACGTGGGAATGTATTATAAATTTTATTTTATCAATTAAAAAAAAAAACAATTTTGATATAGTATACTTGTATGTGTTAGAAATGGTATATATAAATATGTGTGTAAGTTGTTTATAATAATTTATTACTTTTTAATTTACTACACCAAGTTATTGAGCTGTATAAAAATATTAAATTCAAAATGCATTTTTTTTCATTAATTTTAATACCAAAAGATTATAATTCATGTGTGAAATTTTTCCAGCAACATACAGACACTTTATGTGAAAAATGTGGTATTGAAAAAACTTTTATAGTAGATAAACCATTACATCTCACCATGGCTGTTTTGGACATCGATTATGGTGCATTTATTAGACGCCCATTGGATTGGACATTTGAATATGAAATACCCCAATTTGTATTAAACAACAGATTCAAATTCACCTTGAAGATAAAAACTTCAACAAATGACCAAGAAGTAATAATTTGTCACTTACATGAAGGTAACAAGTATCAATCAAATATAGATTTACACTTGAAATCTGGGACAAGTGTTGTGTTTTCTTGTCAACAAACATGTAGTATACATCTTAGTGGTTATTATTTGAATTGAGATTCATGTTTTATTTTTTTTTACATATTTGTTTTAATTATTCATTGAATTACTTTTAGCAATGTAGTCAAAACACGAGGAATATCTGAAGTTAAGACCAATATAACATGTGACTAATGAGATTTATGGTTAAAAAATATTGATAATTTTATTCCGATTTCTTAAAAATAATAAATTAAATAAAGGAAATGCATTTAACATGCTAATATTAACAATATATGTGTATATTGATATCTTAAATATATATTTTGATAATAAGACCACAAGCATTATCTTTAATAGTCTATAAGCAATTAAGTTTCCTTAGTTATCCAAGTCAATAGTTCAAACAAAGAAAACATATAAAGGGAAATAATTTGTATTATCTGTAACCAGAATAAGATTTTTGAACATTTATTAAACTTATCTACAAAATATAAACTATAAGTTATTGTTCTATTATTTATTTATTGAAATTTTTTCTTTAAATTAAATGTGTAATACAAATGTAAATAATGAATATTAATAAAATAATAGTACAAATGTTATATCAGTTAAAAAAATTAAAATAATTAAGATCAGTGTAGAATGTATTATTCATTCAATATATTCAGTGGGTCAGCTCATGTTTAGATTAATATTCAAAATGTACAAATTAAAATATACCATTTAATGATTCTTCCATAAATTTCGAGTAAAGTAACATAAATTTTGCTACAAAAGCCTCCAAATGGAACACTGCTTTATTACCTTTTAACAAATTATGTTCATAAAACGAAGCCATTTCAACTATATCATGTTTTAATGACATGTCACAGTTTTTCACCAATTCTTTCAGTAAAAACTAAAAATTGCAAAAATAATAATAAAATAAATAAATAAAATAATTAATTAGGTTTAGATCAATATATCAATAATTACTTTAAAAATAACATTATTTGGAATGCCATGAATAATTAATTCATAAAGCATAGATCGAACTTCAAGCAATTTTCCAGGAGTTTGCTGACTTAATATCTGTTTGGCTGTATCATTAATAAAAAGTTGCCAATCTGGAACAACAACACTTTGTAGTACATCAAATGGATACCTATATATAAAATAAATGGTTAGTAAAAATTAAATTATTAGATTTGGGGTTTAATTGAGTACTAACTGTTTGACTTTACTAGCTTCTAACATTAGTATTCCTCGTCTTAAGTTGCGTTCACAGTTTTGTGATACAGTTAAAGCCAACTCATCAGGTAAATTTAATCCTTCTTTTTTGCAAATGGTCTAAGCATAAAATAAAACGACTATAGTAATTAGTGGCATATTTGTGTATGTGTATGTATGGTGAAGCTCCCCCTGGTCTTGACCTCCCCAGAAGAAAAAGACTCAAAAGTCATAAATTATTTGCTACAAAAGTATAGAGAAAGAGCATTCATTTATATCATGTTGTTAATATGTTTGTATATGTTGGTATGTTTGTATAAAAATATTTAGGTGATAATATAATTATTACCTTATATGTACTTTTATAATATTATAAAATACTTATATTTAAGAAAAATGTTAACCCCTCCACAAAAAATTTCAAAATTTATCATTGATAGTAATTTCTACAATTGAGATTACATAATTTAAAATATTCTTAGTAATTTTATAATCATTGAAATTTTGTTTTTTAAAAGCATTTTTATACGTTAAATTTTATATACTTATAATATAATATAATAATTGAGTCATTGTAATGAAACAAACTTTTTTTTATGAATTTCTTTCAAAAAATTAAATATTGTAGTACCTACTTCAGTAAAAAATTGATTACTTTTAAAATTGAACTAATATCTTCTTGAGTTGGAGCTGGTACACGTACAGCTAAACATCTGCTCCTTATGGCAGGAATTACTTGAGCAATGGAATTAGCACACAAAATTATACGACATGTGGTCATATATTTTTCCATAGTACGTCGCAATGCTTGTTGAGCTTCTTTGGTAAGTTGGTCTACTTCAGTCAATAAAATCACTAAAATACAAGTATTTAAAGATATAATTAAGTAAATACAAATTAATAGATAAAAAAAAAAAAATACAAAAATTATCACCTTTGAAGTGTCGCTGTTTAGTAGAATCTAATTGATGAGTTTGTGCGACATTTTTAATAAGTTCCATAACTACAATACGGTCATACATTCCAGCATCACTAGCATTAACTTCTATATGATAATTGCTGGCTACAGTCATTATTTCAAACTTTTTATTTGAAGGAGTCTAAAAATAATATAAAAAACTATATAGAAATAATTTAAATTGCTAAATGAATAATTATTTTATATTATACCATGAAATTCATATGTTCTGTACGTAATTTTTCAACACCAGGACCATATAGTTGTCGTAACAATGCTAAAATTCGAGTTTTTTTCCCAGCTCCATTTGGTCCATAAAACAGTAAATGTGGAAAATCACCTTGATTTACCTATATAGTATTTTAAAATAATAAGTGGAGTTTATTACAACAATCCAATTTACTTACAAGATTTACTAGATGTTGAGCTTGATCTTTGTGATAGTCAACTTTATGTAAATTATTGGGCCTATACTTATCTGCCCACAAACTCATTGTATTTAGAAGTGGAACAAACAATAAACAAAGATAATCTTAAACTAATAAAATCTAATGAATTTACTTTTTAATCTACAATAGTACTAAACTGTTTAAAGCGTAGTTTTGCAAAAAATAGTTTTGTGTTGTTATCTACATAAATTAATGTATAAATATTGGCGGGAAAATAAATCGAAAATGATAAAATAACAAGGAAAGTATTAAAGAGATATTTTAAGTTTTTAAAATTAGCAGCTTGTTTGTTATGTTTATCAAATATTAAGGTTATGTCATATATTTCAATTCAATATTAGGATTATTTATGGCCTCGGTTGCTAATTTGCTCTAGGATTTAAATGAAATTCGAATTGTGTGTAGTTAGTTCGTAAGTATTTTCCTCGTGTTATCTTGAATATTTTATTATTAGTTAATATTCGAGTAATTATTTTATGTAGAGTTTTTAGGTTAATAATTCTTGTAGTTTTGAATATTTTTATTAAAAAGAAATCATTTTTATTTAATAATAAATTAATATATATATATATAAATGCATCTGCATCGTAACTCTAATTTTTTTATCCAATTTTATTAATAAAAAAATATTAAATTCTTATTTTTGTTGTATTTTTTAAATAATAATTATATTTTTTAATAATATAATTCAAAATATCTAAATTGTTTTTACAATTGGTTGTTTTATTATAATTCATTTTTCATTAGAAGTAGTAAATACTTATTTATTATTATTTGTTGTAATTATTTAAGGTCAAAATGCAAATCTTTGTTAAAACCCTTACGGGTAAGACAATTACTCTTGAAGTTGAATCATCAGATTCTATTGAAAATGTGAAAGCTAAAATTCAAGATAAAGAAGGTAAATTGAAAGTTAGATAGTTTTTTTATATTATGATATTCATTCTTATTAATTATAAAACGAATATGATACCTATATTACCATATTAAAATAAATAATTTAATATTAGGTATAATACTAAATTATGTAAAATAATCCAAGTACCTAATTTAATTATTCGGCATAATTCTAATTTAGCAACCTAACGATTTTTTTAATTTTTTTTCTCCAAAATGTGTGTTCTAGGGTGTTTCATAAGTATGCTAAAAAAAAGTAGCCCGGACAAACTTCGTTTTGAAGTTATTGAAGAAAAACTTAAAAACTCCTTTTTTTTCATAACGCGTATTTCTTGTTTAAAAAAATAATTAGAATTGAATATTTTATTTTAATTTTCACATATTTACATTTTTATTGTTCCTGTTACCTACTTTAGGTGGTTTTGCATAGCAAGTCAAGGGATATTTTCGATTTGCGGAGCGAAGCAACGGCTCTGAGGAGCATAGCAACGAGTGCTGAAACACTTGTATAATAGTTTCATTGGCCATTGCCGATACCACTTGCATCTTTTGCAAAAAAATTTTATTTAATTTTCACACTATTAGACAATTTTTAATGAATTATTCTTCATAAATACTTTGTATGTAGGTAGACCGGGGTCAATTGTTGAAATTGATGAATCAAAATTTGGAAGGGGAAAATATCACAAAGGACATCACTTTAAGTTTTTCATCAATAACTTCAATACGAAGTTTGTCCGGGGTTTTTTTTTTTATATACTTATAAAACACACATTTTGGAAAAAAATAAATTGATAAGTTACTAAATTAGAATCGTTCCAATTATTTTATCAAAGTATTCAAACTATTAAAGTTATTTCAATAATGGATTAGGAGTTATTCAGTTATGAAATTAATTATCTTATAATCTTACAAATATCTACTAAAATAAAAAATAATTATTAGTTCAGTAATTCTTAAATTATTATTAAATTAGGTACCCATGTACTATGCTATCTACCTAAAACTTAACCGTATTTTATACATTAAAATTTATCCAATTGAAAATTATTTAATGTATTGCATGTGAGTGGTGATCATTGTTGTTAAGTATTTTATAATATTGTTATACCTCGTTATACATTATTTTTACATCATCCCAGAAAACTTCTTATAAGTCGTGTTGCGTATTAATGACTACTATCATTTTTTATGTTGAATGACCATTGATACATCATTATCTACATTTGGAATTATATCACCATTCTTCAATCGTCTCCTATTATATTTATGCTTACTTTAAAATAATAATTTAGCGACACGATAGGTAGCACACTTCATAAGTATCTTAAATTAGTATTAATATATGTTAAAAATAATCCATGTACTGCTACGAATGCTAGTGTAAAAATAATAAAATTAAAAACGTATACAAAATTATTTTATTTCTAATAATTACAAAATTAATTTATTTTAATTTTATGGCTCATAGAAACTGATGACATATTATTTCTCAACATATGAAATTATATGTGATGATATTGATCTAGTTTTATTAGTTATAGAATAATGATATTAATGCCCACCTCTATTTACTTTGTAAACGCTTATATATATATATTTGTCTATATTCATATACATATTATAAGTTTATTACATCATTAATATTTGTTAGGTCTTTTTTATAAAAATTATTTTATTTATTAATATATATTTATTTTTCTTGCTCTTTGTACTGTATAATATTAACTTAGCTCTACCTTGTCAATCATTAAATTTAGTTAGATGAAGGAATAATGTTAGTGTATCAAATTCTACAATAATTAATTAACTTTTAGAAGTAATTTAGAGTCCTTGATACATTTTTTTGAAATTAAATTACAGAAATTTCTCAACTGTTATAATGAATAATAAATATTTTTATGGGTTTTAACTGTTATAACTTTAACATTAATTTATTCTAAATGTTTATTCAAGTATAAATGATTCAGGAATTCCCCCGGATCAACAACGTCTTATTTTTGCTGGCAAGCAATTGGAAGATGGTCGCACTTTGTCTGATTACAATATCCAGAAAGAGTCTACGCTTCATTTAGTACTCCGTTTAAGAGGTGGTGCTAAAAAACGAAAGAAGAAGAACTATTCCACACCCAAGAAGATTAAACATAAGAAGAAGAAGGTCAAATTAGGAATCCTTAAATTTTACAAAGTGAGATTAATAAATTGTTTTGTATATTAAACTTTTAAATTATTTATTTATAAAATAAATAATTATTTATAGGTTGATGAAAGTGGTAAAGTACATAGATTAAGGAAAGAATGTACATCCGAAAACTGTGGGGCTGGAGTTTTCATGGCCGAGATGTCCAACAGATTCTATTGTGGAAAGTGTAGTTCAACTATTGCTAAATAAACTGTATAGTAATTAAAGTTCAATACAATATATTTTTTAAAAAAATGTGTTACATTATTGTTTATCAATAAGTAATAGTCTATACTAGTGGTTCCCAATCGGTATGCCACGATAAATCTATAAAGTGTTTTATAAGTATGTATTTACCAGCTTATTATCAATATTCAATGAAAACCAATCGAACTAATCATAGATACATATATATACGAGTATCTATAATATGGATTAATGCCACAAATATTTTGTTGGAGATGAAGTGTGCTGCATTGTTAAAAAGGTTGAAAACCACTGATCTATACTCAGTACACATTAAGAGTGTCACATAGTCAAAATAATTTCTTATTGCTATAGTTCAACATGGTAGGGAAGGGGGTTATTGAATTAATCAAGAGTCAACTGCGTTTAACTAATTTTTGTGTGCTGAGTATTATTATTTTATATATAATAGTATAACAAATATTTTTAAGTACATAATTAGTTGGTTTTTTAGTCAAGTTTGAGGAGCAAAACTCACCAATTATAGATTTTATTTAATAACTTTATTATACTATATTTGATAAAATGAATACAGTCTTATTGCCAAGAATTAATAAGTAATAAATAATAGTTAATAAGTAACAATTTAGAATGAAACACTACTTAAATTGAATAACTAGCGAACACAAAATAATTAAATAAATAAATAATTCTTATAAAATAATCAATTACTTTTAAAAAGTATTAATTTTATTTACAATATTTGGTATCTGCTGTTGATTGTGATTGAAATATTACCTTCATCAATAACATTTTAACATTTGACTAGACCACTAGTGGATTTTTTAAATGCCATTGTTTCATTATTTTAATCTTAAGTTCTTACAAATGTAATATAATTATAGTTTACAAATATTTATCATTTTTTTTTCAGTACTTATTTTACATGTTAAACATTGCAGATAACGATGCATAGTCGTTTGCCATCAGCTAACTATTTAAGATGACAAATTTAGATGTATATGTAATGATGGCCATGAGTCGTCATCAACTGAACGTTACCTACATTAAATGTAGACTATGCTTCGTTATTGGCGTTTAATATATTAAAATAAATAAGCAGTCCATAACACTTCAATTGATTATTTACATGTCATAAATATTTGGACCATTTGTAGAAGTTGATTGTCCTAAGTAATTGAATAATATTAAAATATGTTTGCTATAGTTAATTTGGAGCATAAGTTTTATTACTTTTCGATTAGCCCTGTATAGAGTTTTCATCAGTTTGCACATTCATGAGTGATTGAATGATATTAATTAAATGTGTGAAATTTGGACGATCGCCGGCAATATATGACCAACAAGGTCTCATAAGTTTGTTGTAAATGTCTATAGTGCATGGAGGACATGATGGGCATTGTAATCGATGACCTTCTTCCAAAACCCTTATTAAGTTTTCAACATCTAATCTTTCTTCTAATTTGGAGACTACATTAGGTTCTTTACCCAAAGAAAAAATTTCAAAAAGTAATACACCATATGCCCAAATATCAGTTTTAGGAGAAAATTTTCCATACAAAATAGCCTCCGGAGCATGCCTAGAATTATAAAATTTAAGTTGAACAACAATTTTAAGAATAATAATATTTTCAATTTAGTTTAAACTTACCATTTTAATGGTAAATCTCTCATAGTTTGTAAATAATAGTATTTTTCATCAGGTAAAAACTGAGCGAGACCAAAATCTGAAATTTTTACATTTGTAGGGTTTGCTACCAAAATGTTTCTAGTAGCTAAATCACGATGTATTATGTTTAAACTTCCTAAATATTCCATTCCCTAAAATATAATTGTCATAATACAGATAATACTTATTAGTAACACCTTTACATATATGATATTCATCAATATTTTTTCAAATTTAATTATCATAACTTGTTACAAACTAATTATATTCATTAGTATTATCACTTTGAGTTAGAAAAATATATTTTAAAAATCAATGATAAATTATAAGAATAAAATTACCTGAGCAACATCTAGAGAGTATTTTAATAATATATTAGTTTTTTCCATTAGTTCATCTTCATGTAATCGTAAGTAACTACTTAATGAACCAAATTCAACGTATTCCATAACAAGCATTAAATTAGGTTCTTCTAAAACACCTTCAATTTTTACTATATTTGGATGATTTAATCCCTAAAATTTAATTAACACTAATTTTTTTTTTTTAATTTACTTTGTAACTTGTATTTTAGCTTACCTCTATGATTGCAATTTCTCTTTGGAAATCTTCAGTTTGGAATGATCTTTTCATATGCTTGACAGCTACTTTTTTCTTTCTATAGTCATTATATTCTAACAAACCTTCTAAAACAACACCATAGAATCCCTAAAAAAAAAAATTAACTTCAGGATAATTAGCATTATTTAAATATTAATAACAAATTTAAAATATTTACCTGTCCTATAACTTGCCGTAAACTCAATGTAGCATTATTGAATTGGTAAGTTTTTTTTTGACAATTCATAGCACTTAGCATATTGCTTTTTATTTCTTCTTTTGATGTAAGCTATACATAATATATAAAAACTTAGATGACCAATAGAAGTTTTAGATTTCATATTTATGGATAATTTCAGAAGTGTCAGAGATCTTAAGAAAATCTTATTAGTTTCATGTAATAAATAATGAATTATAACCATAAATGAACAATATATGAAATTATTTAAGTATTTTATGCAAACATATATTATATATTTTTATTTTGTAAAATTATAGACAAAATTACTCATTTACCTGCTCCATGAATTGATTGAAACTTGTGTTTGTTGCAAGCAAAGGATTTTCATTTTGATAACTTCTTCCATCATCCTAAAATTCAATCAAAATATTATATTATATTTTTAAAATAATTTTTTTCCAAAATATAAGTACATACAGGATTAGAATTGAAATCGATAAAATCTGATTTGGTTTCGCTTCCAGAAAATGAACTCGATACAGTGTCCAAAAATGTTTCAACTTTAAAAAAAGTTAATATATAAACAAATATTCATTAAAGTTAAATCTTCAATTTATAAATACTATTTAAAAGTAAAAAAAAATTTAAGCAGACAATTTTATAATTTTCTTATATATGTGTTTTATTCATATGCAAAAAGTACAAATTATAATTTTCAGTATTTTTTTTAATATAGATTATATTATATTGATACAGAATCTTACTTGTGTAATCAGAAGTACAGTATATTGTTGCATCAGAGCATGTAACATCATCACTGTAAATTTCTTCTTTTTTTAATGGTGTATATTCATGTTGTGGACTAGCATAAACTAAAATAAAAATGTAAACAAGAATATAAAAAGGTGATTTTAGTACATACATATAATACAACTACTTTGCAGCCAAATTTGTCTTAAATCTCTTAATGTTGCTTGTGGTTTTTTTCTTATGAAAGGATCACAATCCCAACAATCAGTCATAATCTGATAGATGTCATCTGTACAACAATCTGGTTTTGGCATTTTTATATTTTTTTCAAATTTCTGAAAAATAATATTTTATTAATATAAGATAAAGTAATCACGTGCTAGTCCTTCACTCACAAAAAATGTCTTTAAATACTTACTTTTTTAAACATTTCAACATTTTGAACTTCGGGTAATACAATGCCATAATTAAATAATTCCCACAACGTTGAGCTAAAAGCCCAAATATCAGCTTGGGGAGATTTGCGAGCAAGTTCAATATTGTTGTAAAATTCAATTGGAATCCAATATAAACTAAAGAATAATCCACATTATTTTACAAGATAAACAAGATTTCTATAAAAAATTTGATAAATTGTGAAGTATAATTTTCATTCAATAAAAGCAAATTTATATAAAATATGTAAACGTTTGTAAAACTAAATAATGGGACTTACTCATGGCTAGTATAACATTTATGAATACCAGGATCAGTAAGTTTAACAACAAATGAATTTCTTGTATGTTCAGCAACAACAAATTTGTGACATCGAATTTTTCCATGAACTAAGCTTGCCATTTCCTAAAATTATACACACGCACAAAGGTATAATATATATATTGTATTTATTATAACAATACAGTACAACCTCTTAAAATTGAACTGAAATTATATTTTATAAATACTTATAAATAAAATTACCATATCCCATAAAGCTGTTGCAATATGTGTTGCAGCTTCAACTAAATTACTAAATGACACTTTATCTTTATTATTACGCAAAAAAGTATCAAGAGGTCCTAATGCAAAGTATTCACTGACCAAAGCAGTTGGTGTATCAACACAAAGACCAAATAGTCGAACAATAGCACTTGAAGAAACTGAACTCCATCTTTTTGATAAACTTAACATATCCTACCAAAAGTAAAACCATAAAAAATTTGTTTATTCGTTGAAAGAAAATACGTACCATTAAGTGTAAGCTTATGTTAACATCATCTTGGAATAATTTTACAACTACAGTGGATTCATTTCTTTTAGATTTACTCCAGGTAGCTACTCGAACTTTCATGAGTGATTGAACTTTTTTTTTAGGTGAACATATAGCTAATAGATTAAATAGTGATTTATCTATAAATATTTTATTTCATATAAATAAAATATATAAATACTAACTTTTCAATAATTTGATAGAATCACTATTAATTAAATAGGGACCAATAACTTTATCTTCTTCATCATCATTACTAATATGTTTAATACTAGTGTTTTGACATAATAACAACTCATTCATAGCTAAACAAATAAAATAAAATAATTTTCTAGCTTAATAAAAAATATAGATTACTAAGTTATTTAGATTTTATTAACAATCACATACCAATATCTGATGGGAAAATACATTCAATAAAGTTTAATGACATTTTATTGTTAGTAATAAGTCTCCAAATTGAAGGATATTCTATACTGTTATCTCCAGCAAGTTTGTAAAGTCCACCCTTACTTTCTATTACATACGTCATAGGTTTCATACTAGATATTTTTTTTTATTAATATATTAATTTCTATATTACACATATTATTTTTGTAGAATAAAAAATGTTACCTCTGGTTTACACAAACATCAATTACATAGTTATCATAATTTTTCATACTTTGTCGTAGTATAAAACTTCCATGTTTCTTTGACATTTTTTTTTTCAAAATTGATGTAGATTTCATAATGCTGTTAAATCATATAATTATTTAAAGATTTGGATTTGTATGAATAATTATGTTTAGAAATCATACTTAGTTTAATTATTTAAAATACCTGATGGGTCCATGAGAACGAATAGATTTCAGTTTACTTAATGTAGGAGTATTGGTGGATGCACACAAGTCAAAATTCCAATTTACCATTAAACGATAATAGCCATTCAATAATGTTATGAATGAAATCATAGTACTTGTGTTTAGAAATTTCAAATGAATAGGTATACCAGTTTTTCTAGATATTTCAACAGTACCATCATCAGTAGTGGATAGAAAACACAAGTCTTCAATAGCAGCCAAGTGAAGCCACTAAAAAATATTTTGATTAATAATTGAATAGAAACATTAACAAAAATAGTATACTTCTTTTCTATTTTCAGTACACATTCGTACACCAGGCATTTTAGAATGGAATGGGTTTACTCTAAATGTAACATTCACAGAAGTACCATTTTCATTATATAAAGCCTTATATTCCTCTTCTAAATAATCTGGAGCTATAGAATTAAACTGTTCCAAATAACTTTCTTTAATAACAGATACATAGTGAGTATCAACTGTATTGTTACTTATGATTTTTTTTAATGTATCTTGGACAGGTTTTTTCAAAAAAAACATATGTTGCTTTACTACTTCTTTAGGCATAAATTGTTTGTAGTTTTGTTCAACAGTTTCTCTAGATTTATTTTCTTCTAAAATAGCTCTATACATATCAACTACGCCCAGGCCAATAAGTTCTCGTTTATATGTGTCATAACACAATCCAGTAACTTTACTTTTTAGTAAATCAGATTTAACTTGATAAAAATAGAAATTATAAGCATATCGATCAGTTGATTTCAGTCGTTTTACATCAGGCATTTTATATCTTAATTTATATTCATAAACATGATGTTCATTTTTAGCATATAATATAAACAGAGAAGGACTTAACCATAGATTATCATCTGTAATGCTTAATACTCTCAGTCCGAATAAATGTCTGGCGACTGGACCAATGTTTAATAGCTTTGATGTCTCGATAACTACATCTTCTACAGTTGTATTTATAGTCACAGGTATTTCATATGGAGTCGCTTGAACGGCTGTGTGTACTTTGATAGAAATGGACGAATCCATGATTGACGACTAATACACTTTTCACGCAGTTAAGAAAAATTAATTTTCAATTTAATGCACAAAACATGATAGATGCATATCGCATGACCGTTTTATTGAATATAATATACTGATTTGTTAATGTTTTCACTTAGAATTGCAAACGATCAATTAATTAGACTAACGGAAACAAAAACAGTTGACAATATACTGTAATTTGTATATATCTTTAGTCTTTACTATATAATATACTTGTATACAATATACTATAGAATATACTGTGACAGTCTATTGTATTTATCATTTTCTAAGAAATCACAACAAAACACTCAATAGCACGACTCGGTAACCCAATGGGATTCGGTTCAGTGGTTGTGGTAGTTGTCAATATATAACATTGATACGTCTCTTGATTCTCTGAAGTCAGGTGGTTTCAGCTGATAGACATATTGAACACACTATAAGCTCGGTGATTACATATAATGATTTATATGATTTATATAATATTTTTGATAACAACAAAATGATAACGACGGTGTTGGTCTAATCAACTGCGTATAGACCATAGAGTATTACTGTATGGTATAGACAGACCCCTCTCTCCTAAAATCATGAAGATTCGAGATCATAGAACATCGTGATAATAATATTATGATATCAAATATTAACAAATACACAACATTCAACGACTCAACAGTTTTGTACGATTATAATTTAAAATTGTTTGTGAATTTGTAATTGGTTATAATTGTAATATAAAGGAGTAATAAATATAACAAATTTAGAAAATAGTTTTGCTTCACTACATACTTCCATGGGATTGAACTAATAGTTTATTGATTTGTTAATGCATAAGTATTTATTGTTTTTTTTTAATTTTTTTATTTTAATACAACTACATACTTGTGTTATTTTGTTTTTATTCATTAATTGTTGACTAATACTTCAGTATATTTGAATATTATTCAATTTTAAATTTCATCAGCAATTAAACTTGAGAAAATGGAAAAAATGACTCGTAGAATGAAAATGAAAAGTGTGGAAAGTTTGGTTTGCTTAGTAAAATCAGTTGAAAATCAATTCACTACCATTGATTTACAAAATGAAACATCTCTCTATGGACTTATTAAAGAAGTTGATTGGTATGGATTACTTGCTTTAGAATTTTTTGTTTGACAGTATTTAATTTCATATTTTAATTATAGTGATATGAATATAACTTTGAGTGATGTTACTTTGACTGATCCTAATGGTAATAGATATTACTGTGATAATTTTTTTTTAAAATCAAGATTGATACGTTATGTTCACTTATCTCGAACTGTAAGTTTAAGAATTGAAATGTTGAGTGTACTAATAAAAATTACTTTTACTATTATTCAAGGTTGACATTTTTCAAGCCATGAAAGATGTGGTAAGGAAAACGTTTCCAGTTCGAATAAAAAAAAAATCTTTTTCTCTGAAAAAAAAGAAAATATTGGCAAAACAGGAACAACTGAAAAGGGAAGTACAAAATATGAAAAGTAAAGATAGTAAAGACGCAGAGTAAAAATCATCAATAAGTATAAATTTTAATTTAAAATTTTTATTTTTATAAATACATATATAATTTTAATATAAACTTTTTAAATACTCATTACTTATGTCATGGAAATATATTTTACATTTTATAAATAAGTACCATTTATAAAAAAAAATATTTTTTTAATGTTTATAAGATTGTAAACGATTCATCAAATATGTTTTTAGTTATAATAAAACTATTTTATTTCATATAATGCTTGATTAAGATAAATTTATTTTTCCACCTAAACCAAAGTCATTTGAAAATAAATAAACTTGTCTAAGAATAAAATAGATTTTTAAAATAAAAAAAAAACCAACAATATTCCAATATTAATGAATAATTCAATTGGAAAATGCAATTTATTAATTATTAAACTAAAAAAAACTACAATCATTGGATATAGAAAAGTTAAGAACTAAAAATTATATAATTCTCGTATAATTAACACATTTAAACTACTTTATAACTAATTTTGAAATTCTTAACTTTCTCTCTGTGTAACAATAATTGGAGAAAAATAAATTCTTTATTTATTCTTTATTCTCACAAATCGATAAATTCTGGTTATTTATATCTTATATAGCAGAAATATTTAAGTTGAATTATTTTTATATAAATATTTATTGATACAGACATAAAGATACATAGAAAGTTTACTGATAATTATCATATGATTTCAAACACTATAAAATTGGTTTACTTGAGATGACTGAAGTTCAATTTGTGCCGTTTTAAATTGTAGTGTTTGAAGCCATTTAAGAATATCTAAATTAACTTCGGACTTGGAGAAATCAGATCTAGGCTTAATTGATGGAGGTTCTCTTGGTTCAAGTTCAATACATGCATCTAAACGTAATTTTATATGTCCTGGTAACTAAAACCAATACAATTTTTTTAGCTCAAATTAATCATAAATAAAATAATATGATTTAAGTAGGTAAATGAATATTAATTTTGTGTTAAAAAAATTATACCTTAAAATTTTTATCAGTAAATAAAACTTCTTTCCACATAGGTATAAGTTTACATAATGTAACAGCTCGACAGTCAAGCAATGCTTCTAGTAAACTCAAGAAATGTAAGTTCACCATTTCCCCCAACTAAAAAATATTTACAAATTACAAAAAATTGTTCAACAATTTATTTTTATTTTAAGTATTCACTAACCGTTTTAGATTTGGATGATAGATTTAACATACTCTGTGTAACTTTATTCCAAAAGTCATGTAATATATTCATTGTAAATGAATGATGATCACCAGCTGTTACCATTTGTTGAGCTGTTAGTTCCATGTAGATTGTCCATAACTAATTAATTAATAATAAATTATTATTACCATTCTATTATATTATTTCATATATAATTTTGGTTATTATTACTTGACAAAGAACAAATGCGTGGAAGAGAGATGACATATGTATAACTGAAGATTTTGATTCTTCTGCAAATCCTGTCATGATTATATTAATATGATCAGCTATTTGGCATGAAACATCTTGGGATAACGGTAAACATGGTCTGTTTTGTGTTGTTGTATATGACAGTGATCCAATTAGAATCCAGGATAGTAAACGTATATGACTGAGACAATCCGAAAAGTCCTTGCAATTGTATATAAATAATCTGTAATATTTATTTATTTAGTACATGTTTTTATGAAAAATTAAAATCTTATATTCAATTTCAAACAAAACTTCATACGAGTTATAATCATTAAAACGGAATTTTTATTTGTAAATATGTATTGTATATTGAAATACTTTTTCGAAATATTATGAGAAAAAAATATCTAGATTAACCACTGATATGTGAGTACTTTATTTAATAATGTATAGTTATACTATATATATATAGTTATGCATATTAGACTGTGTTTACACAAGATATATACAATTTTACCCAATAGTTTGTATTTCATTTGGTCCATAATATAACCAAGGGAATATCTTATGTAATGATCTTGCATCTCGAGTATTACTTTTTAATAGTTCTAATGACAAATATTGAGACATGCCAGCTTTCACAGTACTACCAAATGTATCTTCATTAATACCTTCTTCTGGTGTTGTACACCGACTCTAAATACACAATAGTTCTAATGTATTTAAGTAATGATATTTATATATATGTATAAACCTTTATTTTAGTCAAAGTGTTGGAGTCTGTTAAGAAATCTAAAATATCTTGTAAATTGTTTCGTAAAAGTTCCGATGCACCTGTTGGAACACTAATTACAATTGCTGGAAATGTTGGTACTATATTACTAATTACAGAACATTCTGGTAATATACCACCAATATCCTAAAATAAAATAATTAACCATGTTATATTGTATGTTTTTAAATTTAAAGTGTTTTACTTGAAGTATGAAGGCAACATAAACTAAAAGGTTGTTATTGAGATTTTGTGTTTTAAATTTTAATGCTTGTATCAATTCTACTGTTACTGCTCTGGTTAATAATGTTTTCTCTCTTTCCTATATATTTTATAAAGGTGTAATATAATCAGATTTTATTTATTTATTCAGTCAACTATTGCAGGCATAGATTCAGAAATATTTGATAATGTGGCACTTATAAATAAAAGTCAACTTAAAAATTTTTTCATCAATTTATATTTAATGTTTCAAAAACTTTTAAAATAAAGTAACATTTTTATTTTTAATAGAGCGAAATATTTTAATTTTTTGTAAAATCAATGCCTGCATATTAATATTAAATAAAAATTCTTACTCTTGCAAATGTTTTATATGTCAAGGAACAAAGATCAACCAATAAGTAATAATCAATGTAATGTTGTTGGAGTGCATAAGTTAATATTTTTGAAAATGGATCCAAAATGCTCTTAAAAGAACAAAAACAAATATTTAAGCTTCTATAGTATCAGTTCAGATAATAAAATTAATTTTTATGTACTTAATTGATAAAATATTAAGTAATGCAACTCATTATTTTTGAAATATTACCTTGGTCGAAATAATTCCTGGTATTTTTAATACTATAATCATCAATTTAAATATTAAATTTACATTTTCAAAACTATTTATAGTTAATTGGATTTTTCTGAATAATGTGTCAAATTGATTCAGAATTGTTGTCCAAATCAAAGTTGAAGTAGTTCCAGTAGTGTCATTAGTTAATATATCAATATAATATGTTATATTTGACAACATAATACAGCAGTTATCTGTTGAAAGTGATTTTTTAGAATTTAAGACCTGTAAATACAAAATAAACATTTATCATAGTAATTTTAAAGATATATTATTATACCATTAAAACAATTTTAAAAAATTGATTTACTATATAAATTAATATATTTTAGTAATTTGTTAAAAATGATTTTCGAACATAATAATTTTAAATTAGAATATAATTATAAAAATTCTGAGGTAGGTATCAGAAATAAATACAAGTTACAATATTGCTTACTTCTAAAACCATTTGCAATGGTTCAATAGGGTTCATTTCATTAAAATCCATTAAAGCTTGTATAATACTCTTAAAGAAATTATTTTCATTGTTTTCTATAAATAAGTATAATTTTCTATATATATATATTTTTTTTTTGTACCATTGAATGACATTGAATTATTACCATTATGTTTCATTTGAAATATTTGTGTAAACACTCCATTTGGAGCAAGTTGATAAAGAATGCATCTTAAAAATTTTTTTGCTATACTAGTGGAACCACATGGCAAAAAATTTTGACTATCTTTTTGCCATATGAAAGTAGGTTTGGAATGAAATCTGTTATAAACAATTTGTATAAAAAATGCAAGTATTATACTATAATGATATGAATACTTTGCTAATATTGTTAGTATTTCGGGTAAAAGGCATGCAGCAACTGAAGGAGCTCGATGTACAAAAGTTCCTAATAAGACAATACATAATCCAATTTCATCATCACTATATTCTTCTTTGCGCGTTCCACAATCACTGCATCTAAAAAATGATAAAAATATTATATACAAAATAATATTCTTATATGTAAAAATTATAATATTATGAATACCTTTCTTGTATACAATCAATTCCAATGCGACTTGTGCTATTGCTTACATTTTTATGTAAACAGAAAGCTTCGTAAATTGGAGGATCTGAATTTTGGTTATGGGTATTTCTAGATAATTTTTTTTACAGTAAATTATTACAAAACGGTTTATAAGACTTAAATATTTAATAATTATTTTATTATGTGACACATAAAAAAACCAGACTAAACAAACTGACTATTATTAATAACAACTCATAGTATAGTCTTCCATAAACATTGCAATATTACCCATTTTATTACAATAAATACAAACAAACAAATGCTAGTTCTCGAAAAATAATCTATTAGAACGAAAATGTTTTTAAGACGTTTTCGTAGTTTCTAAATTTTTTTTTATGCTTAAAGAAACTATCCAAAAATCCTTCTGTCAGAATATTTATCGTATAAATTTTCAATCTTATGCTTATATTATGCTTAATCATATACATGGTTTTTTTAATTTAATTTGATTACTCGAGAAGTTGATCATATAAGTATAGGCGCTAAAGTAAGTTCTAGAAGTTAGATTTTACATTTTTTGGGGGGGGGGATTATAAGTACCAATAATACACTAATTCACAGGGACTACACCTTCCTCCATTACCATCTACTAATTTACATACAGACAACATTTGTCATTACCTACTACTATAGGCAGGTTCATTTCAAATTTTAGCAAGAAAATGAAAAAGTGTGATTTTGTAAACCAAGTTTTGATTTTTGGTACTTGTTTTACCCCGCCAGTATACCCTATAAAATGTATTTCCCCACTACTCTTGTTTTTTATCGTCCCGTCAAAAATAAAATAAACAATACAATAAATATTAAAAATATTTCAATATTTAATAATATTTATTTATGTATAAAATTAAAATTTTAAAAATGTATTATAATTTTAAATTAAAAAAAAAAAAATATGTTAAATTACAATGGAGGCCAGAACTCAAATAAATTTTAAGATAGCTTCAAATGCTTCTTGCTCCCCGAGATATGTTCTCCACATAAATTCTGCCAAATACGATTCCAGAAAATTTCTATTAATTCTACGACCTTTTTTATTTCCCCAATTTGTAGAACTCCATAACCTCTCGATATTTTGGGTGTGTGCCCCTGTGTAGAGATCAACAAAATTATAGGTGTAGTTAACAGTTTTATGTTGGATTCAAGCTTTCTGCAAATTATTTTAAGCTTTTTAACAATCTGACATAATTATTGAGCGTAGTTTTATATATTTTTGTATTACAAGTAACAATGTTTTCTCCGATCGATCAGGAACACTAAATATAAAACACGTGTAAATTTCTCTACATATTCCACCAAAAAACACGAGTTAAACACGATAATTATTGGAACAGCGTAATATAGCTACATGGCGAAGCAGTAACAAACAAGAGTAAGTAAACCGAAAACTATAATACACTAAATAATAAGAATAATTCTTAAGAATTATTGTCAAACTTAATAATTATTTCATGTAGATATAGATGATTAGATTTTATCTCTATCTCAAACCTGATATTAATTATTTTAAAATTGGGAAGGCCATAAAAATATTTAGATGGATAAACCCTCCCCTAGATGCGCATGTGCAAATAAGTACATACAAACAATTTCTGTTAAATCAATACTTCCTCCCTCATTATGCTTAAAGTGTAGAGGCGTACCTATATTACTAAAAAAATTTCCTAAATGTAAATGCAATTTACATAGAAATGAATTTAACTTTTCATTAATGTACTAACCAATATATTCGCTCCAAACAATATGGTATTAGAATATCAATTTAAACTCGGTATTAATATATTTTTCTAAAATAAATTAAGTTATAATAAGATTTATATTACCTATGATGAATGTAGTTTCTTGTGAAATCATTCCTATAATTCATTGAACGCCGCGCAGAAGAAATTACTGATTTGTTGTCTTCCGGACTATCTAGAGCACTTTGTTTTATTAATTTCCGTGGACTATGGGGACTTTTCTGTAAAAAGTGAAATAATTAATTGGTAATCACTATAATAATCACTAACTTATAATTTAATTTTACGTAAATATATTAAAAAAAAATGTATAAATATATTAAGTTTTTAAATATATTTAAAAACTAAATCTTTAAATTTTAAGAATGCATGTGTCTATGTAAAATATAAACATTATTATTTTTCTGAGTTGTTTAATCAAATGTAATTATAAAAATTAGGATAACTGAAATAAGAAGTGAAGAAATTTAATAAATTAAAGAAATATTAATTGAAATAAGTCACTGTTAATTAATCCAATCAATAATCAAGCAGTTTTGCTCTTTCAGTGTGCGCCCGGTCTAAACTCAATTCCTCAACCATGATTTTGCTTAGCATAACTAACCAAACAATTTTATAATGTATAGGTATGTCAGTACCTGTTCTTTTTCAGAACTATCTTCTCTATTAAGAGACGATGACTGTGATGCCGATTCTATGTCTCCTAAACCAAAAGTCTTATTAATTTTTTGTACAAGATTTATTGTTGTTCCAATTGGTAAAAGACGTTCTTGCACAGGAATTTCCAATGGTTTTTTTTCTAAATTAACTTCTAATTTAAATCCCAAATTTGTTTGAATTTCGGAAGATTCTAAGTAAACATATTTTTATTATTTTATTATGTACTGTACATAATTATACAATTGTGTGATTATACCATTAGAAAATGTTGAGTTAGTAAGTACTTTCATTTTTGAAAGAGGTGATTGGGGACAATTATACAATTTTGGTACTGGCTTTTGTAATAATATTTTATCTTTTATGTTTGACATTATCGGTGGGTGTGATGTTACTGATGAAGATGATGTAGATGTTTGGCTCATGTCTTTTTGATTGTAAAATGTATGCAAATTTTGTCGAAAATGATCATCCATTATTTCTTCAGATTTCCTATAACATAAAATAAAATAAATATTTCAAATGTAGGTAAATCATTTTTTATGTGAAATTACTTTAGCGTTGTATTTATTTCTGGTGATGAAGTGGAAGTAGTCGCTAAAACTGGCTGTGATAAAAAGTTTTGTTGATTGGCAACATTAATAATCGCTGAAGTCGCTAACATTTTCATTCCTTCTTTTACACCCCATTTATCCACCTTCTCTTTAAAAAATGTTGCTTATTTTTTTTTTTTTAATAACTTGTTAAAATATATTATCTTACGTCAATATTATTTTCATTTGACCAAAACGATCGAAGTGGTCCTTTTCTACTATAAACTTCATCAGCTGATTCATCAAATGAGCCCTATGTAGATATTAATATCGTTGTTTTAGAATTTAATTTTAAAATATTATTAAATATATGTGTGTTTTATTGTGTGATTTAATTTTATGTAGGTAATATTTTAAATATTTAAATCTATCAATATATATATATATATATATATATAAATATATAAAGCTTGCCATCTATCCTTGTTTTCTGTCAGTATATATATAGTTATATTATTATCAGTTCTGAAGTTTTATTAATATATTATACTGTGCATAGAGTAAATGTAAATGGTAAATGTATTAATAATATAAGATACGCTGATGATACAGTAGAATTCCCAAATAATATTTAAATCTTGCAAAATATTGTAAATTAAATAGTAGATGTAAGTAGAAACTTTGGTTTGTCTTTTAATACAAAAAAACCAAATTTACGGTATCGAAAAAACCAAATGTAAGAGAACTGTTATTTTATTTGTTAGAGGATATCAAATAAAAAAAGGTTTAAAAATATAGCAGCTATACTATAGCTTTTCGGTATATGGGTGAATGAGGACTAAGAAAATGATATTGAAGTTAAATTCAGGAGTAAGATGGTCAGAAGTGTATTTGTAAAAATATCTAAGATAATTAAATTACAAGATTTTTTACCAGGAACTAAGATTAGAATTTTAAGATGTTACATCTACCGTATATTATTATATGTAGCCGAAACATGGATATTAACTGAAACACTGAGCTATACTAAATATGGTTGTACTATCCAATCTTAAGTATCTCATGGACAAATTGTTTATCCAATTTATGTGTAGGTACTTCAAAGAATACAAAAGGAAAAGTAATGACTGAGGACTTAGAAATACGGAAATTAAAATATCTGGGTCATACAGTGTTGGGAATAGATAATGAAAAATTTACCTAGATAAAAATGAAAGATAATATGTCCGAGTTCATCTAGATAAAGATAATAGATAAAAAAAAATTAAAATATCTAGATAAAGATAAAAGATAATTTAATTTTTATCTAGATAATTAAAAAAAAGATACTTTCAAAAAATGTCATTTTTTGGTCAATATTTCATATTTTAATAATATCTATGAAGACTCAATTATAATCATTATTATCAATAGGTACCTCGGTATTTAATGTTTATTGTAGTAGTGTAGTGTACTCAGGCGCGTACACAAGGGAGAGTTTTAGGCGATCAAACCCCTCCCGAAATTCAGGAAAATGATTAAATATGTTTGTATATAGTAAAATTGGTATATAGATTATATTATTAAAATGTACAACTTAAAACTCCTCCCAAAATATTCTTTTGTGTACGCGCTTGAGTGTACTATTAAGAATTATATACAATGTACAATATTTAATGATAGTTAATCATTAAAATGTTACACAAAAAAAAATAAAAAAAAAAATATGAAAATTGCTATGAACGTATCAGGATGAATACAGAATACATAAAAAGTTATTTTAAATTAACAATATTGTTTTCCATATAATATTAATTTGATGATTTTAATTATTCTATAAGTAGTTACGACTTTACGGGTTCCAAGAGTGAAGTAATAACTATTCAGCGTATGAGTGACATGTGTATATTAAAATCAAATGCATATTATATTTGGAACTTCCGTGGAAAAGTAAGAATTTAAGATTAAAAATACCAAAAATATTTTCCCGATATGAAAATACAAATAAAATGTCATACCAAGCAATAATTATTCATTAATAATACATTAAATATGAATGAATACAAAATCTATATGTATAAAAGAAAGGAGGTTAGTTACAGAATTTATAATTCAAGAACGGCTGGACCGATTTTGATAATCTCTGATTTGTTGGATTCGTCTCCGTACAAGAATAAAAATAACTTTAATCTTGACAAGAATACAGACAATTATCTAGATAAGTAAAAATTTTATCTTAGATAAGTAACTAGATAACTTAGCGTTATTTATCTAGTTAAAATAAAAGATGACAAAAAATATATCTAGATAATTTATCTAGGTAAGTCCCAATACTGGGGTCATCTAATGAAGAATAACTAAATATATGGATTGCTGTAACTTTACTTCAGGAAAAAAAGAAGATAAGAGAAGTATTGGTAGATGAAGGTTATCTTGGTAGAAAAATCTCCGCGATTGGTTTAGTGCAACAATAAATTTATTATTTCATTCATCGTTGGAAAGAGAAGACATTTTATCTTTTCAATATGATTTCTAACATCCGAAAGGGATAGGAACTTCAAGAAGAAGATTAGAGCCTACAATAAATATCAAAGATAGGACTTTTCATTCGGCCCGATGTTTGTGTACTACATTTATTTGTAATACATTATATTATAAATATTATAAATATACTATTCTATCTATAAACTATTGATAATATGGTATCCCATTTCTACTTATTTAATTGAAAAAACAGAATGAGTACAAAGGAGATTTTTACGCTATATTGGTTATAAAAACAAACAAATCATATGATAAAAATTTCAATACTTTAAATTACGAGTATATTTTAAATAGTCTTAATCTTAAATCTTTACATACATGTAGAAAAAATCCAGATATTACCTTCTTTTCTAAATTAATAAATGGCTTAATAACATGTTCCCCTTTACTAGATTATTATCCCTTCCGCGTACCACAATATAACTCCAGAAAATGCCGTTATTTTCATTTTAAAACCCATTGAACTAATAATGGTCAAAATAATCCTTTTGAAAAAATTTTGAATTATTAATAAATAAAAAAAAAAAATCTAATAAATTTAATAATATTTTTGAATTGTTTGTATCATTATAATTATAAACTATTAAGTTATAATTAATTAATATATAATTTATAATTTTTTTTTATTTTTTAATTATTACCATTAAAAGTGTAATTTTTAATCTAGTCCTATTTCTAATCTAGCCTGCAAGTAACTTTCAGTTATTAATTGGCCCTTTCTAAAATACTAGTAGAGATCACTGCTCAAGAATCATGACAATAACAAATTTAAAATCTTACTAGACATTTTAGTCTACACATTTATTTTAATAATATATTATCTAGACATTATTTAACCTATCTTTGGCATGTTACTGGTGACATCAATATTATGTAATTTCCAGTATTAAAACGAAATCACACTTTTAATGTTTATCGATTAGTATTAAGTTATCCACATTATTATATCAAAGTTGGATACAAAGAGGGAGGTGGATAGAGCTGATATATCAATACACTATAATTTTATTTTTAAGTTTATTATTATTATTTTAAAATTTGTAGGTTTGTATGATAGATAAGTATCTAATTCACTTTACAGACTTGAAAGAAATGCCTATGATGTTATTTATTTAGAATAATTTGTTTTTCATTTAGTTCCTCCCTCTCCTATAATATTGGATCTAAATCTTAGGAATATATAAATGTATTAGATGCACTAAAATTAAAAATAGTTAAAGATAGTAAACAGTATTGTAAATTCGTACATGTGAACTGTAATGACCAGTTGTACTGTCCGATTTGTATTTTTCTGGGGCAATAGCCAAGTCTGATTCTGTTTCATCTGGTTCAGTTGAGCCACTAATCGATTTGTACAGTTATTAGTAAACAAAATATAATAGAACAAATAAAAATCTAAAATATGCATACGTAGATCCTTGTTTATGTGGAGTTTTTTTGGGAAATGAAATATCTTCTTCCCAGTGTGTTTCCATACTCATTGGATATTTTCTCGAGGTAGATGGCTGAGATTCATAGAATTTTTGTGCTTCCATACCAAGAGATTCACTATTTTTTTCAACTATGGGGCAATAAAAATAGTTACACAATTGTATTAAATTACATTTGAATAAAAACCTTTAGTTTTTGTGGTATCCGACATTACAACTGTTGGAGGTATTCTATTGCAAACATGTTGTTGTGCATTTAGTGTATTCAAAACAATTTCCATTAATGACACTACAAGAAGACTAACTGGTTCTTTATCAAAATTGTACTAAAATAAAAGAAGATTAAATGAGTTTAAAAAAAATAAATCTTTAGATTTAGCAGTGTTTGGAAGGAATGTGTTCTAAAAGGAAAGGAATCTTGGAACGAATTCTGTTTTATAAAAAAATAACAAGGATATGAACGGGTTTTTTTTCGAGGAAAAAGGAATGACATTTTTCGTTCTTTTTGAGTTTCAATTTACACAGATACCTTGTTGAAATTTAAATATATTTTTTCTTAGCATGTGTATTATAAATTTGGTACCTAATCGTTATCGAGTATCGGTTATCGACTTTATTGTTATTCGTTTATCATTACAATAAAGTCATTATAAATTTGTCATTAGTCACTTTATTAATAATAAATTATAAATTATAATATAGGTAATATATATTGTAGATATGAGCTTACAAATCATAGAACAGATATCAATATATATATAGGTATATATAAACAAATATGAATCGTTGTCGTCGCGTTTGAAAATAGCATGTACAGCGAACACTGAACCATAAAATCATTTATGATGTGGGTTGGGACTTGGTAATACTTGATTAATATCCAAATTTTTATAATAAATAATTGTACGTAAATGTAAAATTAAAAATTTAAATATAATATACAAATAAAAAACATTAATGATTAAATAAGAATTTTTATTTTATTTGTAACTATAATGTAGCTCGTTCATTTTTTAAATGAACGACAAAGGAACATTTTTTTTTTTTTAAGGAACAAGGAATGGCACAAATTCCTTGTTCCTTAAAAAATAACGAGGAACAGAACGAATTATTTTTTATAAGGAACTGGAAAAACACTGAGATTTAGAAATAATATACTTTGAGTTACCTTATATAGATATACCATTACAGACATGAGCCATGACTTTCTAGCCATCGGTTCTAAAAACCATAAGGAATATGTTGTATTAATAGAATGTGTTTCGGGCGAAGGACAATATTGAAGTAACAATAATGCAGTGGGCGCAATAACTTGACCCATTGTAAAATTTTGATCTAACATTTGAGGTAAATTTGACAGAAATGAATTAAAAACCGGTAGATTTCTAGTGACATAATAAAACGTAAAAAATAATTAATTTAAAAATGTTATTGTAGTATATATTGGAGTATATACCTTAATTTATCTGGAGGTAGAAGGAATCCTTTTTCATTATAATTATAACCCAATAACAAATATAAATGTTGCAACACAATACCTTGGACCCTTATTCCATGTTTTGATTCTTCTGGATATGCCTAACAAAAAATATCTTATTATTTTGGTATCTAAGTTAAGTACCAATTAAAATTACATGTTCTGGTCTTGACATATATTGCATAAGTAAAAACACAATAAGACTGCTAGTTTCTTTGTCAGATTCTTCTAAGTCAACAATTCGTTGTAAAAGCTCTCCAGCGTTATCTTCATGAGAATCCATTCCATAAGAATGATCTGAATATAATAATTGATTATTCGACTATTTATAAAAATGGTATTATATAGTTTTATTTTTTGATAATATATACCTGGAAGGATTGATAAAATTGGAGTAATCAACTGTGAAGTTTTTCGCTTTAAAATTGGAGCAGAAAATTGTCTATTGTAAACTTTATCACCTAGGCATATTTCAATACATACTACTGTCAATAATAAATTTATTTCGTATAGTATTAGCTGATATTGTTAATTTAATCAGTGACTACATTAATTAAATTTAGATTATCAGATTCTTATTAATTCATTTTAAAATATCATCATATATGCCAATTATTTTTTTGACACTTAAATATAAAAGCAATGTATTTGGTTATTATTTTTAACGTATGTTGTCAGAAATGTATGATTTTTTAGTGATCAGTGTATTATTATGATAGAATGACCAATTCTATAAATTAAGCTTCTCCCCCACTTCGTTTTATACGTCCAACATGAGTATACGCTCATTAAATTCTTTCTGTTATCGTCTTTAGTTCGCTGAGTATATTTGTAAACATACACTCGTTTGTTTTATTTCGATGCTTATGAGGCAAGAAAATGATTTTGTTTTGCCTTTTAATCTTGATCTTTAAAACGTGTCCATCCAATTTGTCAATCTCACCACGTCAGAATGATAAAAAGCAAAAAAAAATATAATCTCCCCAAATCGCTTTGCTGTTTTTTTTGTCTCTGAAGACATAAGTTTCAATGTTTAACACAAAGATCACTCATCCAAATGGATTTAAGTGTAAGTCTACTAATGATATCTATAGTATAACATCATAAATAAATTTTATTTTTGTTATTTTTAGAAATTTATACTAAAAAAAAAAAAAATATATAATATAAATCCATCTGAAAGGCAAAAGTTAATAACGACTTTAATTAAGGAAAATTAGAAGATTAGAAAATATATGGTAAAGTAAAGGGAACATTATTGGTAATATATATAGTGGAAAGAAGACGGTGACTATGAAGGATATCAGGAAAATCAAACAATAGATAGAAAACATTGTATTTAATAAGACCCTGATAACGAGTGCAATAAAGAGAATCATTTAAAAATAAATAAAATAAGTGAGCTGGCAGGTGATTTTGGCCAAATCGGAGGCAATATAGGAAATTCGTGCGATATAGGAACATTGTGAAACCAGGGAAAGGATAAAATAGGACAGACGGAAATAAAAGACGTCTCAAATGATGCAAGTAGGTAATACCAAGTCCTTTATGAGCTGATGAAAATTTTGAATAGGGTATTTTAATAGGTAAAGGAACAAAATTAGGAATAAAATGGGAAGACTGTGTGAAAGAGGACATAAAAATGATAGGACCAAGAATAAGATGGAGAGAAGCTGCATATAACAGGGACAGATAGCAAGATTTGTATTTAGTGGCATGGTCTAAAGGCCGAAACCAAAAAAAAGAAGAAAAAGGAATAAAATTGATGGGGTAGCGAGAAAATCTGCTACTTTGTTGTCTATAATAACGATATGACCCATACCAATATAATTATAAAATCAATAAATATATATGTAAAGCCCAAAGAAAACATAACTAAATAGATTGTTAAAAAAATAAAAAATTCCCAAACTCATCACATGTAAAGTACTTAGGTATCACAGTTGATAATAATATATGGTTTTATACCTAAAATATCAATGTAAATAACACATGCTTCGTCTAATATCTAAATTCTTAACTCACTCAAAATCCATAGTAAATAAATTTCTACATTAAGACCTATTTAGACATATGATATACAAATTTAAGGTAGTGCTAATTATGCATAAGTCATTTCACATAATTATTTTCGTTTATCACCTTCCTTCTCATAGCCTTTGTCTTTAATCGACCGCAAAGTACAAAATCATGGTTAAATGAAAATGTATTCCTTTTTCTACTTCCTACTATGACTTTTAAATTATATATAGTATAATTTTAATTTTGAAGTAAAATATTACATACCATTGTATTTTTGATCATTTTTTGGTAATGTAGAAGCTGGCGCAGACATAGTTCTTTTGTACGGCCATTTTTGACCAAAACTCGCACTTAATGTTCGTATAGAATTTGATTCGGAAGAATGTGCCATAGATTCGTGAGCTCTTTGAACTTTTTTGATAAATGAATCACTTGTAATATCTGAGTTCCTTAGATCTTTTAAAACCAATAAAATAATTTTTTTAATAATATAGATGAATCAGAATTGTAACCATAATGATAAATTAGTAGTTACAAATTTCACAACTATTATACCTCGAACATGAGTAATATCACCACTTTTTTTTAGCTGTATTTGCGCTTCTATAAACAAAGCATCAAATCTACCTAAGAAAAACTCCCATGACAGAATTTTTCTGTCATTCAATGTATTATGTAACTGATATAAAGATTGTAAGATCATCGGTCTATCTATCATGACGGTATCGAAATGCATTTCCATACAATGAATTAAGTTCTGTAAATCCAATTAAATAAAACAGATTTTAAAAGTGTGTCTAAGATTTATAATTTTATTTTTTATTAACTTACCTTTAATGCTAAATCGTGAATGGTAGGTAATAAGAGAGTTGCTCTAGTAGCTACATAAGTACTACGATCATCCATACTTGATAAAAGGTAACAAAACGCATTTGTTATACATGACTGAAGAGTAGGATTATTTCTTAAAGGCGTATTATCCATAAATCGAGACATCAGCACTACTTTTTCCACTTAAAACAAAAAAATAAATATTATTTCAATTAAATAATATGTTTATATTAAACTTAACTATGAATATAATACTAACTATAAGTATCATTATAGTAAAATAATGAACAGCGATTACTAATTTATAATCATTATTATTAATACACCAATTCATGTACCTATTTATATGCTAATAAATGAATGCTTTATTAATTATCATATAGCAAGTAATGATCTCTGATTTTATTAAACTATGTTATATAAATAAATGTACCTATAGAAAGTATTTCATACAATTATAATTTTTAAAATGTAGTAAAAAAAGAATATATTTGCAGAACAGAAAATGTTTTTATTGGTATTTAGGTAAAAATATAACGAAGGAATGTCGTTTTTGAGCAATATTAGTCTTGCTTGAATAAATCATAAATAAAATTATAAGATGTAAGAAACTATATTGATTTAGTTTCACTACAATTAATTCACATACAAAAAAACAAATTCCTCTAGATCCAAATCTAAAAATCTAATCCTAGAAATTTAAATTTGATATAAATTATCAGCTATTTTTTTCAGTATTGAACAAAAAATTATGATTTTTAAACGTTGACAATTTATAGAAATTCCTAAAAATTATTTAGACCTTTTAAATATATAGCTATATAAGTATTATAATGTATATTATACATAGAAAAATTATATTTTACCAGCATTAAAACGAGTACGCCAATCTGCACTATGAAATTCATCTCTAATTAATTTCCAAAATATATCACTTCCACATGGTAATGAAATACAATGAAGCATAACAGGAATAGCTACTTCACATAGATGAGATTTAATACCTTCAATGCAATCCCAAATACTAAAACGAAAATGCTTAGTGTTATTTTTCATAATGTATTTTTTAAATATATCATAAATATAAAAAAATAGGTACTTTATTATTATAATTTACGATTTATTTGTTTTTTCTATATCAGATTATATTTGTGAATAGATTTGACTTATTAAGCAGTTTACCCTGTACTAACTGTTGGTGACAAATAAAAAGAATAATTCATTGATGAAATATAAATAAGTTAGTTATCCCAAATATTTTATAATTTAAATACCATGTTTTTTCTCAATTAAAAACTAGTAGATGATAATTTCGAACATAATATCAAGAAAAATGTCATGGTATTTATTTAATAAAAGGTGCTATGAATTATCGTTTATGCTTGGTTCACTAACAAAAGATATTGTAAGCTAACATATATTTTTAAGTATTAATATATTATAAAATATAATAGTCAATTCATTAGAATAATTTAATTAATATAGAAAGTAATAAATAGTACTTAATTTTAATAAAGGCAGTATAGAACACTATGTCTATAAATATTCTTACTTTTTAATTATTAAATTTTCTTGACACCAAATTACAAATCCTTTGTGCTCTTTTACAGCTTTGTTTAATGTGTCACAATGAAGAACCACAAGGTACAATGATTGTAACAAATAATACTTAAAGCTAGTATCATTAGTTTTAGGAAATTCCTAAAAAAAATATGTTTTAAGAAAATATAATTAGTATAAGATTTTTAAGATAACTAAAAGGTGTCTATTACTATTATTAAATATTTGTTAAATGTATTTATGTTTTTTTAGTATTAAATTTTCAGATAAACGAAAATCTTTATGTAATAATAACACATTAATTTATTCACATGTACGAGTAACCTGTTTTTCTGAAGATAACTTAAAACTAATAATTATTGTAAAAATTAGTAATTATTTTGTGGTATTATTGTAGATTCTATGAGTATACATTTCCTAAAGGTAAGTAAATTATATTTTCAACATGAATCATTATTTTATTGGAAAAAGGAAGAAAAAAGATTTTTTCCTTCTCGTAAAAATTCTAATGGCAAATTTCATTTAGCAAAATTTGATTTTATATGGTTTGAAAGTTTTATAATTTTTGGTCATATAATAAACTTGATAACTAGTAGTACAAATATGTGAATAGATGTGTATAATATAATCATATTATGATTTTTAGAATAACTATTACTTCAACTTATATAGTAATATAATTGCATGATTGATTCAAAAAAACTAAAATCTTTTTTTACAATCATTCAATGACTTATCATTTAACAGAAGATCTGTACTTTGTGTGATTTAACTTTAATATATAATTTTAACTTTCTAGCCGTGTTTTGTGTTAGCTTATAAGTTTTTTATTGTGAAATTCAAATGATTTTGTTCGCAGTCAATTCAACTTAATGTTATACAAAATAATGATTCAGTATTTAAGACGGAAAAATTTAATTGTATTCATCCTGTAGTATATTGATAAATCGATTGTAGTTTACTGATCACAATGCTCACATAAAGATAAATATGAATGTAAAGTTGTGAAGGTCTTACCTAGTTTAACTAAGTTAATCTATTAGATGATATTATTTATTTAATTAGGTAATTATGAATATAAATATTAGGTTTGAAAAAATTTTAATTTATACTTTTAGAATATGGAAAACTAATTGCAATTGATCCGGAAGTTCCTCAATTTTAATTCGAAACCTTCCTTGAGCTGTTTGCCAAAAATCTTGTATATTATGGATCGACTCATCAATTGGTTCATCATATTCATTCATTAATTTAGCTTGTGCAACTCTTGCTGTGGCTAACCCTTAACAATAATTATAATTATTGTTATAAAAGGCAATATCAGTTAAAATTCTAAAACTGTTTGTTGGTTGACAATTATATTCAACGTAAGTACATTTATTACTTTTAATATGTAATTAAAAAATAATTACCAACATCGGATTCTGTTAATGTAATAGCCCTAGCAATAGCTGGCATGACTGGAGTTAAATCCAATTGTTCTACAACCGTTTCCACTGTAGCGGTCATTAGCTGTAAAAATGTGATATTTATTTTTTATTAAAAACTTGAACTATTAGCACTTATTTGATTATTAAAAAATACGTATTATTTAAGTATAAATTATATATAATATTAAATTATTATTATTATTAAATTTATTATTCATATTAAAATATATTATATTATTTATTAATTATTTTTGAAGAAAAAAACACTAATTTAAAGTTATTTATCATAAATGAGTATATAAATATTTACTTGAGGCATGTTTACTAAGAGACCACCAATGGTATCTGGTGTTAACATAAAAGATAAATTTGTTCCTTCACATTTTGATTCTTTTTTATCAACTTCAGTGGGAGTTTTTTTCGTGTCTTCAGAAAAGCATTCTTCTGTAATCGGATCCTATACAAATTATTTACAGAGTTAATCTTTTGGTTTTAAGAAAAAGAAGAAAAGAAAAATTTAATTATTTTTGATTGGTAATATAATAATAATAAAAGATTTAAATGGTTATACTCTTTTCTAGTTTAGAACGAATGACGATGATTAGTTTTTGTCGATGGTCGTGAAGTTACGTACATATTTTTCCCCACCTTATACCTATCTACCTTCTGTTTTCAAGATGAAGTGCAAGTGCACATAATAAGTCATGCCCTATTGCGCACAAGTTGATTCTTCTTCTAATTTTATAGCCGTTTTAGATGTAAATTGAATATAGAGAGTACAATTAATATTTCAAATGGTAATAGTTATGGTCAGCTTTATATTTCCCTTATTAGTTATACTATAATTTTAACTTACATCAGGAGGATGTGCTAAATATGGCAGAGAAATATATTCCACTAATGAACTTGCTAATTGATGCCACAATACAATTAATTCACATGATACGCATTCCATTTTGTTTTCGCAATCGCGATGTGATTCGGTAAACCATCCAGTAACCAAAGTATTAGTAATTAATTTACATACTTCATGATTTGTTGCACTTGCAAACCCAGTATGCCTTTCAATTCCATGTAATTCCATCTAATTAATGTAAATTTAATTTAGATTGACATCGGTATTATATTAGGAAAAAACGGAACTTTGGAAATAAGTACTTGTTTTGATGTAATATCCAGCATTAACACACAGCAGCTGAGTTTTACATCATTTTCTAATAAATCTAGCCGAGTGTTATAATATTGTTTATCTTCATCATCAGTAACACTTTCTGTTCGTTTAATTATAACAGGATCTTAAGTTTAAAATATTTATTGTTATAGTTTTGGTTCAACACATCAAAAGTTTATTTTTATATTTAAAATGATTAACACTAACTTAAATTACTCCTCATAAAGTCGGATTCCTTTATGTTTTCGTTATTATAGATTTTTTTCATACTTTCCAATCCGTCTTTAAAAAAATTAAATAATAGATGGATTGGTATAGTAATTTCTAAGCTCGTTAATACCTGTAATATTAAATTTAAATAACTGAAATTACACATTTATCAAATGAATTAAACTGTAAATGTGTTACCTGAATCCAAGTCAATGATTGTTCTTGTACTTTGGCAGTAGTACCCTTAAAACGTACACCAATGAAATTATATAGCTTAGTAGCATCAAATCCTAAAGGACTCATATCTGAATCCAATATTTTACTAAAATTCATATTAAAATAACATTTTTTAGAACACGAAATTAATAATAAATTTATATATTTGTTAATTTTTACATTCTATTAAAATTATATACTTATTTTACCATAAAAGCATTCGTAATTCTGGTAATTCATCTGGTGGAACGTCTTGAACAATAGCTTCTAACCAATGTGGCATTATTAATTCCCATATTTCTGAAGTCACAATATCATATGGTACTAAGCATAGCAGTTGGTTCAGACCATTTTTTATTAATGCAGTTTGACTTGCCAGCATATCCCTTAAAATTGTATTTATTATTATAAATAATATTAAAATCTACAAAATATTTTTAATTCCATACCAATTACCACCAACTTGTGCATATTCTGGTGGACATGGTAATAAACAATTAACAAAAGCTTCGAAGTAATGTTGTCTTACGCCTTTTAACCATCTTTCACCGATGTATTCAGTTTTCATGTATTCTAAGGTACATTCTTGTTGATCTTAAATAAATATTATAATATTTATATAAATTATAATTCCTATGTTATTAATAATAATGTCATACAATGATTTGTTGGTATAAATTATATGAAACTCTGCATATTAACTTTTTTAAATAATATTCATTAACAAAAAAATGATTAAAGATATGAAAAAATTATGTAAAAATATCACTAAAAAATCTATACCTTATATATATTTTGTTATTTTGATATAAAAATGTTATATTATGTTTTCTTATTTTTTTTTTTACAAATTCTAATCAGTTTTTGTTTGACTAAAATTAATATTTCAATTGAAGAACACAATTATTTTTAATTATGAAATGAATTATTTCTTCTATTTAAAAAATGTTATCATCGTGAATTTTATAGTTTTTTTTATACACTAATATTAAAAGAAAATTTAACTTTTAAATAATGAATTTTTTTTTATTAGTTTTTTTTTTAATTTTATATATACATATAATAAATATAGGTTATATGTATAATTTATGACGGAATGAAATGTACTAAGAAAAATCGACTAGCGCCCAAATATGTTCACTATGAAGCTTTATATTAGAAAATTACATCAATAAAAATAATAGTGTAATTAATAGTAAAGAGTAATGCGCAATTTAAGAATTTAAAAAATAATAAAGAATTTCAAATGTGTGCATCATTACTGTACATATTTGTAAAGTGTTAAAATTGTTTATAGTTATGAATGTATCTGAATTGCCTAAACGAAGCGCCGTTTCAAAAATATATTTTAAACTGTAAATTATATTCAAAATGTTTAAGTAATCGTATATGACACAATATATTCTTGGGTTGAAACGTATATTACGATATAAAATATATAATTATATAGTATATATAAATATAATTACTATATACTTTTTATACAGTATAAAAATATTATCATCTTATAAACAAAAATGCATTTATAATTTAAACATTTTAAATTTAAACACAATAAAACAAGAAAATATGTATAAATTATACTCTTTATTATATATTATATATTCTATATAATATTTATATATCTATATTATATTTATTATATATTCTATATTATACTTTATTATAAATAAATAATTGTGGTGCTATTAATCTATTCTTAATAATTATCATGAACGTATTTATAGTAAACTTATTGTACTTGTGATATTTATAACACTTTTAATATTTTATATTATTAGATTATACACGAAAAATTAATGTAGGTTTAGTATATTATTTATTATTATACTTCATTAATGTGTGTCGTCTTGTTGATGTCGCATTTGCCTGATATACACGAACACAATTTTCATACATAAATCTTATTTTAAATAAACAAAAATATTTTTAAATGACTTCTTAATGTAAAATGTCAATAAAAAGAGAAGAAATGTTTTATTACTCGTTTAAAAAATTGAAATTTTGGACAAATTAAAAAGTGGTGGTATTGTAGCTTCACTTGTTAGAACGTAAAAATGAATGAACTTAGTAAACGAGAAATACGTAAAAATTAAGAAAAAATACGATAGATAATAAATAAATTAGTTGTAGGAATTAAAAATTATTGATTGATTTATGGTCTCATTATCCGCGGATTCGCTATCCACGCAGGTTTGCTGGAACGTAATCTTCGCGGATAACGAGGGATTACTGTATACGCTAAATCACTATGATGGTTCACGGGTATACGTCGTATACCCACGTATACCCTCCAAAACACCACAAGTGGAATGTAAACTATATGCGGTGCAAAGTACAAGTAAAGGGTAAAAAACATGAATTAGAGTATCTACTTGTAGATGCTTATTAATTACTTAATTTTAAATAAAATAAAATAGTATAAAATTTAAAATTTAATAACTATTATTAGGTAAACAATTAGCAAAATATTTATTTGTTCAAAAATATTGTCTAATACCAGTAAATATTGTTTAATGATGCATTGCAATACTTGCAATACTTCAATATTATTTAGAACAGTAGCATCAAGAATTAATAAATCCACTCTTACTCAAAGTATCTGTAATAAAGAACCACCAGAATTAGAAATAATGGGAAGAACATCTTCACCTAATTTACCAGTAGTGTCAAATCTAACATCTGAAACGGAAACTTGAGGTAAACGTAAATATGTGAACATATATGAATCGGATTCAGATCAAGGTGATCCATTTTATAGTGAAAATTTATCTATAACAATGTCTGATTTAAGTTTGAATATATCCACTGAATGACCATCACTTCCATTAAAAACTGAGAACGATATCTTTCATGCAAGTTCTTCATGTAAAAAACAATTACAAATGTTTGATACTAATGATACTGTGATAATACTCCTGATACAATTATGATACATGCGTCATGGTAATAAATAGGGTATTTCAACGTTACCACGATACGATTACAAATTCTGAAATTGATTTGGTTAACTAAAACTAGGAAAGCTCTTTTTTGGATGTAATATTCCATTTTCTGTAGTCGAATCTGTACATTTTAAAGATTTTTATTAATCATTAAGACCCGCATATAAACCACCATATAGACCTACTCTACTAATTCGTATTTTAAATGAAGTATATAAGAGTTTTTGTGTAGCTATAAAATGACATTCAAATTCAGCTCTTTTGATAGATGGTTGGAAAAATAAAGCAACTAATACGAAAAATGTTGCATGTTTACTGCATAGTTCTAATAATGGAGCACTTTTTTTAGAATCTTTTGATTTAACAGATATTAGAGAAACTGCAATAGAACTAATATAATGGACAAATATATTTATTTAGCTTTAAAAAAACACAGCACTCATATTTACACAGTAATTAGTGATAATGTGGCAAATATGATAAAAATGGGAAAACTAACTTTGACTAAAAATTGGCATTTGACCTGCAATAGTCATACATCCGATTTGGTTGCAAATAACCTTATATCAAAACTATTAATTAAGAGAAAGATAAAGTTGGGGATATCCTAAGTGCGTCCAAAAAAGTACTTTTTTTAATGTTATAAGTATGTACACAATGAGGTATCGCCTGAGTGCGCCCCAAAAATATTTTTTTTTTTTTTAACATAGCCTGAATGCGTTCCAGTTAATTTAGAGTTAATTTTTTCGTTTATTCAATATTTATATTAAAATTATATTATCTCGTTTATTTAACTTACACCAAATAATTGTAGGTGAGTATCTTAGTATTTTTTTATGGTTATATAAATTACATTGTTACTTTTTATGTTGATGTTTAAAAGCCATAATTTTTACAAAATCTATCCTTGAAATTTGGTTATTCTTAAATTTATTAATATTTTCTTCGATAAATGCTATTTTGTTATTAATTGTTCCTTTTTATCATAGTTGTTTTTGTGGCTGATTTGATTGCAATTTTAGTGTCAATTTGAATTTTTTTTTAATATTTCTAAAAATGTATAAATATGTTTTTAAAAAAAACAAATTAAACTTGGAATGGAAACTTTCACAGGCGTTTGTTATCCTTTCAGAACTACTTTTCATTTTTTCCCACATAGACATTGGAAATTTTGCTTCAAAAACAATATAATTTTCTGTTAAATAATTCATAAAATCTTGAAGTTTTTCATGTCCAGGCATTATAGACATAAAGTCTTCAATAAAACATTTCTCAATATCATCTTAACGAAATTTCCGTTATAATAAAAAAAAAAAAAATTCGGTCCCTTGGAGTTCGTTGTAACGGAAACTTACCTAATTGGGCTCTTCAGTTAAAGTAGTTGATAAAACCTCGGACGCACTCGGGCTATACGATAAAAACTACAGATAAAATCACAGACGCACTCAGGCTATGAAAAAGGTAAAAATTAAAAACGAGTCGCACTCGGGAAACCTCTAAAGTTTTATTAAAAGCATTTCATGGATCAGATGTTAAAAAAAGAGTCCTTGCATGAGAGAAAAAGAAAGTCGACGTATTAAAATGCCTTGAGACACTAAATGGTGTATATGTTACCGGAAATGTTGACATTTTAGGAAAGGATGACAATTCCTAGTAGCGGAAGAAAATGATATCATTGCCTAGGAATTGTCATCATTTCCGTAGTTTATTAGGCAATGTTATCACTCATTACTTTCTTAGACGAAAGCATTGGAACTCATGATGTTACAAGTCATGTGGGACCGGCTTTACAATATAACTATTAGAACGATAACTAACTCGTAGCGGCGACATACGAAGAGCTATTCGATATTCTTCACTCTACGCATATAGCTATCGGTCACGGTGGTCGCGACCGTATGATGGCTGAAATAAAATTAAAATATTGTAATATAACAAAAGAAACAATAATGATTTTTTTGAGTCTTTATACCGACTATCATAAAAAATCATCTAACCCAAAAAGAGGTCTTGTTTCCAAACCAATTTTGCATTCAGCATACAACTCACGTGCACAAATAGACATAATTGATATGCAATCTCAATGTAAAACAAAATGCAAGACGAACAGGTGTGCTTGCAGATCGGCATCTAGAATTTGTAATTCTAATGTCATGGAGGTTTGACATGTGAAAATAAAACTGAGTAACTACGAAAAATAAAATGTCAAATATAAAAATTGTGAAATTATAAAAATCAAATTGATAAAAAAAAAGTTAAAAAAAACTACTCTATTTTATTATATTATTTTATTATTTTATTATAATAATAGTAATTAACATTTATATATAGTAAAATAATTATTTTAAGTCTAATTAAATCAAATTAAAAAAAAAAAAAAAGGTATCACATGTATGAAAAAATATGGCATCATTGCCTGGAATTTTAAGGAAATGATAACATATACTAGGCAATGATATCATTTCCTTCCGCTACTAGGAATTGTCATCCTTTCCTAAATGTCAACATTTCCGGTAACATATATATTCATTTAAATATATATATTAGATAATATTACACCAATGAAGAAAGTATTAGCAATAAGCAGTATCCTTTTTAACGAAAGTACATAAATATTTATATGATATAATTTTTTTTAAATAAATATCTGATTAAATTGAATTATTTAATCCTTGATATGAACTTATATTAATGTCAATCAAAAATTCACTTCATCAATTGCAGATGCAGCTGAAGCATAGATTTACCAATTACAATTTCAAACGACTTTGAAGGATTTAATTCAATAATAAGAAAAATGACAAGATTATGCAAAAAAAAATATTTACTAACAGAAAATTTTCTCCATTCAAAATATCAAGTGAAAAAAATGAAACTGAACATAAATATATGATTGAGGATTATATTTTAAATTTTGATGAAATTGGATCTGAAGGCTTAAACAGTTTTATTGAGTATAAAGAAAAAGGCTGAGCTATTTAAAATTTTATTTGAAAAACAAGGATTACTACTGACTCGTATATTACTGGCAACTGCATAGTGGTCTTTTGCTAAAAATAAACATCCAGAATTACAAGGATTGGCATATAAATAACTAAATTTACCAGCGTCAACTGCTCCGTTAAAAGTGTTTTCTAACTGGTCATACATACACAATTATCTTCGAAACGGCCTGAATACAGAACGTTCCAGAAAACTATTAAGTACCAACTACACTTTAAATTAAATGAAAAAATTCTAAAGTTTATCAAATGAGTATTAAATATTAATAATTATTTTATTGTTAATGTTAATAATTTAGTTTTAATATTATACAATGGTAATTTTTTTTTTTTATGTAATACATATTTAATAAAGAAGTATTAAAGGAAATATGAACAGACTTTTATTTTATTATTTTATCTATCTAATATTTATAAAAGATAAAATTTACCATCGTAAGAATAAGCAGTAACATGAAACCAATGAAATAGTATGGATAACAATCGGCCCATTATACTGGAACGAGGAGGTTCTTGATCTTCAATTCGATATAAAGCAACTAATAGCCAAACACCTGTTCTACCCATAAGTTGTCTATCATTTATTGTAACTTCTGGTTGTTCGTCTTCTTTATCTGTCTTGCTTGATGACATTGTACCTTTAACTTTAGCTCCAAACACAGCTGCTTTAGTCTGACTTTCTTTAGTACCCTCCGAAATAGGTGCACGAACTTCTTTTAATAAGCTAATAATTATTATAATTATTATGTAGTAATTAATTTACATTTATCTACTTATTAAATGCGAATTAATTGTTATTTCAAAAATACCTGACAATCGACTCTACCAAATAAGTTTGCATATCATTATCTAATTCCCCGGCTGATTTTAAAGTCCAATGAACAATATGATCAATATTTTCTGAATGAATACGTTTGTTACAATCTGAACATAATCTAATAGGTCGATTTTTATTCATGGAGGCACATTCAGGTGAAAAACAAGTCACGCTAATCATAGTGTTTTGAGATTTACAGTCCTAAAAATAATTAATTATATTTTTAGTAATAAATATTAAATTAAAATAAATAAACCTTATACTTTATATTCACATTTCCACGTGGCTAAAAGCAATGGTTGTAAAACAATATGGAATTGATAAGTTGGCTTTTTATTATGCAAATCTTCTGCGCAATCAGTGCACAAGTAAAATGGTGGAGGACAATTTTCAGCATGTTTCATAGATAGTTCATGATCAAAACATACTCGCTCGGCTGGTCCATAACCCACTTTTGGGCAGTTTTTTTTTTGACATAAGAGCGCCAACCAATTCCCTTAAGACAATAAAATTGACAGAAGAGTTTTACTCAAAAAGAAGATTTATCCCATTTAAAATTATAAAAATGGTTTAAATTAAAATCGAGGCTCTTATAATACTAATGTTATAATTTTTTTATTGCTGTAAGCCTAATTTTATCTAGATTAGTTAAATTCCTAATTATAGTTGTTATCATTAGTTTCTCAATAATACAATATAACAATAAAATAAAAAGATAATACAAGAACTAACCAAGATTATAAAGTTTTAAATATATTAAAAAATATAAGAAAAATTATTAGAATAAATTCTCTTTTAAAATATATATTGTTTACTAATATATTATGAATTTTCATATTACTTTTAATAATTATTGTAAAGAACATTGTAAAAAACTATAAGAATCTAAATAATTTTTAAATAAATCAAAGACATAAATGTAGTTTAGTAATGTTAAAATTATAAATTACTTATTACATAGTAAACTGAATTGAATCGCTTTTATTTTGATAATTCATTATATAATTTTACTATCAGTATCAGAACATCAATCTCAATTGCTTATTTAATTTTTCCACTACATAGATAGGTTTGTTATGTTTATGGGTTTTTTTTGACGTAATATCAAAATATCTGTACCTACTATTTTATGATTGGGAAAATAACAAATATATGAAATTTCTGATATATTTTCAGTTTTTACCACCAGAAAGTTTTCGTGGAAAAAAAGAACATTCTAGTAATACTATAAATTAGCATAAAATTAAATCTAAAAGTACACTTATTCATATAACTAAAGTAAATAATATATTTTCATATAAAATATATAATTATTTATTACCAATTGATTTAGGTTTATTACGGTCGAATTTATTGGCATTGTATAAAGGCCAGTAATTGAATAACAACCTTGCAGCATGATATCGTGCCACTGAAGTTCCATATGCAATTACAACCAGTAAATCTTTCTTTATATTCTTTTTAAATGTCATCAAACGTTCTACTAGTTGTAAATGCAATGCTAAAAATGAATTGTAAATTATAATGACATAGTTATTTTAGTTATAATTTGATATTACCAGTATCAAAAGTATTTTGAAAAACTAGTAATAAAATCCCAGCAACAGATAATGCCGCATTATTCATGCAATTATTTCTAGCTGAAAAATTAAAAAATGTATAAATAAAAAAAAAAAAAAAAAAAAAAAAATGAATTTACGTATAGTAAACGGTATCACAAAATAACATAGTGTGTTGATCAAGTCATGATGCACTGACGAAGGAAGTACTTGGAAAGCAGTCGCTATCATGTATGGTAAGTTTTCCAGAGTATCACCACCAAGAAAAGGAACCAAACAAGCAACGCATTGATTAAAAGCTTCTCCAAATGCTATAAAATAATGAGACAATATTAAAATGTAGAATTTAATTTTAAGTAAAAATACACTATTTACATTGTTATTTTCTCTAGAAAAAATGCCAAAGAGTAGATAAGATTATTAGCGATAGTTCAATAACTTATGCACATTACGTAATACCATTTGTAATAATTTTAGAAAATAGATATTATTATAAACACTTATGATAGAATAATGACTTAGTCATTTTTTCTTTTAATCATATATAACGTTACAAAGCTACAAATTTATTTCACGCTTTATTGGTTTTGAATATATAAATTTTCTATTGCACTTATAATTTTTAATTTTAAATTATTTTTTATATTTAAATTAATTTTGATGTTTTAATGTAATTTTTCATACTATAGATACACATCATTTTTTTTAATTTTTGTATACTACATCAGATTTAAAATAAAATATTTTTTTATATTTATTTTAATTGTTTTACCATTATTAAAGGTTTTTGTTATGATTACTTAATATTTTGATCGCTAATTAGGATTTAATACATGCAGATGCTCACAAGTATTATACGAGTAATTAAATTTACTTTTACAAACAAATGCTCATCAAATATTATATTTATATATAATTGTATCATACAAATTCCAAAAATAAAATGTATTTAATTTAATATACAAATCGACATATTACTGTAAATGAAACTAGAAAATAATTATATTAAATTTTATTACTAATATATGTGATTTTTAGACAATAACTTTTAATCATTTAAAAAAGCAAAATTGTGTGTAAGTAGTCTATTATACAGTTTACTAAATAAATTAAGAAATTATATTTCTTCTAGAAATATTTTTCGGTTATTTTTGGTTCATTAACAATACTTTTACTACTTTCATATGAAATACAGTCAAGCAATATTTTACAAATTTTTTATTTAGAGAATAGAATTACCTATGTATCTGTGATTATAATAATGAGTTTTTACTAATGAGTTACTATTAACGTTATTATTAATAAAAATGTTTACCTTGTAATCCCGTATTAATAGAAGATGCTGAATGAAGTAATGATTCAAGAGCAGTATATAAGCCAGTATAATCCAGAGTTGGATAAAGTGCTAATCGAGTAGCATCCATTTCCGGATGTAATATCATTTCATGTGGAGACTTAGAAACTTCTTTTAATATTGCTAAAAATTATTGCTATTATAAGTAATACATGTAATGAAATTATAAAATGTCCAAGTATCAATATGAGGTAAAGGGATACAGGATTCAAATGAGTACAAGAATGAGATAACTAATAAAATTGTTCTTAAAAATTTGAAATCATTGTACAAATTATTTCGAAAAATTATAACGTACGAAGATTAAGCTAAAAACTTATATACAAAAAAATAGTTTATACTACTATATAAAATGAACAGAAACGTGGGTATAGATGATTAAAGATGAGAGGGGATCAATAGTTAATTAACATCATAAATATAGAAATTCGTAAATAGTTTTTAAAATTATAGTTGATAATTCAATAAGTCTTCATCAATGATGGCAGGGAGATGATTGGACCCCTTGCATACGCCTATAAGTACGTAATAATTTTTTAATAAGTTTTTTGTACAGACTTTTAAAACTTTTAAGAAAAAAACCACTAATAAAAATAAATTAAAGTTATTAAGTTTAAGTACATATAAATAAATGACTGATTTAATTATTTTAATCATAACAATATAATAAAAAAAAATAAAATGAAATCTAGTAAATGGTTAAAAGTAGTAAATTAATGTATAAATTAATAGTTCAAAAAAAGTAAGGATTTTAGATTTCTTTTCTTGTATAACTAAGGATAATGTATATATTTATTTAATAGTATTAAATTATATAGAGGATATTATATATAAGAAATCTCATACTACAAGGTTCGAATTTTTTTTAAAAAAATTATGTAATTTGAAATGGTAACTAACTCCAATATTTGTGAATTGCTCAAATTTAGTTTTAAGCTCAATCTCATTTATAAAGGTATTAACGTTATTTTTCAGTAATTAAATTTATGATTATATAAATAGCTCAGGAAATTTCTTATTCCCGATAGGTGTACCAAGTTATACACAAAGACTTCTAACACAATTGCATGCTGAGTGCATAGTGTATACACATGTTCTATGAGAATGTCTGACATATACATATATTTGTATAAACTTATTATATTACGCTCTAAAATTAAGTTCTGAGTTTGATTAAAACGATAGTGTACCAATGGATGGTGCTGATTGTAGAATAATTTGTCTTACTTTCCGTAAAAGAAAACCATTCGAAATAAATTTTTATGCCATACGGCATCCCTTCCCTGTCATTTATCCAATAGATAAATAAAAATAATATTAAATAATTTGGAAGGAGGGGGTTAACTTTACGAAAAAATATTGAGAAAATATTAAGTGTCGTAAAAATAGTGAGCATTCAACTTCAATAGTTGCTCTTTTGGATAAAACTTGATCGTTAAGACTAGAATTCCAAAACAAATTTTTCATCAATTATATCTATTGCACTTGAATCCTTTTTAAGCTTCAACAATTCTAATGAATATCTTTCAATGTTTGAAAATATTTTTAAATGCACTTATTGTTTTTATTTAACAGATAGTAAATTAACATTTTTTTTTTACAAAAAATGTCTTCTTATTTTATTCTATTCCCCTTGAGTAGTACCAATATTTCTCCTGGGGTGGAATTCCCTCGATTGGGAATCATTGTTCTAGATGGTACCTAATACCATTGATTAAAAATCAACAAAAATTTAATACTCGAAAACGATAAGGTGCAATTTTTTTAATTTTTTATTTGTGAACAAATTTGACTCTAAACAATAAAGCATCGTAAGTTCAATAATAAATGGAATTAATGAATTAGTTAATTTTCTTTACCTTGTATACAAACGATATTTAATGTATTAAATTATTATGATTATTGCAAGGTTAAAATAATAAATCCCTGTATAACTGTATGTTAATAAGTATAATATTTTAAGCTTACTCAAAAGAACTTGAGAAAAATATTTTAAACAATTGGCAATATCTAGTCCAGACGGACAAGGCATCATGTTATAGCTCAATCGTAGTTGATAATCTTGTAGATGTCTGATTTTAGCAATAACTGAAAGAAAAATTATATTTTCTTAAATTTGTTTATTAATTATATATTATAACTAGGAAAATACTGTAGTACATAAATAATTTGCTAACTTACACGATACTGATTTAGTAACCATAATGGTATTTGCTAAAAAAATCTAATGAAATAATAATTATAATATCGAAGTTTTATTATTTACATTATTTACTGTTATTGTTATTGTTAAATAATACTACTGCAATAATATAATGAAAATGTGGACTACTCAATCGTTTTTACAAGTTACCACAACATCGTTGAAAGTTATTGATCTGATGTATTCAAGCAGTAATACCACATGTAAAAAAAAAAAATGCTTTGAAAATTTCAATTGAAACAATTTACATTACAAAAAAACGTTAAAAAAGTCATGATATTAATTTAAATGCAAATTAATTTAATGTGCATTATTTCTAATTTAATAAAAACCATTTTATGAGTAAACATTAAAAAAGTTTTAAAATATAAACTATATATGTTATAATGTGAAAATGTGTAACTTTAATATTTTTGATAGCGGATTTTATGACTTATAATAACATAAATTAATTTTTAATAATAGATTTTCTAGATTCTAATTCTAGCTAAGAATATTTAAATTTGACTTTTAGAATTTTGTTTAAATAATATTGTGATAATCAGGGACGGCATTACCTTTTCCAAAGCCCTGGGCAGAACTTATTTTACCCATAATAATAGTCACAATAGCCTGTAGACGCAATTAAAGGCAATAACATGTAATCAGACTTGGTGAAAGCTACACGCGATATCGAGTAATGATTGATTAAATTTAAAAAATGCCATAAAATTAATTTTCTATGTATCCCGATTTCCATACTTTGCGGCGTGCTATATGGGGCGTTGTCAGTGCCTACATGACATGTTAAATATGATATTGTTGTTTTGTTAATTGGTTTTTTATTACACGCCAATGGATTTCTCTAGAAATCGCACTCGCCAGGCGATCCAAACATTTCACGTTTTATTTTTTGAGTTTTCCGTACAAAATATTTTTCAATTAAAAATTCAATTTTAAGTGCGAGGCCCTTGAAGGCGCGAAGGCCTGGACAAATTTCCCGTTTTTTCTCCCCCTAACGCCGGCTCAAGTGATAATAAACGGTTAAAAACGCAAAAAAATTAAAATACTCCATGAATAAGTTGCTTAAAAATAAAATACAGAGAATTCTGTAAAAAAAACTTTCTAGAAATTTACAAAATCTCATATTATAAGACTTAAAATTTTTTCAATTTTTCAACATCGGGTATAAGTAAATTGATTCCCAATGGTTTTCTAAAAGCTGTTAATAGAGTCCCTGTAAAAAATCAAAACGGTAAATTGAGTCATAAATATAATATATATATATATAAAAATCTCGTGTCACAGTGTTTGTTACCATACTCCTTCAAAACGGCATAACCGATTTAATGAAATTTTGTATATACATTTGGCAGGTCTGTGAATAAGTTTTTATCTATTTTTTATGCTCCTAAGTGCTATTGTTTAATAAATTGTAGCTTAATTTAATAATTTTTGACCCAGTCGATAACTGCGCAATTTAAAATGAATTATTAAATGAAACTATTAAAAAACTATTAAAAAATTATTTAAAAACTATTAATTTTATTTTTGATATTAAATTACGAGTATTGCATGAATAACAAGAACCCGCAACAGGTGCCAAAACAAACAAGAATGTTAGTAAGAAGGTTTATTATGCATATTGGCTGATGATTAGACGCGATCAGGATAACGTTATTCTACGACGTCGTGAGCTTTGTCAACAACTCATGATCGATATGTATGTAAAGATAGAGAGCAAGCGATTACGATACTTGCGATTCAATCAAAAAAAGCTGCGTGCGGAAGATTTTCAAAATCGTTATTAGATATCGGTGATGGGAAAGTTACTACAGATGAAACGAGATGCATAAAATTACCGATCGATTTCTGCACAATCATTAATTCGCAAGATGCTCTCATTGACCAGATATTTCCCAATGTACACAGACAATACACAAATCATGAGTGGCTGGCAGAAAGAGTAATTTTAGCAGCAAAAAATGTGGACGTCGACGAATTGAATCTCAAGATACAACATTTGTTACCAGGAGACTTGCTGTCATACAAATCTATTGATACAGTTTGCGATACTACTGAAGCTGTAAATTATCCAATAGAGTTTTTAAACTCATTGGATTTACCAGAAATGTCACCGCATAATTTACAATTGAAGGTTGAATCTCCGGTTATTTTACTTTGTAATTTGAACCCACTACGGTTGTGCAACAGCACGCGATTAGTCATTAAAAAAATTAATGAAAAATGTTATCGAAGCCATCATTTTAAATGGCAAACTCCGAGGTGAAAATACGAGTATATTATTACCGAGAATCCCTATTATACCCACAGATGTTCCAATACAATTTAAACGCCTTCAATTTCCAATTAGATTGGCATTTGCAATGACTATCAAAAAGTCTCAAGGCCTAAAGACGTGTCTGTGGCTTAGATTTGAGCACATCATGTTTTTCACACGGACAATTATACGTGGCGTGCTCTCGAACCATCCAGTTTGTTTGTGTTGACGAAAGATGGGATAACAAAAAATATTGTACACTCTGTTGCATTAAGGGAATAATGTCATAATTAGTGATTTATTTAATTTTAATAAATTATTTAAAAAATAAATGTTTGCTGTTTTTTCATTTTTATATTCCGTCACCGTTCACAGCACTCTTCACTATACTACATCCTTACACACTTATATTAAATTAGTTAAATAATAATAAAAAAACTTTAATAACAAAATTACGTTTGATTGCATACATTAGTATGTACTTACCATATTATAACATAGGCAGGAGTGCAAATTATTTAGTATTTGAAATAATATCATAGTTTATTAGCAAATTAATTTGACCAATCCTTTATTTTTATCCTTCAAAATTAGGACTATTGATGACTACATAAATTATCACGATTATCAATCAGTATTAAATGTCAATAAGCAATAAAATATAAAATGTTATAAGTAGGGAACAGATTTATATGCGTCCCGTTTTTCGCATCTTCGTCCCATTGTCCCCAGGAAAATTTTCGGGACACTAAAATGTTTCGTTTTCAGAAAATAGCAAAACTAACGATAATCAATTTTAATTTGTCGATGAGTTATTGTTTCTACGAGTATAATATATAGTATAATATTATGTGTGCATGTAATGTGTATATACTGTATTACTGCATGAATGACGTGGAACGGAATCGGGGCTATGTGGTGTATTAGAGTATAACTACACCAATAAAATATAAAAAAACCTAATGTGTTCCTAACCTACTTAACAGCAAGATCAGCGCTAACAAAAAAAAATTTTTCATAGTTATTATTATTTCGGTACTACAGTAATCATGGTCCATTTTCTTTTCTTTACGTAGACGCTTTTTCTATTTTATAAAAAAAGTTGTTTTTAATAAAATTTAATTTTGACTAGAAAAATATATGGTTACCATAGACATACGTAAACGAACATAAAGATATTTATAAAACCGATGGTTCAATTTTGTATTGCAATATTTGTGAAATTTTTACTTAATATAAAATAAAATATTTTTGGTTTAATTATAAGTGCATATTTAAAAATAAATATATATTTTGTAGCATTTTACAACATTTTTAGGAGCATATTTTGAGGATTTTTTGTGCATATAAATCCGTTTCCTAGTTATAAGTATAGTATTGCTCATCTTTAATAAATTTAGTAGTCTTTGAAATATTTTACGTACCTAGGCCTAAGAGAGATCCCCCTTGTATCTACGTCTACTAGCCCTGAATTTATTAGGTCTGTGTTTTTTAAATATTAACCGGATTAATACCTATAGAATTATAATTAACAGAAAAATGTATTATTTAATACTTATATTTAAATTAAATACTTACATTTATCAGTTTCATAAGTTTAATTAATTTAAAATATCTATAAGAGGATAATTATTATTAAATTATTACAATTCTCAGGGAATAAAATCTGATTTAAAAATTTCGAAACTATTTGTAGACACGAAACCTGAAAAAAATTGTAAGTTTTCGAATGCCAAATCTGGAACCTTAAGTATCCGGACTACTTTTTACTTCTTGTCATGAATATATAATTTAATAATAAAATACTATTATATTATATGTTAAGTATTCCATGTTAAATGCTATAATTATTATTTTAAGACTAACTATTAGAATACATGTATTTCCTTATTAGATAATAATATACTCTTTGGATTTTGAGTGCATTTCCTTAAAAAATTGTAAAGTATTGAGTGGTTAGTTTCAAAATGTATCGTAATATGTCTGATACACACACACATAATCATAGTAACATTATTTCAATGAAAATAGGCAATATAGATGTACAATTATTTTTTAATAATTATATAACTTTATATACTTAATATTATTTATATTAGATTCACTATGAACATCATATTATTCTATTTAATTTATAATTTGATGACCGCCATTGTTAAATAAACCTTGATAAATCTACACAAATATTTTCATACAATATAAGTATGATATACAGTCCTACAGATATATTATAGAGGCAGACGCGATGCAATGCTCGTACAATGACTACAATGATCATCAAATTGATTTTAGCTATAGAGTCAAAAATATTGTAACAACTGAATTTCTTAAAATAAAGGTTTCAACTGTGTACTTTTGTCTGATTAAAATTACATTGTGCCCTTGCAGGATATACTGCACAAGAAGTAACATCCACATATGCATCTCCTCATAGAGAGGGGTAAATCATAGAATTATTTTTTATTGGGAGATAATAATCATTGAAAAATACCTTAGGGTTGTTTTGGTGATACATTAAAAAAAAAAGATAAGGCATTTATAAATAATATATTTATAAATGAATCAAATTAAATTTATTTTGTATTACAATTATTTTTATGTCGAAATTCATAAAAAAAGTTATATAATTACAAAACAACAATACAAATGGAAACAAAATACTATATTCTTTTAAAAAATATAATTTTTCAATACAATCAATCAATCAAAATATTTCTAAAATCACAGAAACAATTGCCATTACATTTTCCTCCTTTTGTGGCCAATATAAATATTACAATATAATAAATAAAATAAATATAATCATTTTATCACTAAAATTTATCAAAAATTCTTTTACATAAAGAAATGCAACATTATAAAATGTCACAGTTGTATATTATATATTGACTTATAACTAATAACAAAAAACAACATAGATACATAAAAATTAAAAGTACAAAACTATAGAGTGTGAATTTTTAAATTTTTATGTAATCATATTATATTTTTTCAATATTATATAAATTATTGATTACTACTAATTTAAATAAACATTTTAGCTAATAGGATATTATTGAATATTATTCTATGTTTGTGCTAAGCGAGGTTCTTGTTCCCAGAATAATTAATTTATATTCTTAAAAGAAAAATTTAAGAATAACAAAAATATTATAATCTAAAATATACCCACTCAAAACCAATTTAAAATGAAAAATCGATATATTGTTCAATAATTTCTAAAAAAAATTAGAATGACTTTAATATTCGATATAAATCTGAATATACTTATGTACTAAAAATTATAGTAAAAAATAAAATAAATATGCAAAAATACATGTAAATACATATAACTTGATGATTTAAATTGAAAACAAAATATATTCCTTGAAATATAATTATAAAAATATGACTATTAGAAAATATTTTATAATTACCAAATTAAAAAACTGAATATCATACATATACATTAAGAAATAAAAATAAATATAATAATTAGTAGTGGTGAATAAAATTTTTTTAAACAAAAATAAAATTATTTGTCAATAAAGATGAAATGAATAAGAATAATATCATTAAGTAATACTTAAAATCAATGGTATTATATAATATTAAAAAAATAAATATTCAAGTTGGTATGAATTGATCTTATAATAAACAAATATTGCCTAAGCACCAATGAATAATAATAAGTTATGCTACAATATACAGTTTGAAAAAAACTAAATTATCAATAACTAACAATCACTGTTAACAAACGAACAATAAGCTTATTCAGAAGAACCAAATGTTTCACCTGTAAAACACACAAATTCTATATAAAAAAAAAAAAGTTTTACTAGTAATATTCTACATTACTTTATGTAGGAAGAGATGAATTTGGAATTTAACAAAAGATAAAATTATAAAACATTAACAGGAACATTTTTCACATAGTAACATCAAACGAACTTAAAAGTAAAAATGTATTTGTCTTTTAAATTTTAATTTATTTTATAAAATTAAATTTTTTTAACAATAAATGATGTTTACACAACATATTTTAAATTATTTAAAACTAAATTGCTCTAATATTTTTGTTGAATTTAAATAATATTAAAAATTATTTTCAACATGCACTATTTCTGTTAAATATATTATTTTGTTATATTAAGTAAATAATGTACAAATTAATTTATATTGACTTACTTTTATCTCCTTCTTGGTCTTAATCTGTTAATTAAATTTTGAAGTTTTAAAGCTGGTCCCAATCTAAGTCCCATATATTTCATCATTGTATCTGAATTCAATAACAGTAAAGCTTTTCCATCAATTTCCTAAAAAAATTATTACTGGTCAATAATTGTTTTGATTAATACATTTGATAGTAAACCTTACGTGTTTCCTAAAAAGATCAGCAAATGTATTTAATTGTATGTCTACACAGTTAATATGTTGAATAACATCTTCCACAGACCATTCTGCAGGGTCTACAGGTAATCTTGATGGTCCTTCAGTTGGGGTAGTTGAAGATGCAGCTTCCATTTCAGGTTCAGATGTACGAGCCATTTTTGTTACTAATGTCACTTCATCAGGGGTTGAACTTTCAGGTGAACCATGTCTTTTTATATTTTTATTATCATTTACTATGCTGACATCTAAGATAAAAATAATATATTTTAAAAGTTGAATTAACTATAATTTTATTATGCATACTCTTTTCTTGTTTGCACTCTGAACAAACATTTAATGCAGGACTTAACAGATTTTTACAACATGACAAGTCCTCTAAAAGAGTTCTGATATAATCCCAAAATTCATCAGTTTTTTCAATTTTTGGAAGTTTAAAAACTCTAGATTTACCTTCATATGTAGCTGAATGAACATAACAAAAAAATAAAAAAAAATTAAAAAATTAACTATGAAAAATTATATTTATTTATCATTATATTATTATTATTATTATTATTATTATTATTATTATTTATTGTAAAATGACTATGATTAATATCAAAATTTATTTCATAATTTTAAATCATCAGAATACTAAATGTAATGAACGAAGAAGTGACTTAGCCAGAGCCGGTTGACTAACATTATTGCTACACCTTATTCTTTTAAAATATTATAAAATATCTTTATTATAGTCTTTTGATTAATATGAAAACATTAGATAATTCAAATAAATGTATCACCTGTTATTGTGCAAGTGCTATCACCTTGTTTTTTCATCAATGTAGTTACTGATTGTATATCATGTGCAGTATTTACTAAATGCTGAATAGTATCTTTTAGAACTTTTTGTACTAATCCTGGTCCTAATTGTTTAGGAAGCTCAAATAATTTTGATGAATCCATAAAAGGACCACATTTACACTCATGGTTAATAAAAACTGAAAGAATAATTGTTTTAATTAAACATGTAGATAGGATAAAACTATAAAAATAAATAGTTATTAAAGTCAAGATATTTACAAAAATAACATGAATATTAAATTATTATACCTGAACATGATTCTTGAATACCAGTTTCAAGATCACTAGCACTATCTGGTGTTAAATTTAAGGAATCGTTTAAATTTTGTTTAAGGTTTGTAGAAGCTTGTGCACCATTTGGTCTACCTCCTGAATAACGAGATCCTGGAACAGCTGATTTGTTATACAATTTATTAATTTATATATTATATTTATCAATAGAGTTGATTATTTTAGTAAATATGTATTACCTTTATGACCAGGAGGTTGAAGTGGATGACCACTTTTTACACACCAACCTACAGGAAATATATCTCTAGAGTCATATGAACACCAATAGTCAAAGGCTCCTCTCCATCCATCAAATGTAACAAATATATTGTTTTTGTTAACATCACCTAATCAAATTATTTCAGTTTCAATATTTATTATTTCAATCATATTTAATCCGTAATTGGTATGGTCTGGTCTCACAGACCACTGTAGTTTTTCATTTGGGATTATAAGGTATTGCTGATATGATGAGGGAGGTAGATTTTATCTTTATATGTATATAGCATTAAAAACAAAGTTTAAGGAAACTAATGTATTAAGATCTGGTCGGCACAACTGCTTAAAAGTGATAAGTGGTCTAACAGACTTCACCATACTATTAATATAATTATTTTACTGATCAAAAAATGACATAAACCATTAACGTTATTTTAATTTAATAATAAGCAAATATTAACAAAAAAAATTAAGTTTTATGAATGATTTTTAATTTATTTAATTTAGTTAAGGTCATAAATCAATGTAAAAAGAGCTATTTTGATTGCAGTAATTTTTGACTAAAAATCAAAAAATTTGAATCATATTTTTATTTTTATTCTGCTTTAAATTATGTCTATTAAAATATATAGATGGTTTCAGAGTTTAAAATACATTTTTAAATGCTTCAAGTTATATTGAAGTTCAAGCAGAAAATTGCACGATTATCCTTAAAATTACTAAAAAAAATGAATTAATTTCTTTAAATATATCCAATTAGAATTCAAAAATGATTGCCAAATGAAAGATGACCACAATGATAATATTTCTGTAAATAATTTGATATTGTTATTTAAAATTGTGGTAATATAAGTTTAGCAAAACTAAGAGGTTCAGAAAACCACACCATACCACGACTAGTGCGATTATTTTTTCACCATACCACTTATGGGTTATGAAAGTGAATTAAAGTTAAAATTATTAAGTATTTACCAATAGTTGCTACACAAATTAGATGTGGATTTTTTTTATCAACTGCTTCAATTTTTTGACCAACTTTAAATAAATTATCTGTAGGAGTATCTGGTTCAGATTTAAAAGCAGTATCAGGAGAATAAAAAGCTCCGTTGAGGGTTTTCACAAGAAACATTGGAAATAGTGAACCATTCATACGAAAACCTATACAAAAATTTAACATTCTTTTTTAATTTAATGTTAAAAAAATTTATATAATGTATAAAAAGTTAAATATTAAAATAATTTACCCAGTGGAGGTTGTAACATGCCACCTTTTTTTTCTGTATACCCAACAGGTTTTAATTCTGAAGAGTCAACTAATCGCCAAAAGTCATTTTTATTATCTCCACCATCTAAACGAAGGCGTATTCTAGGGCCAACAACACCTATTACAGTTGCAATGCACATTGATGTTATGTTTCGAGGATCTACTGCTTCCAATTTCATGCCTGGTTTAAATTCATTTTCAGGAGATTCTTCATGCTGAAAATAATAATGCTATATAAATATATGTTATACTAAAATACAAATAATTTCATTAAATCATATTTAATTGAATTTAGTTGAACATGATATATATTCAACATGATTGAACATAATTTTTTTTTGAATAATACTTATAAAGGCATAAAATAATATCTTCTCGGGTATTACAACTAACTTGTTTAAAGCAATATGCAGGAGCTGCTGTACTTGATGTTTCTTTAAGATAACTATCCCAATCAAAAATAGGATTACCATGAGTAGAAAATGGATGTTCCACTTGAACATCCCCAAATACAGCTAGAAATAGATAAAACAAACAGGAAATTGAATAATTTATAAAACAAAAAATAACTAGGTTATTAATTAAATTTATATATTAAGCTGTTAAGGTGACAGTGCAAATAATAGTAAAATCAAAATGTAACCAGTAAATCCCAGGTTACACTAATTGTTGAATAATATTCAGATTTTACATTTTAATAAATTAGTTTAAATATTTAAAAAGTAAAATGGACAGTACTAAAATGATTTCTAATTTACTTATTATAGTCTGAATTTTTATTAATAAACACTTCTCTTTTTTTTTTTAGGTTTTATTTTATTTATACAATCTATGCAATTTAATACAATTAGCATGATAGATTCTACAGATATTGAGGTGTAAAAGGATATTGGTGGAGGAGACGCCCACTGACAATAATCTGAACTTAACAAAAGTTAGTTTATATTTATTAATAAATCATATAACCTACCTCTAAACATTATCAATAAAAATTCTAAGTGTAATAAATATTTTTAAAAGCAAATAAACTATAATTTATCATTGTAAAAATATGGTTTTAAATAAAAATATAATTATAATAATTATATAAATTGGTTATCAACATAATTTTTTAAAGGCAATGCCTAGTTATTGAAGTCACTTCTCTCTGATTGGTGCTACATTCATGAGTGAAACAAAAGATGCATATGAGTTTTTGGATGTGTTCTAAATATTATTTCCTTGGTCGTTTTTTACAATTAGTTTTATAGAGAAAACAAAGAGTCTTATACACTATTTAAATAAAACTAACTAGATTTTATACTAATAAATTATATCAATTTATTTGTTAATCATTTTAAAATACTTTTTTTAAATTAAATTATTTGATAATTTCAAATGTTCTGTTTCTAGGTATATAATAGAAATCAGTAGATATTATTCAATAATACAAAACTAAATAACTGACTAATAATAAATTATACTCAAAAGCTTAAATATTAAATGTATGTATATGTATATAAATAAATTAATGTTTATCTATATACCTCTTATGTCTCCCTAAACTACTCAGCAAATGTTGATGAAATTTGATACAGAGATAGATTAGACATTGGAGGACATAAGCTACCACTTTTCAAGAAAAAAAGGAAAAGGAAGCATCTGTACACCTGATAAGGCCCAAACAAGTAGTTATTCTCTTTTTGTTTTCTTTAGGAACCTCATTGTTACACACCTAAGTGTGCACCTAGAAAATGATTAATGTGTCTATTTCACTGAAAATAATTTTCAAGATTGACATTCTTCTACTCCAATAACAACACTTACTACATTTTTAAAAAAATGCAAATACCACTCACTTATCAATAATTGTTACACCTTAAAAACGACAAAATAAATTAACTTGAAATTTGACAAAATATCTCCAATACTCTCGATGTGTAAAAAGAAGGAATTTTAAAAAATATTGGCACTGGTAAAGACTGTTCCACAATGGAAAACTGGGTAATTCAGCGTACAACCAAAATTATCAAACCCATTTGAAATTTTGTTTTCTTTGTTATATATAACCAACAATTACACCAAATTACGCTTTAAATAATGTAAAGTAATAATCCAAAATTATGTCAGGGCCAAAACTGTTCCATACAAAACCATGTAATTCAGCTAATAAAATAATATTTAAAAGCTAGTACTAACTTTTTTTGGTTTGTTCTTTTCTTTGATGTTTATTTAAACAAGCAGCTGAACAAAAGTTTTTTGGTGTTGAATCTTGATTTTCTTGTTTCACTGGTGTGCCTTTAATTATATTATCACAATTTGCACATCCATTCTAAAATAATGGCAGCAAAATGTATTTTAATAATAAAATAAATACAAAGAAAATGCATTTTAAGCTATATAAGCAATAACATTTTAAAATTATCAAAATATTTCATTATGATTTAATAAAACTATAGATGAATATTTTCTTATATATAGTAATTCACAAAACATCAATTAACTTTTTAAATTTTAAATTATTTACCAAAAAATTAATAAAAATTGGAGTTTTTTTTTTAATGAATACTTACACAAAATTGTTGACAGTTTTTAATTAAAAAAATATTGATATATTTAAAAAATAACAGTAAATATTATTCTATAATACAATTTAGTATTTTTTATGTTCTTACTATATTTATCATATCCAAATATTTGGATTTCTTATTATTAAAAAAAGGCCAATTTTTTTTAAGTAAATACTTAGTAATAATATATATATATATAGTGTCGGTTTGGTTCTAAAGCAGTGGTGGCCAAACTTTTTTTTCCTTTTTTTTCGGGCCATAAAAAACAACTTTTTTTATCGCGGGCCATAAAAAAATGCATTCTAAATTTTTTTTTTACGTAAATGCAAAATATTACAGTTATACAAATAAGTGCTGTAATATAGAAGACTTTCGCGGGCCAGATATTAAATGATGGCGGGCCGGAGTTGGCCTGCGGGCCGTAGTTTGGCCACCACTGTTCTAAAGGATCCAGGCAGGATTTTATTTGGAAAGGTCTCAACACCCATACTACAAAATTTATTTAAGGAGTTTAGTATAGGCAATATTCAATGTGGATGTGTACGTGGCTGATACGTCACGTGTCCCCGCACCGCAATGCATTATGTTTACTTACTGCACTTTTTATCTGATAATTGACAGTAATTAAAAACAACACAGTATAACAGGAATTCCCAACCTTTTTTACTTAACGGTACATTTGATAATTTTAAAAATGTCCACGGCACAATTTAATAAATAAAAATGAATATACATAATGCCATATTTATATATAATATATTGTTTTTATTAAATCATACAAATTTAATGAGGCTGGTAATTATTTTTTTACATAGTTTCTCTATTCGGGGGTAAAAAAGTTAAAATTATGCAAACTAGTGGCGCCGAATACGTACTTAATGTGGTGCATATATACCACCTAAAAATGAGAGGTGGGTACTGGGTCTTTATAATTTTGAATAACTGGTATTTAGTAGCCAGTTGGTATTTGGTAGTAGATTCCCTACTTAATATGAATATAATGATAATATTTTGATCAATTATGGTCAAATAATATCTGGGTAGGGATGTTGGGTGGTTAAAATTCGTGTTTGCACCTATTAAAAAGTAGTTCGACGCCTCTGATACAAACTGTTAAAGGACAATCAATAACACCATTCCGTAAATCCAAAACAAATAATTTTCAACATATTTACGTTTAAGTTTTAAATTTAAACTTTTATCACTTATTGAAGCTGATTGTTGGATATTAATTTCGATATTTAAATTTTTGTCATTTGCATTAATATCACTGTCATCCGTTAATTAACGACTTTTTAATAATCTATTCATTTTTAAATTTAACTTACAATATTTCTTGATCGAAATACCTATACAGTATTATGCGTAATGTCGGGTATTACGTACATTTCTCCCTGAAGTATAGCGAACAAAAATATTTTAGCTTTCAATCGATTTCATTTGCGTCTGTATATAATGCAATATCAATTTATTTTAATGCATCTGCTTTCTTAAAGTTATTTTTGTACTTAAAGTTAGTAGTATCCCATAATAAGGGAGATTCCCTATACAGCTCTATGAGCTTGTACGTGTCTTCTGTATTCCATTTTTTTTTCGAACTCATTTTATTAATAATTAAATACGAATATTTTGTATGAAGATAAATATATAATATGATTTATACTATAAAAATATATATTAATAAACAGTAATTGCAAAATGTAAATGCACTGAATAACAAACTATTTGATACTAAATAATAAAAATTAATATTCGAAAGTAAAAATAATTCACAAACGTTCGACAATGTTCACCAAAACCAAAAAATATTGAAAAATGATAATTAATCTGCATAGATATTCGAATAATTATCGTATTGAATTAATCAGTAGTTTTATAATACAATATTATATTGTTTTATAGTATTAAACTATTAACTATTAGTAGTATAACTTTACCTATCTATATATTATTATAATATAATTATAATTGAGCCAACTTGAAAAAAAAAACTATGACAATTTATATTCTAAATAAAATTATTATAAATAATATTGCATTAAGTTTTTAATTTTAGTATTCATTTCTTATAAATTTAGTTCTAATCGAAATTAATCGATTTAGTACAAATCAAAAAAGGAAAACAATTTATAAGTAATATTGTATTTAAATTTGTAATATGTATTGATAAATATTTAAATATTTAATTTTAGCTTCTTTTTTTTTTTTTGATACTTTTTTCAATATATCATAATTTAATGTAAGTACCTATCAAAAACCGTACTACTTATTATCCAACAATTGACTATTGTATATTATTTCTACATGTTATTGTTATTATAAGTTTATTTTATTTTAGTAATTATGTGTTTATAAAATAAATAATAGGTTATTACCATTATTGTGTTATATTATTTTTATAAAATGTTTTATAATACTATTTAAATTAAGAGCTAATATCGTCCAAATATTATAATGTATCTAATTTATAGTCAACGACCATGGTTATCTACTTAGAGTTGATAACCATACCAGCGACTGAACGAATGACTTCGTAATAAAGTATATGATACTAGCCAATAGGTACTAAACTATTACCTACTAAATCGACCGTAAAGTTTTTTCGAGAGAATCTCTCGATTGTTAAATTCTCTCGATTTTTCCTATCACTAATCTGATTCATAAACTAGTGATGATAACAAAAACGTAGTATCAATTTGTCGACATTGTATTCTGCGATCTAGTCGACAGGCTGCAACACGATTGCGCAATTTTCCTTATTTTATCTGATTGATTACACCACGATTGCGCCCAGATTCTTTTTTACCTGATAAAATCACAACACCATTGCGTACCATATAATAATATGTGTATATACTATGTATAATAATTTATGTACAACATAAAATAATGTATACAATACATACTTTCTATAATTTGCATACACATGCACTCAAACTATTAATTCATAAAATGCACTTTTCAAAAATCAAAATGAAAATTTGATTGAGCTAATAATAGTTATAATAATATCGAGTAATGACTATCAGTACAGAAAAAAAAAACAATTTTTAATAAAAAAATTTCGACTATTGACCATGTCAGTATATACATTTAGCATACATGTAATTTAGAAAAAAACTATTTTTAACCAAGCCAACAATAATAATTTATTAACAGCCCTAAGCCTGAAATAATTAGGAAGAAAAATTGTGAATCAATAGGTAATAAGTTTGAGTGCATGTATATGAAAATTATATGTAGAAAGTATGTATTGTATACATTATTTTATGCAGTACATAAATTATTATACATCTGTGGTATGATGGCAGAAGCTGATATGTCATTTTTTGTTGTTTTTTTGGATTATCATGTAAATAGTTGATAAATAGTATGTTTCAAATGGTGGCAAAGTATGATATGTCTTTTATGTGTTAAGGTTATTTATTACAATTATAAAAGAATTAATGCATTTCATACCAAATTTTATTTTTTATTCCATTCGAAACCTTTAAACTCGTTTTTTGAAAATTTAAAAAATGTACATATCAGCTTCTGCCATCATACCATAGACATAGCATATACACATTTAATTTGATGCGCAATGGTGTTGTGATTTTATCAGATAAAAAGGGATCGGGGCGCAATCGTGTTACAAATTTTTTGCGCAATCATGGTGTAATTAGTCGGGTCAAAAAAGGAAAAATTGTGTAATCGAGTTGCACCGAGTCGACATCACAAACGTAAGTTAACTCTAGATACTAGCCCACGACTAGAGACGTGCCATAGAAAGAAAAGTATTGATACTTTTACTTGATATCGAATCGAATGAAAATACCGATATGAGTAAAATATCGAAACGAAAGGACCAATATGAATAAGTATCGAAAGAAAAGCATTGATCCTTTTATTTCGTCGTATCTTCGTATCGAATCGAATTAAAATAATGATAAGAGTAAGATATAAAAATGACCAATATGAATAAGTATCAAATGAAAAATTATTTTTATATTTTAAAATATGATATTTTACTAACATTTAACAAAAAGTAGTTATGGTTTATGAACCACAGATAAAAATGCTGTCTGTAAGCAAATTTTTAATTTTTTCTAACCATTTTCTAACATTTTCTAACTAATTTTTTAACCAATTTCATTATTTGTAATTTATATTTCATTTGATCGGTATATAAATCAGTAAATCAGAACTTTTTGTGCAATACTTTTTACTAATTTCCATGGCTAAAAATAAACACAGTATACATAATTTATGTATTGTTCATTGTTTGTGTGGAAAATATTCCTGTGATAATTTTGAGTAAAAAGTGAAAAAAAATTACTAATATAAATACCAAAAATTACATGGTACTTTATAAAAAATCTAAAATTTGACAGTTAAAGATGAGCAATTGATTAATAATGTTATAATTTATAAATAAGTGATAATTAATAAATTAAGTTTTTACTGAACAGATGATTAGTAATAACATTGCCTTTTATTATTTTATAGATAAATCTAAATCTTCAAAAAATATCCATAATTATTAGGTAATAATTAAAAATTAACAATACTAAATATTATAAATAAAAAACAAAACAAAATTATTGTGAAATGGTAATTCTAAATTAATAATAAAATATTAAATGTAGATTATGTAATTTAACTCAAAATTATAGAACATAAAAAAATGTTGAAGTATCTTTTTTTTAAACTCAATAGTACCTGCCAAGAAATTACATTACTTAAGGTTTTTTTTTATTAATTGTGTTTATATTTTATTTTTCAATATTCTATATATTGTAATTTATATTCTTTATTTTAAATAATATAATTTAGTTTTAATTGAATTACAGATATTTTTTAATAGGATAAACACTAAAAAATATGTATGAGGAATGAGGATGTTTAAATTATTTAATCCTATAGTTATAGTTATAATATGTTAAATTAATGTCTTATATAATATAATTTGCTGTATAGCTTTATTATTATTTCATAACATAAATAAACTTTTCAAAATATCTCACTTTATAAGAATAGTCATGTACGTATAATTTATGAGATCTTTAAACAAAAATTTATTTTTTTTTTATTTTTCACCTACATCAAATATTTCAAGAAAATAAATGTCATGAAATGAAATCCTCCACCATGCGCGCAAACCATTTTACTAGAAAAATATTATTCTTCAATACCATTCGAGTACTTTTGATTTTTGAACCAATATGGTGATTAGTAAATGATTCATAAATCATTCACTATTCATTCGGTACCAGTATTTTTTTATTGATAAGAGTAAAGTATCGAAACCATGGTATTGGTAGTATCACAATGTTCCAACCCACAATGTAAATAATACATTTTATTTATTTATGTTTTATTTACATAGGGTACTGGCCAATGACCGAAATTTAGCTTCACTATAATACAGACGATAAATGTATTGGCTTCTCTACATAACTATGGTTTTATAATAAAAAAGTCAATTAATTATATATATATAAAACAGTATGGCATGTGATAAGAATAACTGGTGGTTTCGATGAAACGTCAATGCACGTAGCACAAACTCGCATAAGTCACCATCGCTCCGTGACCAGAACATAAGTTTTATTAGTTTATTATATCATTATTAAAACTATGTAAATTATATTCATTTTATACATCGATCTAATAATACTATAATATTTCAGAAAACTAATATGAATCCATAAAAATGTCTAGTTGAGATCGGTCAGTGTACATTTTAAGATTTCTGATTTTATTCTGAATAATTAACATTTGAGTAGGCCTTAATATTAAAATACATAAAAATTGGGGGATGAAATTGGAGAAAATGGACTGACCCGATTTTAAATAAGCATAACCACAAGCTTAAATTAGTTTTCAAAAGTATTATTGCATTACTAGGTCGATCAATATGACGGACAAAAGACAGTCATAATACTAATCAATCACATAGTATGTTTCGGCTAAAATAATTGATCACCACCAATCCCCTAAAATATGAACCTTCTTGAATAGTTTTTAAATATTGATGTGATAAAAATAATTTAGACTATTTCAACTACTCTAAGCAATATTATTTAATACATAAAAAACCCTATTGTTTACTCTTGCAAGGGCAAACCTTTATGCTAGATCTAGATTTAAAAAAAACTTGTTCTAGAACAGCAGTTCTCAACTTTCATGTATCAGAGTATAACATACATTTAAATATCCACTTAACCCAAAAGTCTTTTTTATACTTATAAAAAAAAGTTTGTTTTATTTTATATACATGTTGTAATACCAATATGAGCTTTTTACGAACTACAAGTTAATAAATACTGTTCTAGACAATTTTCTTTCTATTTTCTTAGAATTTCACCAAATTAAACATGCTGTTCATGATCATAAGCTTCGAGTAAAATTGATAACAAACTAGTAAGTTTTACTCTTACAGGACTTTGAATAGTATTTATCTATAATGAATTACCAAAATGTATCAAAAATAAAATATAGTAGCAGTTTAAAGTAAAAATAATAGACCTCAATAGTCATTATGATCCAGAATAAAACTAGACTTAGTAATTAAACTAATATTCATAAAATATTAATTACCTTATTATATTCCTTTCGAAATTCAGCAAGGCAGTTAACGGAGCAAAATTCTTTTTTCCCATTTTGTGTAGGTAAAACATAATTTAAAGGATGTTTTGAGTCATTGCACATAGTGCATGTAGATTTTGCCTTTGGAGGGCGACCTAAAAAATGTATTTTAAACAAAATTTTATGATTATACAAATTACAATAAATATAATATATTTAGTGGTTTTAATTACTTAAAATAATACACATTTAAATTGAGAAGCTTATATTAATTAAAATAAAAATGTATTAAATTAATAAGCTCGATAATAAGGTAAAATATTATATTGTACTTATTAGAGATGGGCAAAATACATCAATTTTTTCGTTCACCTACATTGATGTTTTTATGTAATGAAAAAAAAACAATTTTTTTCTAATCCAAAGTCCGATGTTTAAATAACGTATTTATTTAAACATTTTACAATTTATACACAACATACTCACATATAACATAGATACAATTTTTCTTAAAACTTATTTTATTTAAACATTTTACAATTTATACACAACATACTCACATATAACATAGATACAATTTTTCTTAAAACTTATTAAGGTAAACAACAATATTTTAAGTTGATATTTTATTGATGAAAATTTCGATCATCAACATCGATGTTTCAAATATAGATAAATCGATACATTGGAACATTGATGTTTCAAACTTTTTTTCCATCTCTAGTACTTATATACATAGGATAATCTATCCTTTTCTCGACATTAATTTAACAGCTAGTAATGCTTTCAGGAATTTGGGTTTTGTAAATATTAGACTTTAAAAATATTAATACTTTAAAATGGTTAAATTTTTCTCTCTTTAGATCTAAGTTGGAATTTGGTCCTCTTATTATGCTGTCTCTATTAATATATTGGAAAATGTCAATATAATTATACTAAATCTATCTGTTTCAAATTAAATATTTATCTAACTAAGGATTCATATATTCTGCACTCAACTCAATTAGATATTACTACTAGAGAATTTAGAAGAAAAGTTAATGATGTAATATTTTTATATGATTTGCTAAATCAGTGGTTTTTAACTTTTTTGGTTCAGCGCCCCTTTATCGTAATAATTTACTGCTAACTACCTCTCATTTAAAATTAAATTTTCTTCATACATATATATATATATTTATTTATTCATCAGTATGATATATTATAGTAAAAATTCTTATTTTAAGAAAATATTAATGGTTATATTTTACTCCACTTAACAAAATTAACAGTTTGACTTTACAAAAAGATTTTACTTAACTATGAAAAAAAAAAATTTAAAATATAAAAATTATGCCTATTAATGATTGCCCTGAGCCTGATGAATAGTTGCTAATGTGGCGATGTCTGGTTCGATATTGGTCAAAGATAAACGTAGATCACTTTTATTACAAATATCCAACCGATTTCTTTATTTAGTCAAAATCTGAACAACAACGCTGAATCCTTTTTCAACTAGATACGTTGATGGGGAAAAAAAAGAAGCAACAATCTAACTTGTTTCCATAGCTGTGGATAAGTGTCTTTAAGCTTGACCTAGGCTAGCTCCTAACCTCACAGTCGTGTTTAAGATTGATAAAATCCATTTGTAAATAAGGTTCGAGATCTTCTACAGATTCAAACGAAAATATATCTAAAATCCAATTAGAGATTTGTAACTCAAGTAGGTCTTAAAATCTTGATTTCATGTCTTTTTTGAGCTGCAAAATATGATCAGTGAAAATTAGAATTTTTTCTTTTGGAACTAAATCATTTGCTTCTGAACATGTCTTGAAATTTGGAAACTGACTCAGTTCTTGACGATTTATGTTTGTTGTAAAGATCGAACTTAAAAATGAATTAGAAAATTATTCCTTTGACCTTGATAAAGTTAATCTTATTCCCTTGAAGCTTCAAATTCACTTCATTCATTTTTTTTTAAAATATCTGTGGGGTACCTACCCAATTTCAATTTTTCGTTGCTTCTAATTGTCCTTTAAGACAGGATCAATTTTATCAAGAAATTCCATGATAGAGTAAAATAATGCGAAAAAACAACACAAACATTTTCCTTTGGAAAGCCATCTTACTGCCGTATGCAAAACTAATCTTTGAAAATCTACATTATCATGACAAAGATCTCGAACTATGCGGTCATTGAGTGAATTTGCTTTAATTTTGTTTACAGCTTTTATGATGAAATGAAAAATTTTGTGCAAAATACCATTTAAGTTATTTACAGCTAAATGTTGGCGATGTATAACACAATGAACACAAATAACACCTGGGACGGTTTTTTTAGGTGGGCTATGAACTCAATATGACGACTGGTCATTGAAGGAGCGCCATCCATTGCGCATGCAATAATATTAGTCAAGGGGACATTTTTTCTGGTAAAATATTCCTACACCATTTGAAAAATCGACGACCCTTTGATATCAGTGATCAAATTTGTATCAAACAATACTTCCTCGACGATTTATTATTTTTATTTTTAATCTCCGAGTTTGAAAAAGCTCACCGCCCCCTTCAAAATTATTGCCCCCCGGAGAAATCGAAATGCCCCCAAGAGGGTGGTATCATTCCCGTTAAGAACCACTGTGTTAAATGATATCATAGATTACCCTAATTTACTATCAATGGTTGGTCTTCACACGAGTTACATAAATTTCAGCTGAACATACATACATTATTCATCTACTAAATATTAAAAATTATAACTATTATAATATTAAAATGGTTATAATAAAATAAATTATAATATATATTTTTCACAAAATACCTACATGATTAAAATTTAAAAAACAACATTAAATAGATTTTAAGGAAATAAAACATTTTTTATTCTGACCTTTTGCATAATTTAAAATTAAAACTGTGAAAATGTTCATCTAAAATTTCAAAAAAATTATAAATATCAAAAAGTATAAATTAAAATTAAATTATAACAGTGAATTTTTTCAGGTAAACATTCTATAATTGGAGCTAAATTTTTCTTAAATAAAATACCGCAATATCCAAGTTATGTAAGACCTATTTATTAATTCAATGTTATCAGATTTTATTTAATATTAATTAATATTAATAATTTTAATATTAAATTAATTAAAAAAAAAAAATTATTGAATCATTTTTTACTAATATTTAAAGTAAATCAAATGCTTGTAGTAATAATTACAATATACTATATAAGTATAAGACATTTTTATGGAGAATAAATTATTTCTACATATTCTATGATGTTATTCATGTCACAAGAATATTAATAAATATATATAGCTTAAACATACCTCTCATTTTGTTGGTTTGCATTAGTACTAAATGATATCCACACTAGTTCTTAATTTGCAATCTAAAATATCAAAAAATAATTGATCTTTCAAAACATAAATTAATTAAAACAAAATCATTAAAAATTCTTGAAATAAATAAAAAATAAAATGTTTTACAATACTTTTGATTTAATGGAACAACTAATTCGTTCAAGTTTGAAAATAAAAAAAATATATGTAGAACTGTTATTGTATATAAACTATACCTAACCACTTAGAATTAAAAATATTTATTTCATTTAATGTTCCATTAATTAAAACTATTAATATATTTTACTTATATCATATTAATTTGTCATTCAATAATGAATATTATAGTATAAAATTAAAATAATATAATTAAAATATATAAAAGACTTATCCAGATTGATATTCATCATTGACGGACATTTTTCTATGAACATGAATATTTTAAATAAAGGCTCAATATAAGTCTTTAATAATAAAAAATTTACTTACAAGACAATAAAAAATGTTCGAAGAGGACAGTCAAACTGGGACAATTTTTTTAAAAGTTGATTAGATAAATAGCATTATCGGCTTTTTAAGAATCGCTAGAAAAACGTCAACAAAAGAACTTGATCCGCCATTGGCCGGATACAATAGATAACAGGGGTTTACAAACTGCAAAGCATATGCTATACAGCTATATTCATGGAACAAAATTGATATCTCAAATGATACGAGTTTTCAATCATTAAGAATTATTAATTGTTGGTTGAAAGTACATAAGTAATTAACAATTCTGACTTCTACTAGCCATACGAAATCTTGTAATATTGATCATTAGCTGTATTATAGTATATCGATTAATCTTGATTTACTATCAGTCTGTAAAATGTAAGCAATATACGTGTCAGTGGCGGATTAAGCAATTTGCCGCTAATAAGCAGGACATTGGCCGCCCTTTCATTTTAAACTTTTTTTTTAAAACAAAATACATATAGAAATAAATTTTTAGTTAAATTATTCTTTATAATTTTAAATTTAATACAATAGTCAAATATTAAATCATTTTTGTTCGGCTTTTTATGTTAGCAAATGTATCGATTAGGTCTTGAAAGCAATTGTCGACACTAATCCCGATTCAATGCATAGGAGAGCCAAACTATTTAACCGATTTTCGCCAATAGTAGATCTTAAATAAGTTTTATTTCTTTTGAAACATAAAAACGATCTTTCTATCGAATAATTAGTAACCGCCATACAGGAGTATATTCTTAAAGCGATGCTAACATTTGGAAATAGTTCTTCTAAATTCTGATTTCTAAAAAATGTAAATAAACTTTGATTTTGTTGTTTTTTTTCTGTTGCATTTTGCATATAAGTTTTGAAATGTATACATTCTTGTTTAAATATATTTCCATCAATGTCCAATTAATAAAATTGTTGTTTTTTTGGCTCCTTGGACAATATCATCGGTATTAATTGACTTCTTGTCTATGTTGATCAAAAATTTGAATTTATCGTAAATATTTGTATCGCCATAATGTATAGCTATGATTATATTTAAATAAATAATTTCCGGGAAAAACATAAATTCGCTAACAATGACAATTTTAGTTGATTGCGTTCACCGAAACCATTTCAGAATTAATAACCTAATGGTTAATATTCATAAATTATAATATAACTTTATAAATATATTTTTTTTCTTAAGTGCGGCAAATTAGTCGCCCCAATAAAATTGCCGCTCTAATTACCTGATTACTTTGCCTGTAGGGTAACCCGATGCTGATACGTGTATTTTATTTCACTTAAATTTCAAGCCAATGTACCTTTTATTATTTGACAATGATATTATATTAAAACTGCTTAAGGTTGAAATGTAATCATCACGAGATACTATATTAATATGGTGTTAAATACGAACGCTTAATGTTATTTAGTAAATGTTAAAAGATATATGTAAATATTTAAAATATTTTATATCATCTAAAATGATTTTCTGATCTCATAAAATGAAAAATGTTTGTAGACGTATTACTACGATAAGGTTGTCCACTATAATTAATAAAAAATAAATTACAGTTAATAAATTATTACAGACCACATGCACTTATTGTTTTTTTTTTTTTTTTGATTCTTTTATAACTTTAAGTATAGTCATTAAAATATCTTTATATGCAGGCCTGTATTTAGGGGGGGGGTAGGCACATGCCCGGGGGCGTCAAGTCTCAGAGGCGGTAAAATATTTTAGTAAAATTAATTTTAAAAATTATGTATCTAATTAAAAAAAATAAATAAAACCATAAAAAAAAGAAAATAGTATGTTTTATAATGTTATGATTTATAAATTAAAAAAAAATGTATTTTTATTATATAATTTGTTAATTAAAAAAAGTATTAAACGATTTTCATTTATAAGTTATATTTTATATTAAAGAATCTCGATATAAATGTTTATATGTCTATACTTTAGAGTAACAATGTCATAATTTATTGATTAATTAGAATAGGTTAAAATAAGCATAAATAACAATAGAGACTGTAATTATTTAAACCTATAATACTTATAAGAGTATATAAAATAAATTTATAATTTTTTTGAACTTGTAATCTTTTTTAAAACAACCTGTTGCAAATGGAACAATTAAGGTATATATTGTTTGTCGTAAGTAACAGAGTAAAGCCTCCCGGTGAAGGCACTAAGGCAAAATTATACAATAGTATACCAATAATTAGTTCAAATAATAAATGATGTAGGTATGTGTAATCCATAGACATAATATAATATGTTACATTATATTATATTACATTATATACATTATATATATTATATACATTATATTACATTATATACATTATATTATGTCTATGGTGTAATCCATTAAATTTGTTTTACTTTTAGTACATGGAATAAGAAATATTTTATTGAAAGTATTGTTTGTATGATAACCACGATTAAAGATATTATCTTATTTTTAATCGTGATGATAACTGGTATTAAACTATATTTTCAGAAAAGTGGGAAGAATTACAAAAACGCATAGATAATATTCTTATATTATCTATGCAAAAACGGGATACTACCATCCAGTGTCAGTACTGATCATAGACATATGTCTATGGCACTGTTCTTCGACAATACAAACCAATATTATATGGTCGAAGGCACTGTTCCACTCACAGATATACATATCTGTGGTTCCACTGTAAAATTTTACATAATAAATAACTAGATAAGATAATTGATAAGAATTGTTGATTGTGAATTGTCATTATCTGATTTTATTATTAAAAATTTTGAGTTAATTTTACATATTTATAATATTTCTACACGTATTTCGTAACGTAATAATCAATTAATTACCAACAACTTAAAAGATTATATTTATCCATTTAAATTTACTTCAAGTCCTTATTGTGGACTTGTTTTTTGGTTTGTAACAAGTGTGACCACACCCATCGAAAATAGGCCTATCCGATACTGCAGTCATGGACATGATGATCTCCAACCTGCAACAGCAGCGGCAAATTACAGAACAGCTTCGAAGAGAAGCAGCTGTGAAGCGTATACCCGTTTCACAAGCAATACAAGATATTATTAAGTATATCCGAGAACGGGAAATGGAGGATTGCTTAATGATTGGCTTTTCATCGCAGAAAGCTAATCCATTCAGAGAAAAAAGTACCTGTGCAGTTATTTAAAAACCTAATATTAATATTGAAATAAAATTAAAATAATTAACTTATATTGTATTATAATAATCAAGATCAATTATAATTAATTTAAATACCTTAAATAATACAATTTCATATTTAATTAGTTATAATCAGTAAACATTAATTTGTATGTATATTATCTAATCCTTTGATTTTGAGTAATATAATATTTGTATTACATTTGTATTTTATTTATTTATTTTTTAGCTTTTTAGGTAATAATTTATTAAGTAGCAGTTATATCACAACATATACATAACCATAATATTTATAAGCCATTTGGTTTTATAGATTTAAGGTGATTGGTTTTCTAAGTTGTAAATTGTTGCAATTACAGTATTGAAGGTATAAATAATTTTTACTCTTGAATTGCCAGAATAAACCATATTAATCTTAAATTTGAAATTAATCAAATCAATTTATGTATAGGTGTATATTTTTTAAGAAAATTTAAACAATTTCCTGGGATAAGTAATTTTCTTATCATTAGTTCAGAGATATTTTAAAGAAGTTAGTGGATTCATTCTAGTTTATAATGACAATATTATTCCTATATGAAATAAAAAAAAAAAACTAAATATATTAAATATTTTGTACATACCTAGAATACAAATTATCAATCATATTAATAATATTGAATGAAAGTGATAAGTTCTACCACTTATGTATCGTAGTTATTGAAAATGTTAAATTCATTGTTTTGAATTTTAACCAACTATTGGGTTCTTTACTTTTTAAATTATTAAATTACACTAAAAATACTGTTGAATATAAATTTATATTTTTCAAGTCAATTTTTGATTTTTACATGTACCAATTAAAACCTAGAAAAAGAAAACATAGTTTTACATAAAATCAACGTTCAAAAAATAATTGTTAATGATTGAATAATTTATATAACTATATTTAATTTAAAGTGAAACTACAAATTTTACTCCTTTAAAAGCTATCCTCCATGGAAATTTTTAGTAAAGAAAAATAATTTTACCATATTGAAAGAGAATCAGAATTTAAGAGTTAATTTGTATTTATGTAATAAAATAAAATTATATTTAATTTTAAACAGAAATGTAAAAAGCCAAATAAATGATTTTGAAGCTTAATAATTAATGTTTACGTGGGTATAGCACGACCCGGTGTGAGTTGATACTGAACTGCGAAAGAGTGTATGTCGACAATAATATTAAATATATTTTCTCTTTTTTTTTTAAAATTGCACACTTTAGTTTTATTTTATTTTCTTTCTTTTGTTATTAGCCAAAACTTAAATCCGTACGGGCTTTAAAATTAAACATTTAAAATAAGTTATGAGTAAATATAAGTATAAATTTAAATGTTATGTTCTATTACAATAATTTTAAACAAAAATAGAATAATCCTTAAAAGCATATTATATTATTGTTTAAAAGAACATAATTTTGTAAATATCACTTTTCTGAAAACTCCATTGAGTATTATTATTAATTAAATTATTCACATTGTTTTTCCAATTACTCACTCAAATCACCTACAATTTTTGCTATAGGTAGAGAGGCACCCTTTGTATTTAAATACGTCACTTTTTCCTCAATACATTTTTATTAAATTTTCAATAATTTTTTTTGTAGCCATACCATTGTATCAAATACTAATCTTATTCCTAGACTTCTACCATTACAAAAAATTTTAATTCTATGGTACATCTTATATTTAAACAATAGGAAAAATTAGTCTAACTTTTTTGTCAAACGTACGACTTTTAAATATAAAGAAACTAAAGTTTTAACTTTAAGACTCAAAGAGGTCAAATTATAAGCTATAAGGTCCATTTACACAATAACAGAACTGTTATGCTGATACCGTCGTAGAATTATATACGAAGACAAGCGATAATACAGTGACCGTGATAATGTGCAATATTTGTTAATTTGTTTAATTATTAACATCACAGTTTTTTTAAAAATCATGTCTTAAGAAGTTGTGTTCAATGATAAGAGAAATATTATTTTCAGCAGTTTTTAGTATGTATTAGAATATATATTATATTATTTGTCATAGGTTCATAAAAACATCCAAAATCAGAATACAACAATGAGAAATGATCTTCTACCAAAGTTAAAATTGCAAGTTACTTGTAGATTTTTAGTTATAAGTGATTCACTTGTGTATCTACAGTAATTATATAGAGTTCCAAAATATACCATCAGTAGATTTCTACTAGAAGTTTTTGATCCTATTTATGAAACACGATCAACTACCTAGCCAAGCTTGATAGTTCGACAGCCAACAGTTAAGTGAGGCAGTACATATTTACATGGTAGTAGATCTTTGAAAGTGACTGTTGTGACTGTCAAGTATTAAGGTTACTGTATAAAAGGAGCTTAAGACATGGTTGCTGAACCCTGTCCTATACCTAGTTATGAACTTTTGGTTAATTGACTAATTAAATGTATATTAAAATATGAAAATCGATCAAAAATAATTAACTACAGTTTAATAACAATAATACCTTTAATCAAATACACTTAAATTAATAATTTGCAACATTCCATACAATTTTTGTTCTAGCTGTCTAGGTAAATAATGAAAATGATTACTAAAGGTAAAATAAATTAATAGAATTTAGAAATAATAAAACCAGGGAGGTATGTTGAAACAAAATTCTCTACAATTATTAATATATAATTTCCTCGATTTTTTAATTTAAATATAATATGATTTTTGCCACCTATCAAATACATTTAATATAATATTCTAAAATTATATGATTTATTTTGTAATCCCAATAACCCCACAAGCAATTCTGGCTCCAGCATTTCCTGTAGATGCACTTAATTCATGACCTCCTTTGCCTAAATCATCTTGGTCAGCATGTACCTATAACATTTATATTTATCATAAATGGTTATATATCATAATGAACAATAATGGATAATAATAATGATAAATAATATAAATTTTTTGATGAAAATACATAACTAAATAAAATGCAAACTATAAAATTAGTTTTAAACTTTATTAGATGCAATCATTTTAATAATTGTAATTGAGCATCACCTATTCAAAATACAAATAAATTACATGATTAACCTAACAGTTTTTTAGTTAGCATTTACTTCAAGTCTCAGTAATTAATATTGGTTTTCATATAAAATCTAGTTATATTTTTAAATTTATAGTTATTTTGATGAAATTTAATCGATAAAACTGAAATAAAATAGAATCTTAATAGAATATAAAAATGTAATCATTGCTAAAAATAATGTAAACATTATTACAAGCAATTGCTTGACTAGTATATGTTTCTATAGTTTAAAAATAAATTTTAAATATTTATAATTTGAAATAATGATTTTTGGAAAATTAAAACCAACAAAAAAAGTATGATTTATTTTCATGAATGGAGATTTATGTTAGTAAAATATAAAATTATTTACCACTAAAGTACGACCTATAATGCTGAGAGGTCCTGTGAGCGAAATCACTGAATCACTGATATTAACTGTTGTTACTGATGAACCAGCAGATTCAATATTACCCAAGTCACCAACATGTCTTACTTCATCAGTAGGAGCTCCATGAGTTTTTCCAAAAGGATTAAAATGTGGACCTGAACTCATGCACCCTAAAATTGACATAATATAATATGTACCTGTTATTTATATACACTACTTTTAAATAAAATAGAGCAAAAAAAATTGTGTTAAAATTGTATGAAGTACAAAATTAATAAAATAGCATTAAAATTGAATCAATCAAGATAGAATGACTGATTATGCACAGTAAAAGTTCATTCTTTAGCATATTGGGAAGCCTAACACTAGTTTGCATGCAGGTAAGCTCGTAGTATCTTACGAATAAAGCAACCACATTTTAGTTAACAACTTGAACAACTACCAGACTCAATCTATGAGTATAGATTTGTCTAATATGTATTTTACTTTACAGTTAAATAACAATTATTAAAACATAGGTAACTCAAATTACATTTTAGATTCATCAAATATTTTTTTTTTTGAGTTGGTTATCAGTTTATTACAACTGTATTTTAGTTTTGTTAACATTTTTGAATTTCATTATTTTATTTTTTTTATTATGAATGATATTTATATGAATTATATAATTTAGTTATAATGATCATTTGGCAATCATTTTATAATATTATGGATTTAAAGGCATGCTAGGATATTTTCTCTATCAAACACAATACACATGAATTCCTAATTAATACAAAAACATATTTAATGAGGTTAAATGGTCAAAGGTGATATTACAATGGTCACGAGCAATATTACAATATAAACAAATAATTTACTTATAGGATATAACAGATAAGATTAATTATACACGAACATTAATTTTTATAACTTACATTTTATATTTCCATTTGAATTTCTGTCTATGATTAAATTAAGGAATAAATCTACTATACCGAACACCTTTTCTTTAAGATTTATATAATTGATTAAAGCTGTTTGAGTAATGAATTTCAAGTTAACAAAACTTTAAACTAGGCTATTTATAATATTTTATACTTTTTTTTAGTATAAAAAAAAAAAACAAAAAATATATAAATAAGTGTTCGATAAAATAGATGTATACATCATTGTCGAAATTTTACAAATAAACAGAATACAAAATAGAAAAATATTAAGATTTATTAAAGGAGACCCAAATACAATGCAACATGATACCTATGCCAAGTTAAAATGCTTTTACCACACATTTTGACACTTTGTTGAATTTTTGCACAAACATTTTTCTTCAGCTTACCATTAGTGTTGTCACCATATTCATGGATATGAAATCCATGAAGGCCTTTTGATAAACCAGTTATTTCACCAGTTACTTCAACAGGAGCTTTATCATCCTAAATATAAATTATTAAACTTATAAATGAAACTACTAATTATCAATATTTATATTGTAAAAAACATAATACTTACATTTTGTGAAAAAAAAATGGTGCCCTTAACATTTTCGCCATTCAAAACACAAACTGCCTTAACCATTTTTGAAAAAATTATTTGAATAAGTACGGTCAACAATTTTTTACACTTTAGGGTGTTGACACGAGCTTAAAATTGGAAGAAGAACTAATAGGATGCTAACCTATTCACAGAATGATTATGTCTAATGGACAAATGTAATAATCGTATAATACGTAACTTCAAGCGTAAAACGAGACTCTTGAAGTATTGAACATTAAAACACGAGTATCATCATGATTAAACTTAGGTACGGAAATTAAATATAATAATGTAACTGTAAATGGAAAAAGAGAAATATGTATTCTCCCGGATTATATATTAGGTCCGTCATTAGTATGAAGTTTATAACGACATTATACGAGTTCTTGAATTAAGAGTGTGGACTACCATATGTACATATGTCATATCCCATTTATATATTATTACTTTATATTCTTAAATACATAAAAATAAATATGTTTATAATTATATTTGGTAATTAAAAAAATTAATTCTACAGCACTATTGCTATAAAAACCTAATAGGTACATTAATTATAATATCGTATAGGTATTATATTTTTAGCTTACGAAAGTTATACAAAATAAGTGGGCATTGTATATTAATAATAATACAATATAAAGTTTTACTAGAAAATATTTCTTAAGATTGAGGTGTAGATCGTAAATATTCTTGAAATTTTAACCATCCAGTGATGCCCAACGTTTTACATTCATAATATTTATGGATGAACTAAAGTGTAACGGAGTACCTGTCGCATAATCTATTTTATAGAACGCGTGTTCTGTGGTAAATATACATGGATATATTTTAAATCCAAGTATTCCTTAAATAAAAAACAAAATATTGTTAATCGTGAAAACAATATTAAATGACACATTCAATATTCATTAAACAGAAAATTACGTTAATTTGACAATTTTTTATAAACAATGAAGGTTTTATTAATTCTTCAATACATATTAAATAATATGTATTACAATAACATATCGATAGTAAAAAATCTTTTTACGACAATTGTAAAACTTGAAATCTAATTTTTAATTTTTTTATACATAAAATGATAAATTATTATTCATTATTCAAATCAATTTTTAATCGAAGAAAAAGATAATACAGTCTCATACACTTTCATATAATTTAGAAAAAGGACGTATTAAGGAATCCATAAAATGTTGTCAAAAATAAAATGTTGTTAAAATAATAATAATTTATTTATTTCATACTTCATATGTCAGAATCGGTTTAGGAATATTTATTTAAAGATAAATATTCCAATATTTTCAATAGGTTAATTTTTGGGTATATTTCTACTTTACGGGACACCCAAAATTTCGGATTTTTTATGTCAAATTATGTATTTTTTAACGCTGAAAACAATAGTGCAAACGAAAATTGGCGCAAACAATTATTTTGGAAGTAACAGCCTATTGAAGTTTAATTATTTTGATTAAATAATTTATTTTTCAATAATTAATTTACTGACGTCATGGTCCAATTGGTAACGCGGGACCACCATTAAAGTTAGGTTAGTAATCAAAATTACCATAGTAGGGAAAATATTCTTTACATTTTTTTCAACTTTTTTTTGTAATCGGTATAATAATTATTTTATAATAAGGTTATATCAGTACCTATGGTCCGTATCACAACACTAGATATTAGAATGCGCAAGAAAAAATACAAAACAAGTATAAACAATTTAAATGACGATTCAGGGTTTTACTCGCGTAGCGAGGTTTTAGGTTCACATTCAGAGCATAATCCCATTTACAACAGTATCAAGGTTTGTACAAAAACTAAGTTAGGTTTAGACTACAATTCCTCTTGGGGCGAAGCCCCATCCCCCTGAAAAGTACCACGCAGTGACACTCAAGTTTGTGAGTGGAGCCGGCATGTGTAACGAGCTAAGTCCTAAAATTTTTAAAATTAAAGTTCCGATTTTTCGAAAAAAAATGCAAACAATTTTTATTACGATAAGAGATCAAACCAGTAAAAAAATTAACGTTAAAAAAAGTGCTGGATTTTTAATCATCTATACGGGGATCGAACTCGGCTACCTATATATATGTATATTAATAAACTCCTACCATTGCGGAGTGCTTTTAAGCGCTCCTTTTGATAAAAAATTAATATTTAAGAGTTTTAGTATAAAGTTATAAACTTTAATTAACTATAACTTCAAAACTAAGTTCTTGCGCCAAATTCTAATTTTACCATCGTTTTTTTTACCCAAAATATGATTAAGCCAAATTTTTGAGTATCCCGTAAACTAGAAATATTCCAAATTTTTGATAAAGCGTTAATCATGCCACTTGACCAAAGCCTCTATAAATTTTGTTTTTAAATATTATAAATTAACTCATTCTTTTCAATTGGGAATCTAGTAAAGTAATCAGAGGTCTCATTTTTACTACAATACATAGAATCAGGAGGTTCATGCCATACTACTTTTAATATATACCTTAACGTATAGTAATTTCTAACACAGAATAGACTAATCCATATCACAGACATTTGGTAATTTTGGTCTCTGATAATTGCTAAGAATTATTATTTTAGTTCGTACATTAGATGTTATAATATTTATTTTTATAGTACTTGAGTAGTGAAGCAGTTAAAAAATATCATGATATAATAGTTTTTATATCATGAAAAACATATGTTTACTCTGTTATCTCATATCAATTTTTAATTTAAAGTTCAACCGGTTCAATTTTGTATTTTTAGTTCAAACTACGTTCATACATAGCTACGTTTCTTATTAATTACTACAAACTGTTGACATTTTCAATGTAATGTGCTGTTAATCTGATGTAATTACTTGTTCAATATTTTAAAACTTATTTATATTGATAAATGACCTTAATTATATGGTATGTAACGTTATAAATGATGTATAACTTGATATTGTATTAATATTTATAGTAAAATAACTATGAAATATAAAATAAAAAATCTTACTTATTATTTAGTGTACTATTAAAAATTACATTTATGGATATTGTCATCAAGTATAGCTTGAAATAAAATATGTATTAAGTTTTATTTTTTTCATATCCTAATACTAAATACGTAGTACATGTTTTAATATTAAACAGGTGAATCTTGAATCTAAACATAATAATTTAAATATCAGTTAACTTTATTTATTATTATGTGAAATATAATTTTTATTTTATTGTTATTAATTTTATATTGTGTTTGAACAAGTCATTTGGACAAACAAATACTTACAGAAATCTAAATTGTAGTTTTCATTCAATAATTCTTCAGAATTGTTTTGTTATAAAGCTATTTAATTTAATTGTATTGGGTACTTCACATTATATATTGTTGTGTTAAACATATTTATTGTTTATACTCATATGATTAAATTATAATTTTTGTAATTCTACAGTTTTTTATTCAAATACTTTTAATGAAATCACTAATTAAGTAACTTCTGTTTATGTCATCAGTAATATGTTATAACTAGAACTTAAAAGATGCCGGGAAAAGTTAAAGTACGTGTATTGGCTGGTCGAAATTTGCCAGTCATGGACCGATCTAGTGATACAACTGATGCTTATGTTGAAGTGAAACTCGGAAGTACAACATACAAGACCGATGTTTGTAGAAAATCATTAAATCCTCAGTGGAATTCTGATTGGTATAAATTTGAAGTAAGCTTTTATTTATTAAAAATACTTAATGCATTTTTAATTCATAATAAATTACTATTTATATATTTATTTATAAAATTAGTTGGATGATACAGAACTTCAAGATGAACCTCTTCAAATTAGAATTATGGATCATGATACATACTCAGCCAATGATGCAATTGGAAAAGTATACTTTAATTTAAATCCATTACTATTACCACAGCCAACAGTTGTACAATTATCAGGTCAACAAACTGATACTTTGATTTCGAATCAGAGTCAAACTACAGGTAAAAATTACTAGTTCTTTTAAAATTTTAGTACAATAACAATGTTGTATTTTTAGGGGGATCCGTGGTGTCTGGATGGTTTCCCGTTTTTGATACAATGCATGGAATTCGAGGTGAAGTACATATCATTATAAAAGTAGAACTATTCTCAGATTTTAATAGATTTCGTCAGTCTTCATGTGGAATTCAGTTTTTTTATTGTATGTATAAAATAATTCAAGTATTGTACATTTTTAAATGTCTTTATAAATATTTATTTTTATGTTTTACAGCTGGGGCAGGAATAACAGCACATACAGAATGGGTGCATGGTTTTGTAGAAGAGTTAGTAGTTGAAGATGATCCAGAATATCAATGGTTGGATAAAATACGTACTCCTCGTGCTACTAATGAGGCACGTCAAACCATATTCTTAAAACTTTCTAATGAAGTACAAAGACGTATTGGTTTGAAAGTTTTAGAGCTTGGAGCTAATGCAGTTATTGGGTTAGTAATTTTATTTTATATATATATATATATTTTATATAATATATATATATGGATTAATTTAGCCTAGTAACTTAAAATAAATACATTTGAGAATATAAAAGAAAACAAATATAGAGTACATAAGGAAAATAACCCAGCAGTATGGGAATTCTCTGACAAAGATAAAAGGTAATAATATAGTCAGGATTCAGGAAATTTAGATTTTCATTGTCTTTTTAATCAATGATGGAGATTTTCAAATAAGGATTTGTTAATTAATATCGAGACTAGTGGATTTGTGTAGTTATTTAATTTATTATGACATTTTTATAGTAGTTTATAGCAGTCATTGAAACTATTTCGATTCTTAAGTTGAGAAGTTTGAGATTTGCTATGTATTATGGTGGAGAAGGTTTTTTCAAAGAGAAATTGACTGAAAAACTTTGATGGTTAGGTTTTCTAAGGAAGAAAATTATATGAGAGAGATATTGTTAACATTAATTTAAATTTTTTCCATTTAGAGGACTATTTTGCAAATCTTATGAAGCCTAGTTACTCTAACAAATATATGCTTAAATAACTATACATTAATACCATTATATCTTATAAAAATAATTGTTTTACTATTTATTTTTTATTAGATATAACCAATATTTTGATTTGGAAGGTGAATCTGGCATTGTTGTTCGTGGAATTGGAACCGCTGTTACATTAGTGCGACATTTAACATTACCATCAGTAAATTTAAATTTACAGCCAACAATCGATGAGTAAGTAGATTATTTTAAATTATTATTTTATTTAAAAATTTCATTGTTTTTTTAATATTAAAATATAATTTTATTCTATCAAATATTTTTACTCATTACTTAAATTAATTTAAGCATAATTCTATAAACTTAATATATTTTAATTAATATTTAAATTAAAAATAATTTAAATATAAATATTTTTTTTTCATAGGCTTGGTAATAAACATTAAGTTTTTTCATTTATAATACATTAATATATTATATGAAATAAGTTTAAGTTAAATATTTATCTTAATTAGGATTATTAATAGGTATTTATTTTGAATTTAAACTTAAAAAATCATCATGTACTTAGTGATATTTTATTTATCCTCTGTATATAAAAGTCCTATAACCAATTGTAAAAAATTGTTTAATTTTATTTTTTGTCAATAGTGGTAAGTAATTCTCGTTGTATTTACTCTCAGGAATAAAATATATGTAGTTGAAAAGACTATTTCATTAAATATTTATGACAAATATTAAAAAAAATATTTAAAATTTGAATAATAAGAATATTTAGAAAGTCTGAAATATCAGTAATGAACATAGTAAAAACCATTTTACAGATTTTGTATATTTTTATCATACCATAAAAATAAAATTAAATAGATGTATTATTATTTTATATAAATCAAAGTATCATTGTAAATTTAGAAAAGCTATATTATAATATTATATATTATCATGAAATAATTTTATTTGAAAAATAATAAGTGAATAATTGCAATTAAATATTTAATCAGATAAAGTTATTTATTATATATATTTTAAAAGTATAAAATTACTGATAAAATTTAAATCAGTTTATGAAGAATATTGTATAACAGCTCAAGTATAATATTATTTAGTAAGTAAATACTTTCAAAAAAATATTAATTATTCTATTTTGGTTTTTACTGTTTGAAGTTTGGATTTTTCTAACTCATTTATACAAACTAATGATATTAACCATACTATTTCAATTATTAATAAAAATAAAAAATCTTATTCTATCCGTAAAATGTCTCCACACCTTCTAAAATCAAATACTGTAGATTTTGCTGAATTATCCAGTATGAAAAGTTTGTTCGATCAAGAAGATATGCGTACATCAAAATTAAAAAGACAAAATCGATTTTTAAAGGCTATTACTTTTCAAAATTCTTATCAAAAATATAAAAAAAAACAAATGTACTCTGCCTCAATTGAATCTGCTAGTTCATCATCTGATCATGATAGAAATTATAATACATGCAATTCAGCTTTAGCATTCTTGGCCCAAGCTACTTTGGACTTCAATTCATCATTTGATTTACATTCAGAGTCTGAAGAAATACAGCCTTACCATTCTAGAAGACAGCTATTAAGACAACCTAGTGTTGATACAAATTGCTCAAAATTATCATTAGAATATTTGTTTAACCATGATGATCGGGAGTTAAAAAATAAGGAAAAAGGTATACCTAGTTTAAATTTACCGTCCTCGAGTTCATTAAATTCAGCTTCTGATTCAACAGGAGATTCAGATGTGGCTTTTGGGTTTGAGGTATCAAAACTTAATGTAAGGAATTTATCTCCTTGTGTATCTGATAATCCAACATATTATTCAGACTCCTCAGACTCTGTAGATTCAGATTCAATTGATATTGTAAGCACAAATTCAGAATCTTTTTATCAAGAGCCATATACTCCTCCATTATCAAGAATAGTATCTACAGACAGACCCATTACACCTCCAATTTCTAAAATTGTTTACTTAAGTAACATTAAACCAAGTTTTCACAGTCTAACAGATATATGTATGTCGAGAAGTGTGTCACCTTATAACTCTAGTAGTTTTAGTAATTCACAGAGTACAATTGTACACAACACGTCGCCTTTGCCAATGACTTCTAATCCTGATGTAGAATCTATAATTAACAAAGAACCTAGTTTAATAAAACTCGAAGAAAATGTTTGTCCTGTTTTCTCTGATAATATAACTGCATCCGAGTGTTCTTCGCATGCTTTTAACTGTGATGACAGGAATGCTGAAACAGCCGAGTCACCTGGCAAAGTCACAAACATTTCAATGCACCGAAGGTCATCAGACTCTGAAATCAATAATGCACCAAAAGGTAATATATATCTAGGTTCAAAGCTTTGTTTTTTCCATATTTAAGCTATTTATATGGATCTGTTTTGTTTATTAATTAGAAATTGTATGATTATAAACTTTAATTTGTAATTAGATTATAGTTAAATTAATATATAAATTCAATCTTAACATTCATAAAATTTTCAATAAAGTTGTCTTTTTTTACTAATTATTTTAAAATTATTATAAATTTTTATTATTATTATAAAAAAAAAATGTATTAAACTTAGCATTGATTGATGTAGACATTATATTTTTCCTGATCTTGAAAACAAATGGAAGTTGGTATATCTATGACTAATTTTAAGTCATTTTACTTGTACACGAAAAAATATGTATTAAATTAATAGTAAATAATTCTATAAGTATGCTAAATTATTGGTTAAACATATAATAATTTTTATGTAAATGTTTATTTAAAAATAATGTAGATTGATAATTTTATAATATGCTATGGTCTATTTTGAAATGTTAACAATAATGTTTAATTCATTGCATTTTATAAAAATTATATATACTTAATATATATTTTTTAGGTAACAGTTTGACAGGAAGTGGAAGTTCAACAGTAAGTTCTCATCGAACACATGGACATACTATGTTTCACCGATCAATTTTAAGTAAAGATACTTTGGACGCTATGGAATATCCTTTTCTTACAATGACCAAATATCCTCCTGGTTTTATTGTACATTTAGGTTAGTTTTATTGTTTTTTAAATTAATAACTAGCAAGGTATCATTTATCTATAAAAATATATAAGTAATATCATAAATTAAATGTTTAGGTGGTATGGTAAATGCTAAATCAGTTAAATTACTTGAACGAATGTCAAACATGGAAGAACCAGAAAGTAGAGATTCGTGGTGGAGTGAATTAAGGCTTGAAATGAGATCACATGCAAGAGCTTTATCTTGCAATGTAATTTTGGGCTATTCAGAAAATACTGCAATATGGTATTTATGTAACATTATTACTACTATTATTTCTATACTATTATCATTTTTAGTATTTTTAAAACTTATAATTTGTAAGAGTATAGAATTAGTATATTTTACATGTTATAATATATTTTTTATAAGTGTTTTTTTATTAATTTATTATAAAATGATGTGGCTTGATACATTTCTTCAATTTTGAATTTGATCCATCTCCATTTTGTAGTTATATTATTTTATATTTTGATTTATTATTAACATTTTAGTGATGATGTTTGCGTATTGAGTGCTTCAGGAACAGCTGCCGTTGTAAACCTTATATCACCAGTAAATTCCGGTGGATATTTTTCTGGAATTTATTCTAATACACCTCTTGCAGATATACCAGAACCTTCTACTGCAAGTACATTTGTGAGTATCAATATTTAATTTTCAAATATATATATATTTATTTATAATTAATATTATATTCTTTCATCTTTAGAATTTTAATATATATCATGTTTTATTTTTTAAAATCTTGCAGTACAAATCTAAAATTATTGTTTATATTTTAAAGTGTTTTGTTTATATTTGGAATTTTTTTCACACTTATAATGTATAAAATAAATGTATTCATCATAAAACGTAAAAACAATTATAAAACATTCAGTGAAAAATGTCTTCTTTTAATTTTTAGGTATAAATATAATAATTTATAATAAATGTATTATTATGCTGTTCCTTAATTATTATGTGCAATTAGTAACACTTAAAATTTGTTTTTAGTCATGTAATAGTAGAAGTCATAAACACTCCATAAGTAGTAGTCATGAAAAATTAGATTCATCTCCATGTTCTATTTGTCATATACCATATAATGATCACAGTGTACCATTTTCTATGAACATGAAGTATTGTTCTACTTGCAAGTAAGAAATTAAATCAAACAAAATTTCAAATTTTTTTTAATTGTTATTTGATATATTATAATAAAATGTATTTATAGACGGTACAAAGTACCACATATACTTTTATCTTCATTGGAACCTATGGAAAAACTAACTATTAGAGGTACTGGAACACTATTACAAACTTTTGTTTGTCGCAATAAACGAGAGCTCAAGGGAGAAATGAATGCTAAAGAAATATCTGATGGTTTGCCATTTCTCGAGTATGAACTACATAGTCAATTATTGAATAAATTAAGGGTGAAAGGAATGAATGCTATTTTTGGACTGAAAGTAAATAAATAAAATAACAATATATTTCATTAGTTAATAAGTAATAATATTAATATTATTTTTATTATTAATAATATTTAGTTGATGATTCACTATTTCTTAACAGCTACTATTTTCTTAGATTCAAGTTTGTCTTGGTGAAAGAGTTGTTTCTTTACATGCTACTGGGACAGCTATGTACATTACTTGCTTGCCTGAACCACCATTACCATTAGTAAAAGCTGGCAAATCTTGGGCTCATCCAGATCAACAACAAGTTTTACGTGCCCAAAAGTTACTGAATGATGCTGTGGTTAATAATAGACAACACTATCATCTTGTTCAAAAAGAAGTCGAATCTGAAAATATATCTTACAGTAGTTCAGGAAAACCTTTACCTGATATTAATTTGAGCTATGGGAATAGAGACACTTGTATTCTAGAAATGGACGACGCAGAAGATTTAGATGTAGTTACTCAATTGTTAGAGCCAACTCCTCCAGGATCATTTTTGCTATCTAATACTGATGTTCTTCCGGGAGCTGGTTCAGAAGTTTTTCCTATGGAACCCGTGTGTAATCTTCAAATGTTTACTCAAGTTTGGAGATCTAAAGCGCATTACACTAATGGAAATTTTGATAAACAACTTCAGCGTATGCTACAAGGATTGTTTTTTAAGTTAAGAAGGATGACACCATGTGGATTGGGAAAATTATCATTCAAAATTGATATTCCAGAGCCTGATGAACTCCAAATATCAATAGTTGGTATGGCTTTGGGCTTAGGCGAATCTGATAAAACAACTGCAAAACAAATTTTGAGAAGAAGACAATTACCCTTAAAAGATTTTGAGCAGAAAACAGAAGAACTTATTTTTAAGTTAGAAGATGTTTCATTAAGTCATGGAGAAAGAAAAGTTAGAAAATTTGAACGAGCACCTAGGCCAAATAGACTATCTACACATGCTGCTCCAAAAGATAGATATGGTGTGGACATAACACCAATGACTTATATACCTGGTGCCAAAATTGAACGATATTTAGGAAATTTAAATTTTTTT